CGTCTGTATATTTCTGAGTGTGCATGTGTGTGTGTATTTGTGTATTTGTGTGTATTTGTGTGTGCGTGTGTGTGCGCGTTCACTGTACAGTAATAATTATAACTATCTTACCCTCAATTCCCTTCAGATCCACCTGGTGTTTCTTCCCCTCCACAGTCTGCAGCGATCAGGACAAACGTGTGTAAAAAAAATCTACATTTTGTAATCGAGATGCAGGTTTTTATTTAAAACAGCCCCCGACTGTGGTCAGTTTCAAAGGGAAAAGCTTGTTTTTTTNAAACAAAAAAAATGTGATTAAAGTAAATAAATGAAATACAAAGTAAATGTTAACACCAGGCAGGGGAGGGAGGGGAGGGGGAGGGCAGGGTGGAAAGGGGATGTCTCAGGGTTTGAACCAGCATCAACACACGTGCAGTCAAACCTTCACCCTGGAGAGATCGCAGGGTAGTGTGTGAGTGAGTGAGTGAGACAGAGGGTTAAACAGTGGCTACAGATCGGGTGTTTTAATCCTGTGGCAGAGGTGCTAACGTTTGTAACAAAACAAAAAGATCTGGTGGGTGAAGACCCTCACTGGCCAGGGGGCTGTGCTGGCCTGACGGCAGAGCAGAGAGGTCTATTGCTGGGCAGAGTGAGGGGCTGGGACAGGGTGTATGTTTGTGCAGGTCGGGTTTAGGGGCTTGGCGTTTAACTGCTTCGATGAAGCCACTGACTCAATGACAACAACTTGTGTTTATGTAGCGCCTTTCGCGTGCTGAGCGAGTGGCAATTACTGCGGTTCAGGGATGGGCAGCTGGCAGGGGAGCATGGCACCAGTCAGTGATCAGGATTCCCACAGGCGGTGGTGACCGGGGTCCGGGTGTGTCAGGGAGTGTGTGGCGGGGAGCAGACTGTGTATATAAGCTTCTATTTTTTATTGTAAATTCCCAGTAACTGTGCAGCACTCGGGAGATTCCCATCTCCAGTCCTTATAGTAAGTAGCGAGAACCCATTCCCTTCCTGATGCAGTCAAGTGCATGATGCACAATCATGTCACTGGCAGAAGGCGATTGCCAGGGCTGCTGTGGGCACAATGCCTCGTGTGCTGTGTTCCTCACTGCTCTGTATATATAAATATATATAGTGTTGTATAGAGGATCATTCTGGTCTCCTTTTTAATCTTTGCAATGGATTTGAGCTTCCCAGGTCTTCATTGTCTATTGACAAGTGAGCCATGGGGGTGGGGGGGGGGAGGGAAAGGAGGGGGGAGGGGTGGGGGAGGGTAAGGTGGTGGGGGGGGCAAAAAAACTCCAAGACAAATGATTTTTTAAAAAAATGTATACTCGCGGAGTGAGGTTTTTCTCAACTCTTCCTAATCACTGAGGGGAGGGGGCGCGGAGTGGGGTGGGGGGGGGGGGGGGGCGATGGGGGGATGAGAGGGGTGAACGCCTGGGTCTTCACTTGTCTGATTTTATGTTTTTGTAAAGAGAGGGTCAAAAAAAAATAATAATAATAATTCTATAGAAATTGTACGGATGGTAAATAGCAAGAAGTAACTCAGCATCAATGTGTAAACCTCAAACTATCCACGTCAGGGTGTGTGTCCACGTCACACCTCCTGTGAGCGGGTTTAAAGAGACCTTCCTTTTTGTTGGTTTCCACCCAGTGTGCTTTGGAATCAGCCATTCCCCCCCACCCCACCCCCCCTTCCCCCCACCCCTCTCTCTCTCTCTCTCTCTCGCCTATTTTCCTTGTCATACTTTCCAAGCCGACTGCTGTTAATATGCATCCCTTGGATGGGAGGTGCTGTGTTTTCTCTCCCCACCCCCCCACCCCCCACCCACCTCTCACAGGGGGTGTTTAAGGTGCTCATTTTTCACAGTGCAGCTAATGGGATTTCAGCACTGAGTATTTGTTGTCTTATTATAAAAGGCAGCATTTTTCTCTCTCTCTTTCTCCCTTTCTCCCCACCTCTCTCTCTCTCTCTCTCTGTCTGTGGGTGTAACTATTGCTTTGACAAGTCGAGGCTGGTTAATACGCACATGTCTCTCCACAATGTCTCACAGCAAAGGGGAGTCGGGCCTTGTGACCCATCGTGCCTGTGATCTTCTCTGTTACACTCTTCTCTTCCCCCTCCACACTCTGGTTTATGTCCCTGAGCTCAGACAGAGGCTTTTATAGAAGAGCAGTGAGCGGCACAGTCCGAGTGATGTGTCTTGTTAGGGTGGGACCAAAGCCTTCATCCACCTGCCCTGAGTGGCCGGACAACGTGTGACTGACCACAGCTCTCTGATCTCACCAACGCTGCCCGAGACACAGAAAGACTCGCTCAGCCCTCTTTACTCAGTGTCAAACCTCTGATCTCCGTTTATTGCATTAGATGTTCTCTTCTTCTCTTCCTTCCCCCCCCCTCCCTCCCCCCCACCTTCCCAATCCAGCTTCGCTTCCTACAATTAAAGGGATGGCATCTCTTTAAACCATTCCCCTCGCTCGCAAGGTCTCGTGCCCTCACGGCCAGTTGTAAATAGTAAACGCGGGCAGCTCTTTTATCCGGTTCCGGTGTTTGGAATTTTATTCGTGTTTTGAGACGGGAATCACTTTCACTCGTAAAAAAATCTCACAAAGGCGAGACGAGATGACGTACGTTTGGTTGTGTTTTCAAGCCACAAAAGTGTACATTTGTTTTTGAGGGAAAAAATAAGAAAAAGTTTCTCCCTCTTTTCCGTGTTGAAAAAGCTAATTTCTGTTGTTCTGTTTGTTTGAAAGGGGGGGTGGGGGGGGGGGTCGGGGGGGTGAGGAACCCATACAAATCTCAGTTAATTCCATCCCACATTAATTTTAAAGAATTTGCCCGGGAATCCACAGGATTGGAGAGAGCGGCCTGACTTTCGCTTTACCTTTTCTCTCGATATCAGGGATATTTTGTCTTTGCTACTTACTGTACGTCATCTCCGCTTGTCCTTAATTAACATCCAGTGAATATTCCGTGTGATTTTAGTTTTTAACCTTGTAATATTTCTGCCCACGCGCTGTAAATGTTGGAGACTCGAACTTGTTCTGTTTTTTTTTTGCTCTTTGTTTTTTTTTGGGGGGGATAACTTAAAATAGAAAAAAACACAAAACTTTGTATAATAAAGTCCACACGGTCGTGTATAATGTTCTGAAAGCTCTATTTGTCCCGTCCGTTTCCCCCCCAACCCCCGTTTTTAATTATTATTTTCTAATGTATTTAAATAATGAGGAATGAAAATAAGAAATGGATTGTGAAAGAATTAAAAAAACAATTACACAGAAGAATATTGTTCCACGTTTGTTTTAATGTGTATTTTTTTCCTGTTCGCTGGGCTGTGTAAACGGACCGATCTGTTGTTATATATATTTTAGGTAGCAAGTCCCTCGGTCACTGAGGTCCAACTTGTGAACCATACTTGAAAAAGAATCTTGTTTTAAAAAGTTGTCACTGTTTTGCTACTTGAACTAAAGTTTGCAGCTTGATGGATGGAAAGTAGAATTAAAACAAAAAAAATCCAGAGGGAAATAGGATCAATGTGTACTTTACTGCAGATATTAGGACAGTAAATACTTTGCTGATTTTTTTTATTTCGGTGTGTTTTTTTTACAATTTGATTTTGTTTGTTTTTATCCTCAGTGGTCTTTGGTTTGCGGTTTACCGTAACTCTTATTATTAGGGCCCCGCTGATTCACGGAGCCCCGTGAATTTTGATTTGACTGTATTGTAATTGTACACAATGAGGTCGTTTGCTTAGAACTTCCTTGTAAATGTATTATTCCTGATCATTTTGAAATATTGTGGGTGTTTTAATAAATTTTATATTTATTTTTTGCACTCAAAAAAAGCCTCGTCTCTCGTCCCTGTTTGTGATGATTCTGAAAGTCGTGCAACAACAACAAATGATATTTACACAGCGCCTTTCACGTCGAGAGGACGTCCCAAGGCCCTGGACAGTCAACTATTTGGACCCGAGCTGGAGATTAGGATTAGGAGTGGAAAGCAGGGTTGGAGGGTGACCGGAGAAGAGGAGGGTCTTGAAGGAGCGAGGCAAAGGGACTGGGATAAAGCAACTGACGCAGCCCATCAGCAAAGGTGTAAATCAGGTTACGTTATATTCTATTTGGGTAATCAACAATACAGGACACATTTACAGTGTCCTTTACACGGTGTTGCACCTCAGAGCGGTGGACAGTGTTGGAGCCGACGCTGAGCCAGGGAGATGACCGCAGACAAGAGCGAAGAGGAAAGTTTGATCGAGGGGCAACGCGGAGGGATTAAGGCAAAGAGTTCCCATATTTCAGGGTGACTGAAAGCTCAGCCGCCAATGGTGGAGCAGAAGGGATGTGTAGGATGCTGAGTGAAGTGGGTGGGTAAAGGAGTTGGTTATTTTATTGCACTAACACACTTGCAAACTTCAATTCAAACACAACTCTAGACCCTGAGTTTGGGTAAACTCCTTATTAATCGGCGCTGGCTGAGGATTTGCTTGTTTATGCTATTTGGATTCAATGCAGATTCCGCCAAGATTTGGGCGATTAAAGGAAGGATTGCCTCTGCGCCCACATCAAACAGGGAATGGCTTAGGAAAATTTTGTTACAGAAAAACAAACCTCCCTGGAGCTCAACTGGCACTGAGGAGAAGCGTCTGACAAACACTTGGCAGGAATCCAAAGCTTTGCTTTTCCAGCCCACTCCTGGGGCACAGGGTGTCAAATCAAGTTCAGAACGACAGCGAAGACTCGACCTGTCAGCCGGTTTGGACCATTAGCCACACTTGGGGTAAGATGAGGAGTTATATCAGGTCACCCTCAGCAGTGGTTTCACACGTGTGTTAATGTACAAGAAGGATGGAAAGGGGCTAATAACTGGCAGGTTTGCAGGGCAGGTGGGTGGGAGGGAGTGTGTGGCGTCCCCCCTCTCGTGTAGAACACGTGCCAAACCTCAGTCTCTTCTGTTCCCGGTCAAGGAGCAAAAATCGAACAGGACAAAAAGTAGACATGGAGCGACAACGGTGGCTTCAAACATTTTATTTGCAGAAATTTTTTTTCTCCAAATCTTACGTCTTGACAAATTGTGCACATAAAAATAAACAAAGTAAAACGAGCACGGCTGGTCTCTATAGTATACAAGCGCGCGGTGGAAATAGAGAAAAGAAAAAAAAACTATCGCTGACTACAATCCTAGCTCCTCGACTGAGAAGTTTAGTCGAGAGAATCTGCTGCTTGGTGGGCACTGACAGGTTGGTCACAACACATTGTCCAGCTCCTCTCCTGGGCACAGCGCAGTTATACATTCAGCACATCTCAAGCCCACCTGAGGAAGCTGCATAGCCCAATCTGAGTTACCTGTCGCCATCGACCTGCTTTTAACTCGACTCAATGAGGAACTGGCCATAACTCTCCAAGAGAACAGTTGAAAGCAGATGATTTCAGTGCTTAGTTGAAAAAAAGCCCTTTATCCCCATAAGCAAACCCTCTCCCGCCCGAAACCCTAACAAACAAACAAAAAAGTTTACAATTAAAATTTGTAAGAATAGGTAAACGTACTATATAGCATTTAACTTTTTTTTTATACTTACTATAAACAATCTGGAAAGAATTCGCCAACATTTTTCAAGTCACTTGTGCCCAGAAGCAAAAGGCGAGGGTTTGTCTCTGCCACCACCTGTCGATATCTCTGCCACCTCTGCCAATGTTAGTCTCCAAACCCGCAGTGGAACCTCAATGAGCCGCCGCTTATTCAAGGCATAACGAGGTTCCTCAGAACGCAATACCTGATGCTAGTTTCTATTGCATTTTATTACATCTTCAATGTTGAGTTAGTTTGGTATTTATCCTCCCCTTTGAGAAGTTTCAACACTGAAACTAAACCCCCCCCAACCCTCCGCCCCACCACACACAGACAAACGGGACATCTTAAAGCACAGCAAAAATCCAACACAAAAGCAAATTGCCGTGAAAAGCCCTTTGTTGTATCATAGTAAAAATACACAACTCAAACATTTGCGGTATTTGAATTCAAGAGTAAAATTGTCATTCTATTAAAATATATTTTCTTATAAAATTGCAATTTCCCCCAAAACAGGAAGACCGCAATGGGGTTGGTTCCCCCCAACGCCCCCCACCCCTCAGAAATGTTGGTTTGGTGGGTTTCACAGTGAACTGCTGAGCTCTACAGAGAAACCTGCTGTGCTGTCATTCCACCTGGTCCTCAGCCCTGAGAGGAAGGTGGTTAGAGACGGACAAACGTCAGCTTGTGGTCGCACAGAGTTTATATATCTCCTGACTGGTGCCAGGATGTGGAAGGACTATGTTACAATACTGAACAATGAAAGGACTTTCCTTACAATTTAGATTCTCCTTAAAAAGCATTAGCGAGCGACGACTAAGGCAGCCTGTCGTCTCCCTCAGGGTCCCAGAAAGTGGCTGAGAGCCTGCTGATACAGAAACCCTGTCACATTCACAGCCTTCCAACGCAGCAAAAAGAGCCAATTAAAAGCCCCTGAAAAGCCAGCGGACAGTTCGTTGTCAATGCTCTGATGGCAAGATTCAGGAGAAGACACTGTTGGTCACTTCTTTTAGCTACTTATTATTGCTAGATTCTTTTGTACATTTTCCCCCCGTCCTTCTGCCCGTTTAGTTGTCCCCAACGGGCAGAAGGAAGAGAAACAACCTCCTGCAAAGTTGCCTGATAAACTTTTCTTATAGACATGGGAGACAATGAGAGTGGGACTAACTAACTTATGTTAAAAATACGTTTTACTTAAGGCAATTGGGTGCATTCCCCCAAAGTGCATCTAATCAAGTTTACAAAAGAGAAAGGCATCGGTGACAATAGGCAGTGGTGCGAGCTCTGTGTCAGAATCCAGATCAGTAATACCAGGGCCCCCCAGCGCTGGGTGTCGGCTTTCAGCCATCAGTAAAGTCAACACGTGGGAATAGTTTAAAAAAAATAACATTTAGTCACCAACGAATGAATAACCCCCTTCCCCCCCACCCTGAGACACCAGGACACAGAGCCCCATTCAAGCCACAGCCAAACCTGCTGTGTGCAAGTCAAACAATTTGAGAATAACGGAGACTTCTTTGCAGTTTTCTTATTCTACAATACACACAAATCCCTCAGTGAGATACTCAGTGTTGACAAGGTTTAAACAAAGCACAAGCTGGCAGATTAAAAGACGGGCTGGAAAGGCTCAGAGCCAGTCAGGTGGGTGACATTAATACCAACCTCACATCACACTGAAGCAGGAGAAAGTCGCATTAGCTTTACAACCTACAAAAAACTACAAGCCGTTAGCAAAGCCGAGACAGACTGGTTAATGATTGGTGCTGACATTCACCCCGGGCGTCCCTGCGCTTGGGAAGGCAACACCTTCAAAAGTTTTTTTTTAAAACAAACATAATTCTTTTGCAAAATTTAAGAAGTCGTTGCTATTTGGCTTCTTAGTCAAACCCAGAAATCCCTTCAATTCCCTCCCTCGAGCAGGTCAAACATTCAGACTCTGGCGGCTATTCAGGCTGCCATGTCTTACTGTCAGGAGTCCAAGTGCTGAGAGCTGGCAGTTAAAGCTTTCCTCCCACAAGCTATTTTTAGCGAACTTTCTGAACACAATGTGACTGGGTGTGGGTATCCATTAGACATGCTAGTGACACCTTGTGGCCGACAACAAACCTTTCTTGTTATATCAAAGAATGACAGCATTTTAACACTTATGATCCCATTTTAGGCTATTCACTAAAGTCTTTGTCAGAATTAAAAAAACTATGGACATTTTATAAAAGAAATTAAAAGTTATTCCTGTTTTCAGAAGGAATTGGCACAGCAAAGCTGGTGAGAGGGTGGATTTTTACACAGAGCGAGCACACTCACAGCGGTCGATCACACGTGACTGACGTGTGCAGGGAACACAGACGTTTAAGGTAGAGATATGAGAGGGAGTAAGATCGCACTGATGTGGAATGAAAGGTTTCAATCCCTTGTGAACCTCATCTGTCTTTTGATCCGAGCTTTTCAATTAAATCCTGGAGTGGAGCGAGCTCTCTCCTGTCGATCAGATTAAATTCCTGAAAGGGGGAGAAGAGAAGTTTAGCCACGAAACAACAACATGACATTTGTATAGCGCCTTTCACGTCGGGAGGATGTCCCAAGGCGCTGGACAGACCCGAGCTGGGGGGAAGGGAAGTGGCCGGCTGTATAATCGAAGAGGAAGGTCTTGAGGCAAGATTTGAAGGAGGATAAGGAGGGGAGAGGCGGAGTGACTGGGGGATGGAATTCCAGAGGTTGGGGGCAGAGTGGCTGAAGGCTCTCCCTCCAATGTTAGGATGGGTGGGTTGGGGGACGTGGAGCAGCCAGAGCCAGCTGAGCGGAGGGAACGGGCGTGTTGGTAGGGGTTAGGAGGTCGCAGAGGTAGGGTGGGGCGAGGCCATGGAGGGCTTTGTATGTGAGGACCAGGATCTGGAACTGGATCCTCTGAAGGATAGGTAGGCAGTGGAGTCGGGCGAGAGTGGGGGAGATGGGGTCATGGAGTTTGGTGCAGCAGAGGACATGGGCTGCAGAGTTCTGGATTATCTGCAGCTGTGGAGGGAGGGGTTGGGAAGGCCGACACGCAGGCGTTTGCATAGTCGAGCCTGGAGGTGATCAAGGCATGAACAAGAGCTTCAGTGGCCTGAGGGGTGAGGTAGTGGCGGGGTCGGGCGATGTTACAGAGGTGAGGGAAGGCAGAGCGGGTCATGGCTTGTGGGGAGAAAAGACAGTTGAGGGTCAAAGAAGACACCCAGGTTCCTGACTGGCGGTGAGTTGAAGTGTGTAACTATGGAGGGTGATGCTCCCAGAGCCTGAGGTGCGGAGGCGCTGGCGTGAGCCAATCAGGAGGACCTCAGTCTTGTTCACATTCAACTGTAGGAAAGTTGCCCTCATCCAGGACTTGATGTCCGACAGACAGTCTGTCAGGACAGCAGTGGTTCTGGAGTTGAGGGTGGGGGCAGAGAGATAGAGTTGGGTGTCACCGCGTACATGTGGAAGTTGACCCTATGTCTGCAGATGATGTCACCGAGGGGGAGCATATAGATATTAAGGAGACAAGGACAGAGCCCTGGGGGACGCCAGACGTGGCAGTGCGGGGGCTGGAGGAGAAACCGTTAGAGACAACGAAGTGGAGACAGTGAGAGAGATAGGAATCGAACCAGGCAACGGCAGGTCCATGAAGATCGAGTAAGGTGAGAAGCGGTGTATGAGGATGGAGTGGTCGACAGTGTCGAAGGCGGCAGAGAGTTCGAGGAGGACAAGGAGGCAGAGGGAGCCCTGATCACAGATGTTCAGAATGTCATTAGTGACTTTGACCAGGGCTGTTTCCGTGCTGTGGGCAGTGCGGAAGCTGGATTGGAGGGGTTCAAAGAGGGAATGGTGGGAGAGAAAGGAGCGGAGCTGGGATACGACGACTCGTTTCAGGACCTTGGAGAGGAATGGGAGATTAGAGATGGGGCGGTAGGAGGGATGGATCCAGGGAAGGTTTTTTTCAGGATGGGGGTGATGACGGCTGTTTTTAGGGGAGTGGGAACTGAACCGGTTGTCTCCACACAATGGCCGGAGTTCACAATTTAACGCCACTCACTGAAACATGCCCTTCACCCTGCCTGGCCATTGTGTCCCTATTCACACTGGGGAGCATTCAGTTTTCCCATCACATCACCAAGCTGCTTATGAAGTGAGCCCTTCCTACCCACTAACCTGTCCTGAGTCTCGCTGTAAAGAAACACTGCCAGTGTCTGCCATTCACAGCGCAGAGCCTAACACCTACAAGTGGATGTCACAGAGCCATGGAGGGGAGGGAAAAGGAAAACATGACAAGTTTCCGCTGCCAACCCAAGAGGAGGAAAGGGTCAGATTGTGGCTGTCCTGGCACCAGACTGGCATATGGAGTCTGTGCCAGTGTGCCACAGTGGCACAAACAACAACAACAAGAAGATTCCATTTATAGAGCACCTTTCACGTCGGGAGGGCGTCCCAAGGCGCTGGACAGTTGGGTCAGGACCCGAGCATTGGGGGGAAATGGTCAGGGTGAGGGGAGGGAAGGGAGGGAGCGAGGAGGGGGTAGAGAGTCGAGAGGGGAGCTGAAGGTACGGTCAAAGACAAAGGTCTTGAGACCGGCCTTGAAGGAGGAAAGGGAGGAAGCGGCGAAGGCACTGGGGATGGAGTTCCAGAGCCTCGGGGCTGAAGGCCCGGCCACCCATGGGGCGGGGGTTGTGGAGCAGACCGGAGCCAGAGGAACGGAGGGTACGGGCAGGTAGGTAGGGGGATAGTAGTTCGGAGAGGTAGGAGGGAGTGAGGCCGTGAATGGCCTTGTAGGTGAGGATGAGGATCTTGAAATCGATCCTCTGGGGGATGGGGAGCCAGTGGAGGCGAGCGAGGGCGAGGGCGAGGGTGAGGGCGAGGGTGGGAGTGATGTGGTCGCGAATCCTGGTGCGGCACAGTACACGAGCTGCAGAGTTCTGAATGACCTGCAGTGTGGAGGGAGGGGCGGGAAGGCCGACGAGGAGAGAGATAAAGCCTTGAGGTGATAAAGGTGTGGACCAGAGTTTCAGCCGCGTGAGGGGTGAGGTAGTGCCGTAGTCTGGCGATGTTCCGGAGGTGATGGAAGGCGGTGCCGGTTGTGGTGCGGATATGAGGAAGAAAGGACAGCTCAGGGTCGAACAGAACCCCGAGGTTCCTGACCGGCTTTGAGAGGTGGAGAGTGCAGCCTTGGATACTGATGCTGTCAGCGCCTGAGGTGCGGAGGCGCTGACGTGAGCCAATCAGGAGGGCCTCAGTTTTATCCACGTTGAGCTGAAGAAAGTTATCTCTCGTCCAGGACTCGATGTCGGACAGACAGCTGTCAGGACATCGGGGGTCGTGGAGTTGAGGGTAGAGGAGGAAAAGTAGAGTTGGGTGTCATTCGCATACATGTGGAAGTTAACCCCATGTCTGCGGATGATGTCACCACAGGGGGAGCATATAGAGGGTGAAGAGGAAGGGACCGAGGACAGAGCCCTGAGGGACACCGCACGAGACAGTGCGGGGGGTGGAGGAAAAGCCGTTTGTGGAAACAAAATGAAGACGGTGGGAGAGGTACGACCTAAACCACTCAAGTACAGGGCCTTGAAGGTTGAGGTGGGAGGACAGGCGGTGGAGAAGGATAGCGTGGTCGATCGTATCGAATGCTGCTGATAGGTCGAGGAGGACGAGGAGGCAGAGGGAGCCCTGGTCGCAGATGGTCAAAATGTCATTGGTGACCTTGACCACGGCAGTTTTTGTGCTATGGGCAGCACCGAAACCCGACTGAAGGGGTTCGAATAATGCATGGGTGGAGAGGAAAGAGCGTGGCTGGGAGGCTAACCCTAACCCTAAGACTGTGGCACACTGGCAGAGACTCCATGTACCAGTCTGGCACATGGTGTACAGCACTGTGTCCAGGTTTTCTAGATAGGCACAGACTCAAGATTGCAAGGGCAAAGTCTGATCGTGGTTTTCTTGTTCTGCTGTAAAGCTCCTGAATCCTTTCAGGCTGTGTATTTTTATGACACAAAACAAGGTGTAGGGTGAGGTCCCCAGCAAGATGAACAGTGGCGAGGCAATGCATGCAGTTGGGAAACTGTATGTTTGGTCTTTAAAAGTCTGTGTGTGGTTTGCTGCCCTTCACAAAAATCACAAAATGGAGTGTTTAACTGCAGTACTGGTCTGTGACCGCTGGGTTAGTGAAGCCCAGAGATCAGTAACTCAAGTCACTGTACAGCACCACCCGGTGACTGCACAGCCAACATACACACTCACTCAAACAGCAACGCCCACTGCTAGCTTGACACAACTACTCCCTGGGGCTTCAGGGAGAATGTTCAATGTAATCAAAGGCAGAGGGGAAAGAGGGTTGGGGGGGATCTTACTTGCCAGTGTTGGGGGCGCGGGGGAGGGGGTCTTACCTGGACAAAGAAGATGAAGTGCTTGAAGGAAGTGTTGAGGTGGGCTTCCTCCTGCAGCTGCATGACGGAGTCAAAGTGCTGGTGGTAGATGTGTGCATAAACCCGGAACAACCGCTTCAGGATGGTCTTGGCCACAGACATGAAGTTCTTGGGGAACGGCACTCCTGTAACAAAGGAACATGGTCAGCACCAAGAAACAGAGGGTCTTCTGCAAGGCCAGGCTGTGCTTCAAGACATGCCGTCCCCAGTGTCAGCGCTGTGTCGGTCGCCTCCCCTCTACACTGAGAAGGGACTCACAAAGCCAGGAGAAGGGAGGAACAGTAGCTCAGCATGAATTAGTGCCCTCAGCAGAGGATGTGGGGAGATCAGTGGCCGTCACCCCGCCCACATACACCCAATCTGTGCTGAGTCGCATGCCCTCCCACCTCCTTGCATTCCTGGTTGCTGGTGGGGCTGAGAGCAGCCCGTGGCTCCTTTTGGTATGGTCTGGCACAGCCCAGCCCACGCAGGGAGGGACACGGCTCTCACCTATCTTTGAGGGGAAGAGGGTCTCATCGTCTAACTGATCTTGAACCCAGGTCATAAGGTAGTCGATGTACTTTGGAGCTGAACACTTGATTGGCTTTTTGATATTCGTGCCATCAGCCCAGTGATATTCATATCTGCAAGGGAAGAGATAGACAGCTTGAGGAGCAGAACCATGTAGGAGTGATCTACAACGCTCCCGATAACACACCGCTCATACATCTCATGTTACAACAACATCAATTGGCTACGCGTTTCACCCACAAAATACAGTCAATCCACTTCAGTCTATCCTGTGAAACGAGATGTGTTGAAGGTGTGATAAGGCACTGTATCAAATGCAAGGATTAATAATATCATTGTAGTAGAACCTAACGAACCCGGTCACTCAAGTGACTGGGCAAACGTGACCAGATTACTGAAACGAGATTATATGAACATAGTGACCTTTAAAATTACATTGGATAAATATTCAATAACCATAAAGGCATTGTCACATTTAAAACAGATCTTGGGTTTCCTTATTCAAAGTTCACGAGAAGTTAACATCACACAAAATGTTCATTACTTGAAGAAAGAGTCCAGTGTTGTTTGCCTGGCTGCGCTGCCACACACTGAATCTATGATTAAGACAAAAGCCCTTCACTGGTCCCAGCATACCCAGTGCATCAGCATAAGTGAGAGGTGTCTTTGATGTTGCTCTTCCTATTCCTTCTCCTGTGGATCTTGTTCCTCAGTTCCCCTGGCCCCTGGTAGAAACTCCTCCACAGGAGCTCAGGTTAGGCCGCGAGCGCCAAGTGTAGTCGATATCCTGCTCGCGCCACTGCCGCAATCTCAACTCCCTACGCCGCACATGCGCGACCGGAATCCATCCGCCCACAGTAGCAGAGTCGAGCAAACAGCATGAGCAGGCCGAGGCCTAGGTTAGTAGCAGTTTGTATGGCATTTGTGCTGGAGGGGGGCAAATGTAGCGGCCGCAAACAACGACCGTTGTCCTGAATAGTGAGATGCCCGGTTTACTGAAGCAGACAGACTACCTTTTACATAGGCAACAAAAGAGTGTGTGAAAATGTGCCCACAATTGTGAGGTGGCTGATTACTGAGGTGACAGCAAACCAGGTTTTTACTGTATAGTATTATATAACGTGACACATTCTCTTCCCCTGCCATTTGCTTTCTCCTACTGCTAACAGCATGTCTGAGCCTCACAGGAACCCATCACCATGCTTAAGACTGAGGTACTGAACCCATTGGCTGAGTTGTCACAAGGTTCTCCCGTGTTGCCTTACACACTGGCTTTCACTAAACCAAACAAGGCCAGACCGACAGTTAATCCAGCAATCTCAGCGCATCACTACCCTGCACCAACCAGATCAAGCACCAAAGATTACAATACATTTCACTTTGATACAGCAGCCTTCAAGCGCTTCACGACAATAATAATCATCCTTACATTTGATACAGAGCCTTATCACATCATTGAAATGTCTTAAAGCGCTCACAGAATATACGTTAAAATGAATTGACTGTGTATTTTGTGGGATAAACAATAGATTACACCAAGCATGTGTACATCACCAGCTTTGCTCTATGTCATATCCGGGTCACTCTCCTACCTGGGTCCTGCTGACATGACACTGCAGCTCTGCTCAGTGCAGAACTCGGTTATCGTGCCATACAGCATGTTGATTTGATTGAAGAAATCCACACCTGAAAGGAAAGAAACACAAAGTATTATTTTGACCATCATTTCACAGGCAATAAAATAGTTGTGATGGAGACTGGAGCACAAGCGTATGACTGTAAATCAGCCTCATCTCCTCACACAAGTCAGGACAAAGCAAACCCCCGGTATAATAAATGTTTTTTTTTNGAGATGTAGATAAAAAAATGACTTCAGCACTTCTCAGAAATGGTTTCTAAATGTGCTTTAATCTAAACCTCTTGCACAATTTCCTTTCTTCCATTTTGATGCTGGTTCTGATGTCCCTTTTGACCATATTATCTCTCTACTGCTCTTTCACACCACCTCCCACCCCCAAAAAAACCCTCGCTGATCACCCATCACACAGCGATATTGATCACAAAGGAAACAGACACAAAGCCAAACAGAATCTGTCCACAGCAGCCAATGATGGCAGGAAAGGAGAGTAAACAAAGAGAATCAAACCCAGCACAATGTAACTCACTGGAACTGAGTGATCAGGGCTCAATACACACTTTCATCAATATACTCCACACAACAAATGATCAACACTGGGCAAATGATTTTGGCGAATAAACAATTCGCTGCCAGTTTTTAACGTTTGTGAAATCTAATTTCAATTTTTATTTGTTTGCAACATTCACAAAGGACCCTCTTCCCCCAACCTCTCAGCCTTCTTCTACTCTTAGATCACGACTGAAGACCTTCTTTTCGATAATCTTATGGTCACCTCCTCCCTCCCCCCGGCTCGGTGTCATGCTCCGACACTGTTGTTAATGTTTAATAGCAATGTATGGTCACAGACAAAAACACAAAATCCTCAAACACCAAACTTGGGCTTCTAAAATGGAACAGTTATGAAAACGGGAAGCAGCCTGCCAGCGAGCTGAGCTAAGCTACTGGCCCTGGTCAGGCAGACAGCCCAGCTCTCTGTCTCCTCCTTTCTCTCGGTTGCCGAGGTGATTTAGTTTCTGGAAACCAGTCTTATCAGAAAAAGGAAACAAGGAGTTCAGAACAGCTATAAATAGGAATGTGCTGATATTGTGGTGTTCAACAATGGTGGTTCTCTTGTCCATTACCTTCAAATAAAAAAAATCACATTGGAGCTATATTTGCACGCCTTGTGCAAACAACAACTTACATTTATTTAGCGGATTTCAAGAGGGGTAGTGTCCCCAAACACCTATTCCCCGTGCACCTGAGATGGATTCTGTCTGAAAACTGATGAGCTGGATACTGTAGCTTCCCATAGTGGAAGGCAAAACTTGCCTTTATTTATTGCCCCTCATGCAGGATAGTGTCTGCTATTTTACTTGCAAATCCTTCAACTGCTGCTCCCCTCCCTCCCTCCCATGTCTTGCTTCAGGTCAATTACTGTGTCACAAGCTATTCCACCAGTTAGAAAAAAGAAAGCTCTGACTATGTAGCTTCCCCATTGCAACAGTAAAATCATCCCTCTTCCCCCACCCACCCCCTCAAGAAAGCTCTCTGCCTTCCCTCCCCTGAGACTCTACCTCACCCCCCATCCTTCCCCCAGTCACAATCCAAAAACTATACCCTTTGGGGTCAAAATGGTACCTGGTGAATTGACGCACCTCTGACCACAACTCACCACAGGCTAATCATCTGCAGAACAGAAACATGAGGTCCAGGCTATCAAACAGATATATAAATAGTGCGATCACATCTTCACAGGGAGATTTACAGTACATCATCAGAGAAGGGATAGAGGCATGCAACCACCAGGACGGTGGAACTAGATGGGCTTTGATCTCTTTTCACCTAGCATTTCTTATGTTCTTATGTTAACAGATCTCATGGCCTTTCTCTTAAACTTACTGTTGACTGCAATCCATTCATTGAGGTCCTCTCCCTCTGGTAACATAACAGCCTGGCGGAGGTTCCCACTGCCCAGGGTGGCTTCTGCATGTTTGAGAAGCTCATATTGATGAGAACCTTCAGGAATGTTCTTCTTTGGTTTAAAAGTTTTCGAGTGACGAGTGGAGCTGTAGACGAAGCAAATATCAGTCACTCGCCAGCAACCTCAACAGGCACCAATAGCCACTGCCAAACTGACAGGCAGGGCCAGAACAGACACCAGAAACTACAGGTGATCAATACAGTGCAGCAAGTGGTTCAATAAACCTGTAACTCTATAAGGGGCTGTGTGACAGTATCATGCACCAGAAAAGACCTCACCACCCCACCTGAGGTCCAAATTAAAAATGTTACACCTCCCTGGTGTTATTTCAGAGAATTTCAGCAAATAGTGTAAACGTGGATAGCATGTCAGGGGGTGATTTTAGGCCTTGAAGGCAGAGTACAATGAAAAGTGCTCTGAGACGCTCACTATCCTGTGTGATAGTGAGCTATATAAATGCAGGTTGTTGAAAGCTTTTCAGGTTCACCACGGGGTTGTCTTTCACACAGGCATATGGCCCTTTAAGTCTGTCCACCTTCAGCACTGTGACAATGATGTTCCACTTCCCTTTCTGCACAGGATATACGGACATTTAGCTACAGTATGTGGTGAGCTCTCTTTTTAAACGCCTGAGGTTAGAGCTGTTGCAAAACAGCAGACAAGCAAAACTTATTTCTGGTGGAGTGCTCACCTCATAGATTTAACTCGCTGCTAATTGTAAGTGTGAAAAGTAACTTTAAAAGGAATCATAGTAGCCAGCTGTCTTCTCTCACCCTGTCCCCATCACCCCACCACACTGTGCAAATGTCAGATAAGCAATGTTAACTCTGCCCAAGGGTGATCTTTGCATTTCTATGAATTATTAAATGTTTTCTGAAAATGATCGATGTGGGATCAATGTGAGCAGATGATATTCTGTGTGTGTGTGTATATATTATATATATAATATCTCTCCTGTGTGTGTTCTGGTCAACCGTCCCCATGAGAAAGAAATTCACTCATTCACCTCTCAGCTGATTGTAGGACATTGTACAAAGTGGCTGTTGTATTTGCCTATCAATACAGTTATTACACTTTACAGAAAAACTCTGCGAAGCAAAATTAAGACATGATAAGATCAAATGTCCAGCTTATTATTATTGCGGTGTGTGCACACTCACATGGTCACCATGATCATTTGGGCGAGGCATCTTGTGATTGCACTTGTGGAACCATAGCTGTTATGAATCACTCTCTCCAAGGGGAAGATTCACACACCGCATAATGAGTTCATTCAGCACAAGTAATCAGGCTGGTTTCTGAGTAGTTTCCTTCACTACAGTGTGCTTTCTGACAATGCCAGTATTAAACTGTCGTGTTATTGTGGAACCAAACTGTAAAAACATTTTATTTTGTGGGGAGAGGAGAAGGAAGTGAGTGTTTAAAAGCACAGACATAATGATGACACCAAGGAGATCAGTGTCAGGAAATTAGACGTTATGGGCAAAAAGGGTTTGGCTGACAATACCTACAACTAAAGATAGGCAGTTCCGTTGCCGCAGCCTAAGCCCAGCGAGAGCAAGGGCTAAAGTCAATAATTCCTGCTTGTTCCAAACCTCCTCCAGAAGATCTAAAGTGTTCCGTGGTCACTGGCCGGGTATATTGTGGGAGTGTTAAAGCACTTGTATACATAGCATCCAAATGGTGATAGGATGCGAGGTAGGTTCTGGGATATTTTAAAAGTCTAGATTACCATAAAGGGCTCTTCCCTGTCACAGGTAAGTCAGTTGATAGTGCAGCTCTGTCATGACAGACACTGTCTCGTTGCTTCTCTGTGAACTGTTCCTGGACTGTTATGATGGCAGCAATGGGGTATCGTTTGGCGAAACTGGTTAATAATGTTTTTGTAGCTTTTTTTTTAAATGGAAACCTCTTAACAATTTCTGCCCACTTCCTCCCAATGTAGATCAGACGTGGACAATTTTCATACCATAGGGGGGTTTTGCAGGGGGGATGAAATAAGTAATTACAAGCTATTTTTGGTGCACGTGATATAGAAATGTGTTGATGGAATGGAAATTAGTTGATGTCTGGAAAGAAGGCTGAGGTGATTAGTTTCTTAATGACTCTAAGTTACCGAGACTGATATGGCATAAAAATGGTCCATTTGGCCCAACTGGTGACAAAATACAGCTGAGATGTTTCATTCATACCCCCCACCCCCCCCCCCAGTTGAATACAAATTCAACATTTCCTTTACCACAAATTATGCTTAAAAGAAATACTCCAGAGATTTGATTCAAATGTTATAAACTATAAGGGCCAATTATTGTGGGCTTTAGTAAACCTTGTGTTATAGTTCTAATTAAGGACTGAGACAAACTGTTGGAATACGCTCCTCTTGCTTAAATCTAGCCTCTTCTAGAAACTCAAAACTGACCCCAAAGTTGCAATAAATTTTCATTTGGAAGTTTCAAATGGCAAAATTGCTGTATGACACCTGACCTACCAGTGATTAATGTAACAACTGAGTATCTGTATATTATCCTCACCCTGAGAGCACAACTTTAATTTGTACTGTATTACTTTATTCTTATATTAAAACTTTAATTTGATTCAACAGCTACAATATGACACTTCACAGGAATTGCTGTTTGATGTAGTGAACAACAACAACTTATGGCCCTTCACGCCGGGGAGCACCCTGGAGCGCTTAACAGTGGCGGTGGCCAAATGGACCTCAAGCCAGGGGGAGAGGGAGGTAACCATAAGCACGATCAAAAAGGAAGGTCTTTAGTTGGGATTTGAACGTGGGGAGGGGGCAAGGCAGAAGGATTGGGGGAGAATGTTCCAGAGTGTCGGGGTATTGTGACTGAAAGCACAGCTGGCAATGGTGGAACGGAGGGACGAACAGGAGGCCGGAGCCAGCCGAGCGGAGGCAGTGGGTGGTGAGCAAGTCAGAAAGGTAGGGAGGGCGAGAGCATGAAGAAATTTGAAATTGAGAGAATCTTGAAGTTGATCCGTTCGTAAATTGGGAGCTAGTGAGGCCTGGCAAGAACTGGTGTGATGGGATCCAGAGTTTTGCGTAGGTTAGTATCCGGGCGGCGGAGTTCTGAATTCATTGTATTTTATCAATGGTGGAACTGGGGAGGCCAGCACGGAGGGCATTTGAAGTCCAGCCAGGAAGTGACAAAGACATGGACGAGGGTTTAGGCTGCTGTGGGTGTGAGGTACGGATGGAGGTGAGCAATGTGGCGGAGGTGGGCAATGTGGTAGAGGTGGAAAAAAGCGAATATCTGTGGGCAAATACAGCAGGCATGTTGAGTCTGGTAAGGTGCCACAAATAGTTGTTAAATGAGATTGTTGGTGGTTCCAGTATTGACAATGTCTTACTACTGTCATTATAAATTAACTCGGAGAGCAGTATGGGTGGAAATTTCTTGCAATCCCCCAAGCTCAGCAACCTAATCAATAACATTTTGTTAAAAAAAACTTTTCCTGTTCTCCTTCTAGGTTTCGTTACCCCATCAAGAAGCTGGGTAAACCCTGAAGCAATACAGATTTCACTTCCTCCATTTGAGCCTACACGCCAGTAAAGTCATGAGTTCCGAGCATGTAGGATCACGAAGGCAAACCCATATCCTATTACCACCCAAGCATGTCATCACAAAAGGAGCAGCTGGCACAATGTGCTGGGTTTCATTTAGCAGCAATATAACTGGGCACCTAGTAGCAACAAGACGGCAACAAAGCAACACAGATTAGTGTTGTCATGGGTGTTTCGTTAATTTAGTGTGTCCAACTGCCCATCACTCATGTCCTTGCCAAGCTCCACTATCTGCCATCAGATTGATTTCAAGATCCTCACTCTCCTTTTTTGTGTGGGGGTGTGGGGTGTCAACCTGGTGCCTGTCATATGCAGAAACCCATCACCATGGTTGAGAGTATACAAACCAAATTGAGAATCCCCAACCTCTTCCAGAGAAGAGAAAAACAATTCACCACAAGGCTGATCACCAAAATCTCTAGATTAATACTCAGAAAGTCTGACCCATAAACGGGCTGATTGTATGAAAAAAAATACAATGCTGGGAGAGATTTTGTTTTTAAAGGCGTGAGTGACACCACAAAATATTCCTTTTTTTGAAAAAAAGCTTGATTCAATAGTAGGTTTCAAAAGGTACTTGAAAAGGAAAAATGTGCAGGTAAGAGCAGAGTATTGGGACTAGTTAGAAAGTTCTTTCGAACAAGAGTGGAACAGGCACAATGGGCCAAATCGCCTCCTTCTGGGCTGTAAGATTTTAAGTCTCAGATCGATCAACATGCAGACTTATAGATTACGTGTGCAGGAGAGGAGAACATTGCACGATAATAGAAGCCTATATAAACTGGGTGGGGGGGAAACACACACTATAGCGCAATAGCCAATATAATCACCCCGAAAAAGAAAGATTTAATGGGTCATAATAATAATAATCCTTGCATTTGATACAGCATCTTATTACATCTTCGAAATGTCTGAAAGCGCTTCATAGGATGCATTGTAAAGTGCAGTGACTGTACATTTTGTGGACAACGTGCGGCAGCCACTTGCACACAGCAGTGACCCACAAACAGTCGTGGATTGAAACGGCCAAGTTATTATTGTTATTACTTTTGGGGAGCAACGGAAACTTAAGAGAATGGAGGAAGAGACATAGAGAAAGAGGCTGAGATAGAGAGGAGCGATAGAGAGATAATGAGAGAGGAAGGTAAAGTCTTTGATCCGGCGATGAGCAAAAGCAGAGATCGCTGGCGAGCTGTGTGAGGGTGAAGGTTACGGAATTGGAAGCGCTTGAGAAATGGAAATAATAATAATAATAATCCTTGCATTTGGTGCAGCGCCTCACTGCATCATCGAGACGTCTCAAAGCGCTTCACAGAATATACTATAAAGTGCAGTCAGTATATTTTGTGGGCAAAAGGCGGAGGCCGACTGCACGCAGCTGCGTCCCACAGACAGTCGGGGACGGACCGGGTGACCCAAATGCTTATGATTATTTTTTCTCTCTTCTTCCTTTTTTTTTAAAAAAAATGGTATTATTGTCAACCCCTGAAAAGCGATCCGCCCAATCGACTCACAGCAGAGCTCCGAGTGACTGCCGCGGGGTCACCCAACACAGGTCAACCCGGGAAGAAAGGAGAGGCTGAAGAGAAAAATAAAAAAGAAATAAAACGAGCTGAGACGGGGCCTGTGAAGCCTGACTGAGCCCAACAGGAAACGGGGGGAGGGGGGGGGGGGGGGAGGGGGGGAGAAGCCGCTGTTACTCACAAGAAGAAGCTCATTTTCCTCCGCTCTCGTCGTGTCGCTCGGGCGGGTGAAGCGGGCGAGGTCCTGGTGCGGCGTGTGCCAGGCCGGGCCGACCGGACATTTACGCTCCAGAGGCCGTGACCGGGAAACGGGAGGACGAAGGAATCAAAACGGCTTCTTCAGCGGAGAAAAGTCGAGAAGTTGTCGTCGCGCTCCCGCTCCGCGCGCGCAGCCTCCCGTCCCCTCCCCCCCCCCCCCCGCGCGGGCCAGCGGCGCTCCGCGTCTCGCGAGGCTACGCAAATCACTCCCCCCCCCCACACACCCCTCACCGGTGATTGACAGCAGGCTGCGACCAACCACTGGCCGGAATCACCCCTTCTCTCCCGCCCCCTTGCTCACCGACAGACCAATAGGACGGCGGCACATGCAATATCACGGTCCAGCGGCGCTCGGAGTCTCGCGAGGCTATGCAAATCAGCCACCACCCCTCCTGTAACTGACTGAGTGCTCGCTGCGGCCAATCAATGGCCAAAATCACCCCTCTGGCTCCCCCCCAACCAGACCAATAGGACGGGCTAGCAGGCGGCAGGTGCGATATTACTCCGCCCCCACCCCGTGTCTCTCTGCACAGGCTCGAATCCCGCTTCGTATTTTTATCTAATATCTCCCAAATTACACCCACACAAAAAAAAATCGGTGCTTTCTTCGCAGCAGTTTCAGCCGTGGGCGGCCATCAGAGGTAAACGGGTTATGGATTTAATTGACTTAATTTTTTAAAAAAACCCGGCTCGGCGGTTGGAGAGGAGCCGAGGGGGGGGCGGGATGTTTCTTTGCCCTTCACCTCCCTCTCCCCCTTTTCATTGGTCGCTTTCTTTGATGCACGTGCGCCGCGGCCAATGGGGAACGCGGGATTCGAAAAAAATAAAAGGGGCGGTGTCGGCGGTTGGAGCCAACGGTCGTTGGGGGGGGGGGTGGCGGTGCGCATGCGGCACGAGGGGAAAAGACCGGGAACCTGAGGCGGTCGGTAGGGGAGACGCGGACTCACTCCCTGTCCCTGAGGAGAATCTCGAGTTTACAACCTATTACTTTTTTTAAAATAAAACGTTGTATTGTGTACACGATATAAAAAGAGATTGCGAGGCGGGCGGGCGGGGCGGGGAGAGGTAAAGGGCGCGCTACCGAGAGGATTAACGACGGTGTAGTCCTGTATATATTTTTTTAAAAATAACGTCTGCAGCTCTGACGGTGTGAAAGCGCCGTTTGTTTCACCCACAATCCGGCGTCGCGGCGGCAGCAGCAGCGGAGCGGAGTTGGGCTGTGAGGTAAGTGCCGATTCCTTCCCCCCCGGTCTTCTCTCTTAAAAAGAAAAAGGTCTTTTTTTGTTGTTTTATTTTCAGGACGGGACGGTGTATCTAAACAATCCTCTCAGGTTTACCACCGACCAGAGAGGGCCTTTCCCTCCCCGCGCACACGTCTCTCTCTCTCTCCTTCTTTCCTCCCCTCGTATGAGGGGAATCGCTTTTATACCGAGTGATTTATTTTTATATATATATATAATATTTGGGTAAATTGTTTTTTCATGTAAAAAGAGAGGAGAGTTGGCGGGGGGGGGGTGGAGGTTGTTTATGTGTGGTGTGTGTGCCCGCGGTGGTGGGGGGTTAATGCTTATTTACTTTAGTTACTGACTGGTAAAAAAATGGAGAGGGCAGAGAGGCGAATGCACTTTTTTAAAATCTCGATCGACGTGTTAATAAAATAAAGTGAACGCATGGAATTCACGCCTACAAACGAGAAAGTGGGGTGGGGGGGGAAGAGGCTGAAAAAAGTTCTCTCCTCCACCCACACCCCCCCCCCCCCACACACACACACACACTTACTCCTCTCCCTCTCCAATTTATGTTACATTGTTTTATCTTTTAATGTCAGGGGAGGAAGGAGGGGAAGAGTGAGTGAGTGGGGCATAAGTTTAATTATGATTTGTTTATACAAAGGACCCGGGACCCAAATCGTCTCCATATGTTGTTTGGTACTAATAGAGGCTCCTTTGCCCCCCCCCCCCCCCCCCCGTTGTATACTTACAGTAGACGAATACAGTCTTCATTTATTAGACGGGGAGAGTGGGAGACGCGTGTCTGTGTGTCTGTGTGTGTGTGTATGTATGACGTGTGTGGGTGTTGAAGGCCGGGGGTAAATGGTGTCCCTGCTCTCGCTTCCTCCTGTTGCGATGCCGCCATTTTCCTTTGAGTCTCTCTGTGGGGATTAATTCCAGTTTTATTTAAGCTGCTGGAGGGAGGGATGGAGCTGTGTGGGGATAGGGGTTCGGTGTGGCTTTCTTTGCCTCGTGTTTCTGGCTCCACCTCACTTTGTTCCACGAGGGTTTCTTCATTCTTTCTCTTTCTTTCCTGCTTTCTACTTTAATCCCCAGGCCCAATGCTTCTCTCTTTCTCTCCACCTTCCTATCCATCCCCGTGCGTTTCTTCCCTAACCTCCCTCCTCCATTCCCTCCTAGCAGGCCCATGCCAGCCCAAGGCCCTACCATTGTCTTCCACGTGGATAACATTTTTTTCGTTTTAAACCTTCCCCTACACTCCTGGGGAGAAAAATCCTTTGAAATTGAGATTTGGTGGAATACAGTTTTGGAACGAATTATCCAGGGAGTAAAATATTATTCTTTATCCCAGAGAGACTTGAGACCATTAAATTGCCCCCTCCCCCTTTTTTGCTCCTTTCCTCCCTCCATTTGACCCCATCCCCTGCTGAAGGAGTGATTTTTATTCAGGAATATTATTTCCAACAGTGCTCGTCTTTTGCAGTTGATGCTTCTAAGTTAGTTGGGAGAAGTGGGGACATTAAAGACCTATCCCTTTCTCTCCCCCACACCTGTCCAAAAAAAGACTTCATGCACATTTAGGAATGGGATCAGAAGACATTTTTTGAAAATGCACACGCTACACCTAGCATGCTTATTTGTCATTTGTAGTATGTTCCCTTCATCTCTTCTCCCCCTCCCTCCCCAAGATCAACCCACTGGTTCACATCAGGTCCCTTTATGACCTGTATGCCACAGTATGACATCACACAGTGCGGTTGATCAGACACAGTGAAGTTTGTGCCCATTTCATCTTGAAATACTTGAATAGACCTTGGTTTTCTTTATCGAAAGTCAAATCTCAATCACTTCAATCCTTTTTTTACCAGCAGTGTTTTGTCATAAATATAGGATTCCATTAGGAAAGTATCCCCCTTCCAATTCAGTACTGAATTAGTTGTAGCTTGTTTTTTGTCCTGTTGTAGCTACCTAGCACGGGAATAGGTGCAGGACAAGACCTGGATTGAATTCCTGGACTGATTCCTGGATTGAATCAGGATCTTTGCTCAAAAAAGGGTGTGTGTTTATGTGCCATACTAGTAAGGACACTAGAGTAAAATTTCGTAGGGAACTTAGTTGTTTGATGTAATATCAAGAAAATAGAATATTGGCGCAAGCATTTGTTTAGTAGTTGTTAGGACTTTACAATTTTGTACAGTCACACAGCTTAACCGCACGGGTGGATATCTGGGTTTTGAGTATGTATTCCTATTTGTTGCATAGTTGGACAATATTTCTTTTAAGAATACAAAGATTATGTAATTGAGCTGCCGTAAGTAATTAATCACATGTGTATCCTTCTTCTCAGGATTTATTCATTTGAGAAACTTCGTTCCTGAAATGGAAGAACATTTTGTTGTCAGAGTTCGCGGGCTTCCATGGTCCTGCACTGTCGATGAAGTACTAAACTTCTTTTCAGGTTGCGTGACTTTATTTTAAAGTTTACCATTACACTGAAGATGGTTGAATTGTTAATTATTCTGTTAAAACTGGTCTAATGTGCCAGGACATAATCTGAGGACATGTAGAACTGTATCAGTTAAGGACTGTCATTATTATTGTGGGTGGGGCGCAGACAGAGAGGAGTCTGGAAACAAAGTTGTCTTACACACATAGACATTTTGACTGAAATCCTAAAAAGTGTATGTGTGATTTTAATGTTGGGTTATGGTTTAATAAGATGTTAGTATCAGTTGATGTAACTGCTTTTGCAGAGAGAAATATGATTTGTGAATTTTTTTGTGCTATTCAATGATGGCAATACTTGCTTTTATTCTCTCCCTTTACTCCCATACAAATAAGCTGAGAAGAAAAGAAATCAATGACTGTGTATATTTTCTCATTTTAGATTGTAAAATTGTGAATGGAACTTCTGGGATACATTTCACTTATTTAAAAGAAGGCCGCCCAAGTGGTGAAGCCTTTATTCAGCTGGAAACTGAGGATGATGTGAAAAATGCTCTTGCAAAAGATAGGGAAAGCATGGGCCATAGGTACATTGAAGGTAACTTTTTGTTTTTATGCGATATTTCATCTTGTTGCTTAGTTTATTCCTGCAAATCAACTGTATCAACGTTTGGCAAGTTGCATATGTAAATGTATAAAATGTTACACCTATTTATGGTTCGATCTATTAATTTGTAGCCAACAGAAAGTGTTTGGGAGTTGGAGTGAGGTTGACCTTTATTTTTGTTAATGTTTTAACGTGCTTACAGTGTTTGAAACTAAAGCCACTGAAATGGACTGGGTATTAAAACACAATAGTCCAACTCAAACTGAGACAACGAGTGATGGAACAGTGCGGCTTCGAGGCTTGCCGTTTGGCTGCAGCAAAGAAGAGATTTTGCAGTTCTTTACAGGTATTTTATTTCCTTACTTAATTCAGTTTGTGGAGAAATTCCGAATGGGTGGGCCTGGTGAGATTGTTGGTCAGAGTAAGTTAGTATGAAAGAAACTTCTAACATTTTTCTGTTAGGGCAACTTTTAAGTTTGGTTCACAACCTAATTCTGTTCAGGACATTGTTGCAGGATGATCAACATCCAGGTTTTATGGGTGAGGGTTGGGAGGGGATATTCCGAGTTATTGTTTGACTGCCAAATGCTTGTGCCCAATCTTGTGCCCAATTCTATGTTCCAAACTCCAGGTAGTAACCAGTAGTGTGGAACATAGTATTGGGAACAAGATTATTTTTTAAAAACATGAAAAGGGCATTGACGTGGCAACAAACTGTTGGCCTTATCCCTCTACTGTTGCTTTTGGTCCTAGTAACTGAATTGTATCTTGATTTCAAATCATTCTTGGTAAGTTTAAATTTTTCAAGTGATCTTCCCCCATTTTTGTGGTGGATGAAATGAATGACTCCTTAGTAAGTTTCCTGCCATCTTCTAGTGTCAGGCCACAATCCTTGTTTTTGTGATAAATTATGATATTGCTGGATCATACTTGTCATGATGAAGAATAATAGCCTTAAAATATTACCACAAAAAAGAATTAGGTTGACTTATGTAATAAAACTTCCTAGGAAGCCCCGCCCAGGAATTGAACCCGGTTCCTCTCACTTGCGAGACAAGCGCGCTAACCCCTGCATTACCTGGACTCCCCAATTCTGTTTGCCAAACTTGCTTGATGAAGGGAAGCGACCTGAGAGTTCAGTCACGTGAAGCTGATTATGGGTGGTGTAATTATTTTACAAATCATTAACTTAAGTATTCTTGCATGTTCTGCCATTCTCCATTTTTAAGATTTGCCTTAATTTTCAGTTTTATACCTACTGTACAGAATGCATCCAGTTATAAATTTAATATTGTTATATGCCAAGTGAGCAAAACTGAATTTTTTAAAATGGGATACAAGATTCTGATCCCTGCACAAGCAGCATTTGTATTTTAGAATTGGTTCTGGTGATCATATGTGACCAAAACAATCTCTGGTTGGTGGGTTACGGTTCTGATATTCTGAAATATTCCTTTATTGTGAAGGAGATTTAAATGTTTTGGTGATATATCATGGTGTTTTCCACTAGCGTGTCAAACTCGGTCTTGCCACTGTTGGAAGGTGCCCAGCACGCACCAAACTTCTTCACAGGGAGGATGTATTTCTCTGAGCTGAAGCATCTCCTGCACCTGTTACCAAAGCAGTATTGGAGGCCTCAGGGATTTAGACTGAGTGACGGTGCACAAGGTGGGGAGACCCCAAAGAAGAGGAGAGTAGAACTTTAAAAGGCACTCATTGCCTCAAATTGGGTTCTTTGGTAACAAAACAAATACGAGTTCCCATTAGTTATACAAATTATTTGCCAAGTTTTTTTGTGCTGTCCTGCTGTTGGAAAAACCCATAATTACTGTAGTTACTGGCTGTGAGGAATTGCTAGTTTCATTAACTAGATTAGGTTAACCATTAACTCATTAACTGTCAGTTAGATCTTGACAACTAAAGTGTTCACCAATGAGTACCACAAATCATAATCACAGATTCTTGGGATGTAGTTTGCTGAGCATTTCTATAAAATAAAGGAGGGTCTATTGTCTAAGGGGGTTAATAGTTGTATTTCGTATTTGAGTCAAAAATGCATTGTTCTGTAGTAACAGTTAGTAGGGGACCTGGATTCTCAAGTATTACTGTAAACATTCTGTGCATAAAACCACTTATTTGAATGTAGCATTTCTTTAATTGTGAGTTTGAAAACACGTCATACTGCTACCTAATTCAACCTTCACCTAGTGGGCAGATTCACCCAATCCTGAGCAATCATGTTTCACTCCCTCAAATGTGCTTTCTATTTCACTGACCAAGTTTCATCATCCGTGGTGATACTGCTGGAATATCCTACCCTCCCACAATGGTGTTATTACCTTCCTAGAGCCCATCGGTAGTTCCACGTGGCAATTGTCTCAGTGTGGAGTCTCTAAATTGCAAACTGATTCATTTACAGGCAGTGAAGTTCATAAGGGCATACTCTAAATAAATCATGGCAGAACAAAACTAGTGCTCATAGTCTGCTTTGGGTTTCTGTTGGTTTTACTGTATATGTTAGTTATGGTTCTTCATAGTCTAACTTGTACAAGCATCTTTAAGTGGGCACATGTATTTAAAGATCATGTTAAATTGGTGTATTAGCTCAGAGGTTGCTTTTGAGTGCAGTGGCTGCATAATGCTAATTGACTAAAGCAAAATAAAATTCCTCAATAGCTTTGATCCTTTTTATTATTGTTTTGGAGATTTGCAGTTGTTGTAAGCTTGCAACTGTTTCCAAGCCACAGGTTTGCCTGCATCCTGTAAAACTGCGGCTGGAAGTGTTTTTAACAGTTCATCGTCTAATTTGCACCAGTCTCGCTCAGTAGAAAGTGAGTCAGGTCATTGTTTATGGAGAGGAGTTTGACTAGGGTTTCCCTTCCGTACGGCTATCCAACGACGGCTGGAAACTGTGAAAGCCAGGAGTGGGTTTGACTGCCTCATTGTCGAATTACCTGCTGACATTGCCTGGTGTGAATCGTGATTATTTGGATAAGCCACTGGTGCCAAATTATACGAGAATCAGAGAAATCTGGAGAGAGATACTTTAGAGTGTGGCCAAAATTCACTGATGTTTAAGTTGCTGCCCGTGATGTTCTCACATCAGTTAGGCTTTTGGTATCCATTTAGGTGTTCATTTGGCCTCCTGTTTTAACATTAAGATATTGGTAGGAGCTTTCCGATCCTTTCTGACCTTGAATTTCTGTAGTCTACTACAAGCTTGTGTGTTTTTATTTATGTGAATTTTGTTAATGTTGATTGTTTGGAAGATAAATTCATGCTATTGTTGAATACCAACAATATTCAATTGTCAATTTGTTGTCAGAGTAAAATACAGTTTTACAGAATCAGCTTTGTTCCATATTGGATGTTTGCTTTATTTAAACAGCATTCTGCAGCTTCTTGCCTCCTGAAGTAATTCTGATGGTAATACTCTCAACATAATATGCTATATAGTATGTGTATACGAGTAGGAATGTCACAATTTTTAATATTGTTCCCCTTGATGGGGTATTTGTCCTTGGGTTGAAGGGTTGGAAATCGTGCCAAATGGGATAACATTGCCGGTGGACTACCAGGGGAGAAGCACGGGGGAAGCCTTCGTGCAGTTTGCATCAAAGGAGATAGCTGAAAAAGCACTGGGGAAACACAAGGACAGAATAGGGCACAGGTGGGATGGACGGAAGGGTGGGTCGTACATTTTTAAGCCCACTTGTTCAGGTTCCAGAACTCAGCCATTCTTGCAAAAGAAAATAGTCGAACCTCCCACGAGCCATTGGAAAACAGTGGGGACTCAACTGAATTTTCTAAAATGTATAAATGTGCCATATGCTGTAGGCCCTCTGAAAAACTATTGTAATAATTGATGAACAGATCTCAACAAAGCTGTAATTTGGATATGGGGTACTGGGTTGGACTCCCAGTCATTATTTAGTATGAATGAGACGCTGAGCATTCATTGCTCCAAAAGTTATCTAAACAGTAAAAACTTAACGTAGCTGCAGTATTTAACTACACGTAAAGAGGGCTCTACAGCATCGGCTTGTAGCCATTGTGGACACTTAACTCCATAATCTTGAAATTTGAACCAATTTTTGTTTAGTGAAAAGTCCTAACAGAAAAAATAACGAGAATATTTGTTTGCAGTTAAATTTGGATTTAAACCAATTAGGTGCATGAATTGTTACCAAACACAAATTTATAGATCAAAGTGAATTTTAAACAAAATTAAGCAATGTCAGCTTTTTTTAAAAGAAACATGCCATATCATGCTGACAGTAAATTAAGGGCGCTGTGGAAGCCGGTCCAGCCTTGTACAAAGACATTGATAGGTGGACTGTGCGCTGTTGCATATTGCTATATATTTCTTCTTCCATGTGAAATTTTACAGTGAAATCGGCTTGATTGATTTGCAATTAGCATAGCTACCTAACGGTAGTTCAATAATGTTTAATACAAAAGAGAAATTGTGCCTAAATGTTGATGTTTTAGTTCATCAGATGCCTTTCATGAAGCTATCTATGTTTTAAGAAAGAAGCAATGTCTGACTTAATGCATTATTCCACATCTTCTTTGCTGATCTAGACCACTGTCTTCCTCCTCTTCTCCTCCCCACATCCCATTGGTACCATTAGATAAAATTTAAAGTGATGCTCTGAAAACCGGCCTTTAACACTGATACTTGCAAACCCCTCAGAGAGAGGCTAATGTATTCCTAACCAAAGCCATAGACTTAGTTTGTGTAGTGAGTATGTAACCTTTGAGGATAATATTTTTTCTGGGTGGGTGATCTATCTTTCTCTCCTATTTTTTTTTCCTGCCCCAGCCATTCTCTGCTGATATGTGGTGTTGGAGAATCCCAAATTGTTCCCGTATTAAATAGTAACATAACTGAAGGGGATGGTGGACATAATGTCTTGTCTTGCCAATCTGGTCCTGAATGGTGTACTGCGACCTTTAGAAATAAGACCTGTGCCATTCCTGACGTTGGGATTCCCTTAGTTAGCATAATATATATTAATAAATAAGTAAACCGTATCTTTCAATTCAGTTTTTCTGAATGATAATAAATAACAATTCTGTCTCTTCCACTACTCCAACCTATGCTACTACTCCAATATGCTACTACTCCAACCTATGCTACAAGTCAGACATTCTTTTTTTTGCCCCCCTCCCCTCCTCCTATGCATCAATTGTGTTGACTTTTTTAAAAAAAATTATGTTGCCACTTTTGAATCAACTTAGTTAATGTAGTCAATGTTATCAGTCAAATGTTAAAGATGCTAAGGCAATTAGTTTATTTGTGGAAAAAAAACTTGCGAATCGAGTTGCTCTGGTCACAAGTTAATTTGCTGTATAACGTAGACTTAAAACTGTTCATTAATTGACTTACATGTTTAAACCTGCCGAAGCCACTTCTGTTTTACTTTTATTCCATGAGCTCAATTTTAAAAGGGTTTGTGAAAACAAAGCAAAGGTATACTGCCTTGCCAGGTTAGGACAAGAAGCTGTATGTGGCTCATAAGTAATTGTCTCCCTTAGCCCATGCTCGGATTTAAATCCAGGTTCCACAGGGCCATTGTACCTTTCTCTCTCCTGGCCCTTTTTAAAATGTTCGAAATGGTGCTCAAATGTAAACCATTCCCTGAAGAGGAGTATTTTTCTATTGGGGTACGGATCTCCCTCTACCACGTCTTCACATGTGATCCTTGATGGAGAGGGTTGGCAGAGTATTCAACCCAGGGGCATCACAGCCAAGTACAGTCCTATCTTCACCTGACACCCAGCACCTTCCAAGTATCTCTGGATAGTAATTCACATCTCTGACTGCCCCTTCTCTCTGTATCTGACTAATGAAGGCAGCTAACTACACACGCTTATACCCTTCTGTTCTAGTCACATTGCTTCTCTTATCACTAGCTTCTTATTCTGAAATTGGAGAAAGTTGTGGCTGTCAACTTTTTTAAGTCTCTGAATATGATTTTTTTAACATGTTTGTTTTGCGGCTCGTATTTAATTTGCCTTATTTCAGATAATAAATTGCATTCCAGTACCTTGTCAGATAATGTTGCAAGTCTAATTCTGCCTACTTTTGCTTTTCAAAGAAATCCAATTAAAAGTGGGCTTGGGAACAAAGATAATACAGAAATGCCTATAAATTTAGAGCCAGTTTAACTGAAGTTGCAAATGGAGTCCTATAAATCTACTCTTCCCAAGAGCAATCTGCACTAGTTGTGTGACTTTCCAGTTTGGGAACATGAGGTAAATATGTTTATTGTGCTTGTCCAGGTACATTGAAATCTTCAGGAGTAGTAGAGGTGAGATTCGGGCTTTCCACGACCCTCCGAGGAGACTGATGGGGCAGCGTCCAGGACCATATGACCGACCAATGAGTGGAAGAAGTGGCTATGGTGGTCCTGGGCCTATGCGAGATATGTTTGACCGTGCCCGGCGTGGATCTGGATATAGTGGAGGTGAGGAGATGGATTTTACTATTATATGCAAGGATGAAAGCTAAGATCTCCATCTGAACGACAATGGGTAGCATCTTGGAGCGCTTACAAGTCTGATTCCATACAGGAAACTCCCTATTTCCACCTGAAATAAAATAACTTGAATTACTGTTAGCAACTGTGCTGATCTGCGATTGTTTAACCCAAGACCTCAGGCGGGTGGATTAGAACAACGACATGCAGAATAGTTTGATGGCATTACCAGCAGATCACAATTGGTGACTGCTCCCCTTTGCACTTCCTGCCATATTGTAAGTCAGACTGATCTTATGCAAGGTAAGTTCTCCAGTTATTTGGTGAGATTATCCAGAATGCAGTGCTTTCGAAAACCAAATAAATTCTTTGATCTTTACCCAAGGTTACGGCGGCTTTGAGGATTATGGCTACGATAACTATGGTTATGGACGCGATGGTTTTGGTCACAATTCCAGAGCAGGTGGAATGATGGACAGAGGTACATTATCTAGGAAGCAGTATTCCTCACAGTGCTGTCGGGTGAAATGTGTGGCTTGCATGTTGTGTTAACACAATAAGAACACAAATGGTAATCTGATTGGGGTGGGGTGGCCTTCATTGATTTTTTTTTACACTATGCTGTGGTGCGAGCGAGTGCATGAACATGAATATCAAGGGTTGTGGTTGAGGTTTGACTTGGTGCACGTTCTGAAGGGGACAGAGCCACGTGCTGATGGCTCAGCTTTACACTGATGGCTTCATCTCTGTTTGACCTTTGCAGGAATGGGGAGTCGTGGTTATGGCGGAGCAGGGGATGCCAGCCCAGTGTTTCAGAACGGCACTGGTCATTGCGTACACATGCGTGGGCTGCCTTTCAGGGCATCTGAAGCAGATATTGCCAATGTAAGCATCGTCTCTCCCATCAATTGATTTTGTGTGCGTCTCCTTGTTTGTGGGTTTTGTGTGGTAAATGGTTAAGCAATTGAATGGAGCGTGTTTTTTCTCTTCCTGATGTTTCAACTTTCACTGCAGTTTTTCTCGCCACTGATCCCTGTGAAGATCAACTTTGAATATGGTTCTGACGGGCGGCTGACTGGTGAGGCTGACGTTGAGTTTGCTACTCATGAAGATGCAGTCGCTGCCATGTCCAAAGACAAAGCGCATATGCGTAAGTATTTTGCCCCAGTTTAAGAGAAAGATGACTGCGATAAGTCAGTTATTTGGAATATTGCATTGTTGCCTCATTTAAATCAAACTCTTTCGCCCTAAGACGTTATATCAAGTGCAGGATTGTTTTCAGCACCTTGGGATATCCTCCCGAGGTGAAAGACGCTACACAAATGTAAGTTTATTGTTTTGAGCACTGAAGATAAATGGAATGCAATGATCTTGCAAAATGTTTGCAAGCGAGTGCCCCCACTCTCTGAAACACCATCCCGGAGTGTCTTCACCTCTTCCCCTTCAAGGTCCATCTCACGACCTTCTTCTTTGATCGCGCTTTGGTCATGGCCCCACCCCACTCGGCTCCAACCCGCAGTTCTGGTACAAACCTTTGGCTGTCCAGTTCCTTGGAACATCCTCCCAATGTGAAACAGGCTGTATAACTGCAATTTGTTGTCTGCACTTGGGCTTTTTGAAAGTTTTAAGTATTGTGATAAATATGAATTTCTACATCACTAAGTTAAGACTTCTCCTTCCAGAACACCGATATATTGAATTGTTTCTGGATTCAACTGCCAGTGTGGGAAGTGGCTATGGAAACCACAGAATGGGAGGCATTGGTAACGATCAATATGGTATTATAACTAGTTCTTATCATGAATTATCAGACATGTATACTTTGTCATAACTATTTACTGTATTCATTGTTCCACACATAAATAAAAACATTTGTCACGCAGGCAGTCAAGGCGGCTATGGGCACAACAGCCAGGGAATGGGGAATAGCTATGGCGGTGTGAGTAATAGCTATGGATATGGAAGTCCAGGAAACTCGCGATTTGGTAAGTGCACTTCTGTAGATCCTGTAGGAAAGCTCCATTTGTGCTTCACATGAGCATCAAACTGGATCTCCATCTCTTAAGTGAACAACGGTAACTGAGGCAATTTTGTAAACTAATTGTGAAATCTTGCCCTGATCCATTAAGCTATATAAAAACGAGGGTAAAAATAATGGTGTAAACATGTAAAGAGCAAACGGCTAGAGGGAGAAAATGGTTTCAGGATGGTTTAAGTCTTCCTCAGAACTTTGTCTAAATGTATGGAGTCATTTTAAAGGTAGAGGAAGATGTTTTCAAAATGAAGGAAAGTTGATTTTTTTTTTAATGGTTGGTTAATTGTATTCTTTTTATTCTCCAGGCTATGGTGGTATGGGTGGAGGTGGCTACTACAGCAGCCAGGATAGCATGGGGATGGGCAACTTGGGAGATGCCAGTCTAGGAGGCAGTGGATGGAGAATGTGACCTGTTACTGTGACCACAACTGGGCCAGAAGCTTCAAGAACCCAAACCGGATATCGCGATCTCTAACGGATGACCAATGCAAAATTAATGCTGTTAAAATTAATCTTTAATATAGCTACTTTGCCAGTTTTTTTACACATGTTTTGGTATGGATTTTTTTGGGGCCTGACCATCTTACAAAACAAGTGAGCAGGTTTTTGAAGCTTCAGGTCACAGCCTAATAGAAGAATAGATTTGTTCTGAAAGATAAATATTTGGACTCTACTTCAGTGACTATGTGGTGAATCAAGGTAAATATCTAGTACAACAGCCTTGTTTTTGGTTAACTTTCTCTCTTTTTGTTGTATTTTATTTTAACTAAATGGGAATTTAGACCTGTGTGAGTGTGCTGAGATGAACAAATGTGTGTGTTTTCTACTTTTGCTCTTGATACCACTTCAAACTGGGCACATGGTGAACTGTTCCCTTTCTGTGATTTTGATACTTGATGCGTGTCAAGCCAGAAACTGCTGAACCACCAACCAAACACTAACTCCATGGTTTGCTGAACAGCTTTATATGGTGAAGCACAGGCAAAGATGTGCTGTTAGAGATCTACTAGAGTATCCTTTGGCTGGTCTCTCCCAAGAGCCTTACTGAAGTCAGTTATGCACCAACCCATCATTGGGATTTTGTTCCACTGCTAGCTGGATTCTACCTTATTTTATAGTTTTCCTTTTGCTCCCTTCTGACCTTCCCCAATTCCCACCCTTCCTGTAAATTCAGGAGTTGCTGGATTGGTTTTAGATGGAATACTCTTCTTGTCAGCCCACTTCAGGTCTGATCAGTTACAATCTTGTTTTGACTTGCTCGTGGATTGTGTAACGATGGGACACTGAGCTGTCACAAAGCCACGGTGTGGTGCAGACAAATTGTTATATTTCCTTCCTGCATTTAATGAGTATTGTCAACATTTGGCGTTGGATATCTTGATGGTCATCCTTTATTTTGACTTGCTATGTTGAATTTTTTTTATATAAAAGTGTCTAGTTCTTGTGGTATTTTAACTTTGATTATTTTCGTACCCTTTAGCAATGTAGTTCTGAAAATGGGGGGAGGGGAATTAATTCCTGACACCCTTTCTTCCACTTTGGGTGCATAGTTTCTCTCCTGAGTAACTTGCCTTTGAGTTACTATGCTTCGTTCTGTGAGAACAATAGACCTGAACTTTATTATGCAGTTTTTTTTAATCTGCACATTTTTCTGTCGTAACATCTTCAAGAGGAATTGTTTCCTGTACATTTCTAATGGTGAATATAATAAAGTGGAGTTTCAGAACTTTGTAGTGAAGAAGTGACTTCGTGTTCTGATGATTATAAAAGAGAGACTGCTGGACTGGTAGGTACTATGAGGCAGTAGTTTTATTTTGGAAGATTTGAACACTAAGTTTCTTTTTCCTCTAGCCTGGCACATCTGACTACAGTTGCCTAACTCAGCAGCTGCTGCTCTTAACTTTATTGTGTTACTACTAAGCTACTGCTTAGTGCTCGCTTCCTAACAACTTGCATTTACACAGCGCCCCTCACGCAGAGCAGTGTCCCACAGCGCTTGACAGTGGTGGACACGAGTCGGGGGAGGGGGAAGTGACCGTAGGGATGGTCGAATAGGAATGTCTTCAGGCGTGATAGCGTGGACAAGGTGGGGAGCACAATGCAGCAATTTGATTTCCACACTCTAGTGGATAACAAGGCCTTCCCTTCCAAATGGATCAATATTGATCACTTACAAGTGCCACAAGTTGGCACTTAATATTTATTTTCTTGATACTACACATAAACCAGGACTCAATTGGTGTGAATATTTTGCTAATCTTGTTAAGGATTGTGAAAGTTCATCACAGGAAATTGGTATGAAGTACTCATCGCAGTTCTTTAGGGATCTGCACATCCCTAACAGCTCAATAAAAAGTTCAGGGAAGTCAAGTAAACTTACACATTGCTTGTTTTTGTGATTGTTATAATAATCCTTGAATTTGATAAAGCACCTTATGTCGTCGAGATGTCTCAAAGCTCTTCATAGAATATATTGTGAAGTGTAGTGACTATTTTGTGGGTAGCCATTTGTACACCGCAGTGTCCCACAAACCGTCATGGATTGCATGACACATTATTTGGATATGATCCTATATTGCAGCAGCCACTCGCACAAGTGCTGTTGGATTCAGACCAGTTCCAGGCATGGCCAGCAAATGGTACAGGATCACTGTGTAGTGTTAAGTGGTATGTAACCTCTCCATTCTGTAGGCTGGATATTTATATTGGTGTTGACTGAATGTTATAACAACAAAATTACATGTATTTATAGATGTGTCTTTTTATATGGAAAACTTGACCACCTGCTTGACTTGCCTCTGAAAAGCTAAATAGAGGGTACAAGAACTTCCATCGCAGAAAGTTTGGAGTGGGACTGGTTGGAAGCTCTTTCAAAGCACAGGCACGATGGGCAGAATGATCTGTACTGTAGGATTCTATGATTCTAGCCCTGGTGGCTCAGTGGGCAAATGGTCCTGTGGAATGAGAGGTTATATTAAGGTCCCCGTTGCCTGTTTGCATGGCTCAGATTAGTTATGATCTCATGGTACTATTGGAGAGGAGTTTCTCCAGGTATCCTCGTCAAGGCATGAGGAAGTTACTGAAGACGTGCCTAGTTAATAAAGAATAATGCAAGTTCATCCTCATCAGGGAAGTAATTCAGCAGCTAAAAGTAAGTGTTAAATGCAAAGTATTTTCTACTCCAAACTTAATTAGAACAGAAGTGGCAGACAAAATTTTGACCAAACCAGAGTAATCGGTAATAAAATAATTCTTGCGTTTAATAGTCTTATCACGTTGTTGAAGTCTCAAAGCGCTTCACAGAATACACTGAAAATTGATTGTATTTTGTGGGTGAATCTATACAAACAAAATACCATTTTGTGTGTGTATTAGCCAAAATCTCAATAATTGATTGACAAAGACATGATTTATATCTCATCGGAAAGGTCTTGGAAGCACAAGCGTCATGAGCATATTTTTTTTCAGGGATCCCCTATTGTTGATGAGCTGTAGTTAACAAATGCTTTAATTAAGCCCCAAAATATGAGGTACGCACGCAACAGGAAATCACACACTGCTTTAGAGCGATACCTCGCAATAATACATTCTGCACAGAGTTGTGACAAAACCATGAGCATATTTTGGAGGATTTATTATATAAAGTATAATGGTGTAATATAAAATATTATAATTAATATAAAATATGTGATCTATAGTAAATTATGATGTAATGTGAAATATAATACTGAAATCTATTTTTCCACACTGGATCCTTCAGTTGCAAGTTATGACGGGTACAGCAAGTAATATATAATGTAAACTAAAATTCAAATGAGCTACAGCCAGCGCTCTCAGGAGAATTTTCTCAGGAAAGTGAAGATACTTTTAAGGGGATGAATAAAGTAGACACCAGAATTAAACTGACAGATTCAGGGTGTATGTAACGTACAATAAAAAAAATTATTTGTGTAGCCCCTTTCACGTTGGGAGGATGTCCCAGGATGCTGGAAACCTGTGGACAGTCAGCGGGAAGGATGATGATAATCCTTGCATTTAATATAGTGCTTTATCACAGCCGTGAGGCATCTCACAGTGCTTCACAGAATTGGCTAAAATGAATTGACTGTATATTTTGTGGGTGAAATGCGGCAAAGCAGTGTCCAACAGACAGCGAGGATTGAGTGACCAATTTAGGACGGTTGAAGGGGAAGAAAAAGCATTAAATAATAATAATCTTTGCATTTTGATGTAGTGCCTTATGAATATCAGAATTAACTAAAGTAAAATGACGGTGTTTTGTGGGTGAAACCAACATTGTGAGAAACCGTGTAATCGGGAAGGAAGGTGGTAACTAACGGTTGGCATTTCCCTCCAGTGGTCATTGGGGGAAAAAATCACCGGTATGAAAATGATTGAAATTGTGGGGACATTGCTGTGTGCGATCGGCCGCCGCGTTCGCCCACAAATACACAGTCAATTCACTTTATAGTATAGTCTGTGAAGCGCTTTGAGACGTCTGGAAGACGTGATGAGGCGCTGTGCCAAATGCCGCGGTGCTGTGGTCTGTTGTGTGGGGACAGTAATCCATGACTGTCCGGGACGCTGTTGTGCCAATCGGCCGCTGCCCTTCGCCCGCGGTTTACAGCCGCTTCCTCTTACAGTGTATCCCGTGAAGCGCTCTGAGACGTCTCGAAGATGCGATGAAGCGCTGCACCAAACGCCAGGAATAGGAGTAATTATTATTATTATTATTATTATTATTATTAGCGCCGAATTGAAGTCGGTGTTCGCTGCTTTGGCTCCGGGAGGGGGTGGGAGTGAGCGCGGCCCCCGGTGCAGGATGTGGGGGCAGTGCCGGAGTGAGTGACGGGCGCCTGTACCAACCCCGGGGACGGCAGGAGGAAGGCAGTGTAGGGGACGGCCACTGCCGCGCCGCGTGGCTGCTCTGTGCTGTGGGGCAGTGCGGTCTCAGCCTCAGCCTCAGCCTCAGCCCCGCAATGGCTCACATCTCCTCTCCTCTGCACCGGGTCGGCGCTCTCCTCCGCCATCTGCACCTCTCAGCCCACAGGTAAAGCTCTTTAGTCGGTCACTGGCGGTGGTCTGGACCTTCATCCCGTGGGTGGGTCTGTGTCTCTGTGTGTGTGTGTGTGTGTGTCTCTGTGTGTGTGTGTGTGTGTGTGTGTGTCTCTGTGTGGGTGTGTGTGTCTCTGTGTGTGTGTGTGTGTCTCTGCCCCTCTCTGTGTGTGTGTGTCTCTGCCCCTCTGTGTGTGTGTGTGTGTGTGTGTGTCTCTGCCCCTCTCTATGTGTGTGTGTGTCTCTGCCCCTCTGTGTGTGTGTGTCTCTGCCCCTCTGTGTGTGTGTGTCTCTGCCCCTCTGTGTGTGTGTGTCTCTGCCCCTCTGTGTGTGTGTGTCTCTGCCCCTCTGTGTGTGTGTGTCTCTGCCCCTCTGTGTGTGTGTGTCTCTGCCCCTCTGTGTGTGTGTGTGTGTCTCTGCCCCTCTCTATGTGTGTGTGTGTGTGTGTCTCTGCCCCTCTCTATGTGTGTGTGTGTGTGTCTCTGCCCCTCTGTGTGTGTGTGTGTCTCTGCCTCTCTTTGTGTCTCTGCCCCTCTGTGTGTGTGTGTCTCTGCCTCTCTGTGTGTCTCTGCCCCTGTGTCTCTCTCTCTCTCTCTCTCTGTGTCTCTGCCCCTGTGTGTGTGTGTCTCTCTCTCTCTCTCTCTGTGTCTCTGCCCCTGTGTGTGTGTGTCTCTCTCTCTCTGTGTGTCTCTGCCCCTGTGTGTGTGTCTCTCTCTCTCTCTCTCTCTCTCTGTGTCTCTGCCCCTGTGTGTGTGTCTCTCTCTCTCTCTCTCTCTCTGTGTCTCTGCCCCTGTGTGTGTGTGTCTCTCTCTCTCTCTCTCTGTGTGTCTCTGCCCCTGTGTGTGTGTCTCTCTCTCTCTCTGTGTGTCTCTGCCCCTGTGTGTGTGTGTCTCTCTCTCTCTCTCTCTCTCTCTCTGTGTCTCTGCCCCTGTGTGTGTGTCTCTCTCTCTCTCTCTCTCTCTGTGTCTCTGCCCCTGTGTGTGTGTCTCTCTCTCTCTCTCTCTCTCTGTGTCTCTGCCCCTGTGTGTGTGTGTGTCTCTCTCTCTCTCTCTGTGTGTCTCTGCCCCTGTGTGTGTCTCTCTCTCTCTCTCTCTCTGTGTCCCCCTGTGTGTGTGTGTCTCTCTCTCTCTCTCTCTCTCTCTCTGTGTCTCTGCCCCTGTGTGTGTGTGTGTGTCTCTCTCTCTCTCTCTGTGTGTCTCTGTCTCTCTCCCTCACATACCCACAGATCTCTGAGTGCAGATTAACTCCTCTCCCCATTCCCCTCTGTCACCTCCCGCACTGCCTGAATGATGAAATCCGCACTGCTGTTACACTATATGGCACTGAGAGCAGCGGCGGAGTGTGGGCTGTGCTGTGGATGGCTTTGTTGGTACAGATTCCCAGATATAACCCACAAACTGCTTCTATGTCTGTGTCCCCGACCAAATGTCTGCAAACTGTGATTGAGAGAGAGAGAGAGGTTTAAAAAGTCTGCCTGTTGCTGCTTTCCAGGCTTTCTGAGTCCCTTTAAGTACTTTCTCGTCCCCCAACTGCAGCCAATGAGTTTACAATCTAAATTTAGAGTCTGCTCTGCCCTCCTGAAGGCTGTGACTGTCCTGTGTCCCCCCCACACCCCCCCCACACCCCACACACATACATACAGGAATTGCAAATCCATCCATCCAAGCTGCCCCTCTCTCACAGCCTCACTGCTCTGTCTGTCACATTGCACAAATATATATATATATATATATATAATAATCCTTGCATTTGATATGTCTCAAAGCGCTTTCACAGGATATACTGTAATGAATTGTGTCAATGGTACCCAAAGGCAGGGCAGTGGAGGGGGTTTGGGATGATTATCAGTGCACTGGAGTGTGTGAGGGGGGCAGGGGTGGGTGTGCGAGAGGGTGTTGTGGTGTATAAGCACAGGGATGGACTTCTGATGCCCACTGACCTGCTTTACGCTGTAAAACACAACAACAATAGGTTACCTTTAACCTCTGGAAACACCATTGATGTGACTTATATAAGTATGAGTTATGTCAAACATAGCATAGAACATATACTCTTGAACATAACTTGGGCTGATGTACGACTTAGGCTATGATATGATTTGTACAGGTCGGACTTATGCCAATTTTACTGTAGATTTACACATTGCCTTTCATCTCGAGAGGACTCCCAAATCGCTGGACAATGAGGGTTTTGCACCTGAGTGAGCTGTGGGTTGGGATCAGAGAGGGGTGGAGAGCAACGGTGTGTGTAAATACCAAATATTGATAGCATTTAACCTCCCCCCACCCAACCACGGGCACCGAGCCAGCATTATCGACACGAAAGGCACTGCATAATATAAATGAAATAGCCGTGAAATGAAGGATTTTTTTTTAAGGCAGGAGAGGGGTGATTGTCATCCAGGACATCGACTGGGAGACACTCGATTTTCTTTTCCAATAGCGTGGGGGTGGGGGGGAGTGGTTGAGATGGGGGATCATTAAGATCTACCTGAACAGGGCAAAGACGCGGAACTCAGTTGAATGTCTCATCTGAACCGAAGGATGGCTCTGACAATGTAACTCACGCTCCCCATCCCCAACTGCGCTGTATGGGGTGTCAGACTAAACTGTGTGAATGAGGCCTCAAGCTCCTGACTCCCTCGCAGGTGAGAGTGGTCTGCACTGAGCCACATGGCGGGAGGGGGGGGGGTGTTTGTGACACCGTTTGCTCTGTTTCTAGGACTCGTGCTTTGATCTGTTGCAGTGTCTATCTGTCCTGTCCGTCTTCCTTGGGACTTCCTGTTTGAACCCAGTCTCTAATTGCACTTCCTGAACAGCTTCAGTTTACGGTAAAGGGCACTGCGTGTGTGGGTGTGTGTGGGTGTGTGTGCTGCGTTCACGCTTAGATTGTTGTTGCGCTCTCTCTATCCGTCCATCTCTCCAAGGTGACAACTCCCCATTCCCACTGCTGGGGGTGTGGGTTGTATTGGCAGAGGTGCTGTCCTTTGGAATACAATGCAAAATACAAGAGGTTAGAGGTTCAGATGGATGTTAAAGATCCTGTGGTACTATTCGTAAAGGGAAGGGAGTTTCCCATGGTGTTCTGGCCAACAATTTTTCACATAAAATTGGTCACACGACTGTTTGTGGGACACTGCTGTGTGCAAATTGACTGCCACTTTCCCCCCCAAAATACAATCACTCCACTTTATAATATATCCTGTGAAGCGCTTTGAGACATGCTTCGACGATGTGATAAGGCGGCGCCGTGTCAAATGCAAGGATTATGATTATTATGATCTTCCTGTACAGTTTTGGGTTCAAGCTACAGCCCTCCTGGGGGTTGGGGGTGGGGTTTCACTTGTTGGTGAGTAGGAAACAAGAGCAGGGAATTATAGTGTGTTCGGAATAGTTTGATTAGGAAGAACTTCAGTACACAGAGGGCGGTGAGAGTGTGGTGCTCTGGGACACTACCCTGTGTGATGGGCGCTACATAAATGCAGGTTGTTGTTGCCACAACAGAAACCCTGGTCACCAATGTCTTCAAAGTCAACGCCTACATTGGCACGGCCTGTGTAGAGTTTAAATACCGGCACAGTATCAAAATCAATTTAAAGAGGAGTGAGAGTTTCCACGTGGTATCGTTCTCTGTGACTGTGTGTGTGCTGCCCTCGTTCAGGGTGGAGGTGGGAAGGAAGTGTGTCTGTCGCACGGCTGCTTGTGCAAGATTTGCGGTAAATCTTTGCTGAGTTGGCTTGAGTGGTTGTAGAGAGTGAGTGACCCCACTTGAGTTGTTTGTGCGTTGTGGCAAGTGTTGTGTGTTTTCCTTTTGCTCTCCCTCCTTTACAAGCTGTAGCTCAGTGGTTAGAGCACTTGGCTCGCAAGCGAGATACCTGGGTTTGATTCCTGGGCACCGCACAACTTTAGGCAAGTTTCCTTACTCCACACGCACGCCTCTCCCTACCAGCAGTAAGTAGGAACCCAGTTGTTAGTCATTTGGCGGATCACTTTCAATCCCTCCAAATAAATAAAAGAAATATTAATTTGGTCACTCAATCCACGACTGTTGGTGGGACGCTGCTGTGTGCAATTGGCTGCCGTGTTTCTCTCACAAAATAGTCACTACACTTTACAGTGTGTCCTGTGAAGCGCTTTGAGTCATGATAAGGCGCTGTATCAAATGCAAGGATTATTATTATTATTATAACGTTCCTCCTCCCTGTTGTGTCCCGGTAGGAGCGAGGCTGTGATTATCTCAGGCAGGAAGCTAGCCAAGCAGATCCGAGGTGAAGCCAAGGTGGACGTGGAGCGGTGGGTAGCGGCCGGGAACAGGAGACCCCACCTCAGTGTCATCCTGGTGGGAGACAACCCGGCCAGCCATTCCTACGTCAGGAACAAAACCAAAGCTGCTGCAGATGTAGGTACGGAACTCACTGGCTCACGCTCTCATGCCATTCTCTCTTGCACGCTCCCTCTTGCGTGCGCGTGATCTCTCTCTTGCGTGTTGTTGTTGTTGACCCTCACAATTGCCTTTGGGATGAACAGGTATCACCAGTGAGACCATTCTGAAGCCGGGCAGCGTCACCGAGCAGGAGCTGTTGGGGCTGATCGACAAACTGAACAATGATCAGAAGGTGGACGGGTTATTGGTGCAGCTCCCTCTGCCAGGTAATCCCGCTGGCTGGGGCTCACACCCCTGGGGGGAACTGTAGCTTAGTGGTTAGAGTCCTCGCCTCGCAAGTGAGAGGACCCAGGTTCAATTCCCGGGCAGCCTTGTGCGAAACCAAGGTGCTTGGGGCGGGGGGCAATGGAAGCTTCATAACTGGTCGTTCTTTGTCTCTCTCTCTCTCTCTCTCTCTCACACACACACACACACACACACACACACACACACACACACACACACACACACACACACACACACACACACACACACTAGAGCACCTCAATGAACGCAAGATCTGCAACGCGGTGTCTCCCGGCAAAGACGTAGACGGTTTTCACGTGATCAATGTGGGCCGCATGTGCCTGGACCAGAATGCCATGCTACCCGCCACGCCCTGTGGAGTGTGGGAGATCATCCAACGCACAGGTAACGCTGGGCCGGGGCAGAGCCAGAGTGTGTGTGTTATTCACTATAAAGTCTAGTTACCCTGTCTGTCAGGGCTGGGGCAGAGGGTTGGTATGTGGTGTGTGTGTGTTATTCACTGTGATATCTGGTTACCCTGTCAGTCAGGGCCGAGGTAGTGGGAGGGCTTGTGTGGGTGTGTATGTGTGGTGGGGGGGTTATTCATCAAAAGATGATGACAGAGAAACGCAGACAGAATTCAGGCAACTCCGCACTAATAACAATGTCCGAATCGCCTGATAGAAGAACCAACATCTGTCCAGTCGTGTTACGTGGGTTTCAATTGGTGAGTGTAGTGACTGTTTGTGTGCGCGCGGCTAATTTTAACAGCACAGTGCTTGTCCCTTGTGATCTCTGTTCCACCATCGGTGGTCGCGATTTCAGCCACTAAACCCCAAAACTCTGGAACACTCGCCCTCTATCCCACCGCCTCGCCCCTTCCTTCCCCATCTTCAGGTCGCGCCTGAAGACCCTCCTCTTCGACCATGTGGAGTCCTGTAGCTCAGTGGTTAGAGCACTCGCTTTGCAAGTGAGAGACCTCAGTTCAATTCCAGGCAGAGGGTGAAACCTCGGGCAAGTTTCCTTACTCCACACAGAGCCTAATAATAATCCTCCAAAACCAAAAACAATAATAAATTGGTCATTTTCAATCCACGACTGTTTGTGGGACATTGCTGTGCGCAATTGGCTGCCGCGTTCGCCCACAAATATACAGTCAATTCACTTTACAGTGTGTTCTGTGAAGCGCTTTGGGACGTCCTCCCGACGTGAAAAGCGCTATATCAAATGCAAGGATTATTATTATTATTATGTCTACGGTCACTTCCCCCTTCCCCCCGGCTCGGAATCCTGGTCCCCAACTGTCGAGCGCTCTGGGATGTTACATAAATGCAGGTTTGTTGTTCTTTTCCTCCCTCTCCCCCTCCCAGGAATCCCGACCCTGGGGAAGAATGTGGTGGTGGCCGGACGGTCAAAGAATGTAGGGATGCCCATCGCAATGCTACTGCACACGGATGGCAGACATGAGAGGCCGGGAGGTGAGCAGCAGCGCCCCCGGTACCCAGAGATCCAACTCCAACTCCCAGCTCCAATTCTCCACTCCACTGCCCACATCTGTCTCACCTTCTAGCTCCTTCCTTCCCTATCCCTCCCTCTTTGTTTCTCTCCTTATCTCTCTCTCTCTTCCCCTTCGCCTTGCTCTCCCCCTCTCCGCTTTCAAGACCCTTTTGAAAACATCTCTTTAATTGTGCCTTTGACCTGGCGGCTGGGGGTTGGTGGTGTGTGGGGGGCGGTGGAGTGCCTTGACACGCAGAAACTTACTGCCGTGTTTAGGAGTCTCCGAATTATCACAAGTTCTTTGTTCTCCACAAACTCCACCTGGTCTGTCTGCGTCCACTGGTCAAAGTATTTCACACACTGTTCTTTCTGCTTCTCGTAGCTGCTGGACGGTCTGCGTTGGTGGGGGGGCGATCTAACCTGGGGGGCTTTGTCTGTCGAGAGGGTGGGGGTAAAGGGAGGGAGGGAAAGAAAGAGAGAGACTTTAGAAACACAGATTTAATATCATGCTGTACAGTGTTTAGAGTGATCGCCTCACAAGCGAGAGGAGCTGGGTTTGATTTCCAGGCGGGCCGTAACCTTAGTTTCCTTACTATATAATATATATATATATATATATATATACATACACAGACACACCTCTGTTTAGTCAGTAGGACTAAAGTCCTTACCTCCATTGCCTCAGTCCTTGTCAAACTCCATTGGTTCCCTGTTACAGAACGGATCGATGTCAAGATCCTCACTCTGGTAGGTCCTGGCTCCCCCCAATCTCTGCAACCTGTTGTCTCCCAACACCATTACCCACTGCCCCCACTTGACTGGCTCCAGCCGCTCCTTATCCCTGAGGCCCTCCGCCCCACCATCGGCGGCCGTGCTCTCAGCCGCTACGCCCAGAAGCTGTGGAACTCTCTCCCTCTATCCTTGCCTTGCCCCCTCTCTTCCCATTTTCATTTGAAGACCTCCCTTCGCTCAGCATCGGGCTCCGCCATTGTTAAGCACTCCAGGACGCTGCATGGCAGGAAGAGCGATATATAAATGCGAGTTGTTGTTGCAGTAGGAACCCAGTGGATTGGCGGATCGCTTTCTGGGAATAATAATCTCGTCAAAAAGATTAAATAACTAAAATAATATTGTGGTCACTCAATCCACGCTCTTTGTGGGGACGTCACTGTGTGCAATTGGCTGCTGTTTCGCTCACAAAATACAGTCACTTTATATTCACTTTAGTGTATTCTGTGAAGCGCTTTGAGACGTCTCGAAGATGTGATCAGGCGCTATGTCAAATACAAGAATTATTATTGTTACACGTTGGACTCTCCCTGCCGGAGAGGGAGGAGTCAGTAGGACATTAAGTGGATGTGGTGTTGTTGTAGGTGACGCCACAGTGACCATCTCACACCGCTACACACCCAAAGAGCAGCTAAGAGAACACACCAAGTTGGCCGACATCATCGTGGCTGCGGCAGGTGAGGTGGCGATGGCAGAGGGGGTGGGCACAGGTGGCAGAGGGGGTGGGCACAGGTGGCAGAGGGGGTGGGCACAGGTGGCAGAGGGGGTGGGCACAGGTGGCAGAGGGGTACCAGCTTGTTGAACTCCCCAGAGCTCCGTATTGCACGCTCTGAGAAGAGGGAGTGAGGTGGAGAGGGATTTTTGGTTGTGGTATTAAAGCCAGTGTTTGGGGTGCTGTACCCCCACCCCGAGTGCCCACTGCTCACTGATGTCTCTCTGTTCCGGGGCTGCAGGGATTCCCAACCTGATCACAGCCGACATGGTCAAGGAAGGAGCTGCCGTCATCGATGTCGGCATCAACCGTGTGGAGGACCCGGTCACCGGGAAAGCCAAGCTGGTGGGAGACGTGGACTTTGAGGGTGAGTCAGTGAGGGTCGTGAGGACACACGGAGGTTACACGGGGCTAGATTCTACATACATGACCAGCCGGGTGTCACTGACACACACGGAAACTGATCACCATGACCGGCCGGGTGTCTGACACACACGGAAACCCATCACCGCGACCGGCCGGGTGTCTGGACACACACGGAAACCCATCACCGTGACCGGTCGGGTGTCTGACACACACGGAAACCCATCACCGTGACCAGCCGGGTGTCACTGACACACACGGAAACCCGTCACCGTGACCGGCCGGGTGTCTGGACACACACGGAAACCCATCACCGTGACCGGTCGGGTGTCTGACACACACGGAAACCCGTCACCGTGACCAGCCGGGTGTCACTGACACACACGGAAACCCGTCACCGTGCTTCAGTGTTTCCATATCAGCCAATGTTCCGAAGATGTGGCCACTTCTCCCGAGTGAAAAATGCCCCTGTACCTGGAATGGAGACCGCACTCTCCTCTCTCCCCGCAGAGGGAGGGGGTGCAGACCCTGGAGCGATCGATGGTGTAATGGCTGATGTTTAACCAGCTAAGAACATGCTCTCTCTCTCCTTTTCCGAGGTCGGGGAGGAAAGGGTTAACGTGTGCTGTGTCCCCGTGGCTGCCGTGTGGTGTGGGTATTAGATTAGAGACGGCTTTCCTCGTGACTTGATAAATGACGGGCGTTTGGTTTCGCTCGTGACTGCGTCTGTCGATGAATCGGGAGCTGTCAGTCTCCCCATTGCGCTGTTTAAGTGCTTCACGTATCGTGTTCCCTTTAAAGTGGGGGAAGCAGCTGATGTACAGCAGCAATCGTCCCCTCCCCCCAGCTCACACTCACTCACACTCTCACATGGTGTGTGTGCACTCGGGGGGGAGCTGGGGGGTGGGGGAGGCGGTGAGAGTGCAATCACACATGTCTGACCCCGAGTTATGTCTGTTGTGCCCCCAGAGGTGAGGAAGAAAGCGAGTTACATCACGCCGGTGCCGGGGGGAGTGGGGCCGATGACCGTGGCCATGCTGATGAAGAACACCATCATCGCGGCCAAGAGACTGCTGACCGGCCGGACAGACTGACCACCCCCCCCACACTGGGGGCGGGGGGCATACAGACTGAGCCCCTACACTCCTGGACAGGCGGAGCCTCTCCTCCCACACGGACTGACTAGTTTTTCTGTAACTGATTCCACTCCAGAAAAACGCTGCTATTTATTAACTTGAAGGTCGTGTAAATCACTGACAGTGGCATACTGCCCCTCACCCCCCGGTCCTCACTTCACACGGGGGTTATTGTTGGGGGGGCTGAGGGGTGGGGGGGGGTAATGTATGGCTGAGTGACCGGTACGTGATGAGAGGGATTGTTACATTGATGTTACGTTGGCTGCCAAATGAGATTGACGTGAAAGTTATTTTCTATTGTGCGGATCAGGAGGACCTGAGCAACAGGTGTGCGAGTGTGTGTGTGTGTGTGTGCGGGGGTGGGGGGCACTTGTGTACGTGTGTGCATGCATTCGCGTGTGTGCGCGCGTGTTTATTTGTGTGTGCTTAGCTCGCCTGTTACGAGATGTCAGAAATAAATCCAGAAACAAACCGAATGTGGTGGTCTGGTGTGATCCAGCTCGGTGGCTGGGGGGGAGCGCGGCTGTGGGTGGTGGGGGGAGCGCGGCGGTGGGTGGGTGGGTGGTGGGGGGCGCGGCTGTGGGTGGGTGGGTGGCGGGGGGCTGTGGGTGGCGGGGGGCTGTGGGTGGGGTGGGAGGCGCGGCTGTGGGTGGTGGTGGGGGGGCGCGGCTGTGGGTGGGGGGGGCGCGGCTGTGGGTGGGTGGGGTAAAGCATCACCCCTTTGTAAGCCGACGTCTTGAAGCCCATCACAGGATTTCATTGCAAAACGTAGCGGCTGTATTTTCTGGCGAATGTGGCAGCAGCAAAAGGTAGGAAACTCGTTTAGTTTTCTCTTGATCGGAGGGGTTGGGGGGAGGGGGATTATCAACCCAAAATGACATAATCCTTGCATTTTGGTGGTTGTGGTGGAGACTGTTTCTGCCGGCAAGCGCAAGATCGGGTGTCATGCTCTCGCGACATCTTTGGGGTTTTTTTGTTGCTCGTTTCCATTAATTAGTCATTTCACAAGAATCACATGAAAGGGACTGTATTTTGTGGGTGAAACGCGGCAGCCAATTGTGCAAAGCGGTGTTCCTACAAACAGCCGTGTGGGAAAGGAGTTAGTTTCTCCACGTCCTGGCCAACAATTTACTAAATCTCTGAAAAAAATCGGTTCCTCAATCTACGACTATGTGGGACAAATTCACTTTACAGTTATCCTTAGCACAACAATGTGCTAAGGATCTATTCCAAATGCAAGGATGATTATTATTGAGTGACAAATTTAATAATTTTTTTTGAAGGGTTTATTACCCCCGGAAAAGCGATCCGCCAATCGACTAACAACCGGATTCCTACTGACAGAGGTGTGTGTGTGTGGAGGAAGGAAACTTAACATAAGAACAGAAAAACATAAGAATTAGGAGCAGGAGTCGGCCATTCAGCCCCTCGAGCCTGTGCTCCGCCATTCGATAAGATCATGGCTGATCTTCAGACCAACTCTAATTACCCGCCCTATCCCCTAATCTCTCTATTTTTAAAAAATCTATCAGTCTCAGCCTTGAAGATGTTCAAGGACTGACATCTACAGCCCTTCTGGGGGAGTGAATTCCATAAAGTCACTGCCCTCTGAGTGAAGAAATGTTTCCTCAACTCTGTTCTAAAAGGCTGACCCTTAATTTTCAGACTGTGACCCCTGGTTATAGATTCTCCCACCGGGGAAACAGACCCTCAGTGTCTACTTTATCAGCCCTTTAAGAACCTTATATGTTTCAATAAGATCCCCCCTAATTCTTCTGTACTCCAGAGAATACAGCCCGAGTTTATTCAGACTATCCTCATAGGTCAGTCCCCTCATCCCAGGAACTAACCCAGTGTTAGTTGCCCAACATTTCGCTCTGTCCCACCCAGGAATTGAACCCACGTTCTCTCTCCTGCTAAGTGAGTGCTCTAACCACTGAGCTACAGGACTTTATGGGGGTTATATTGTTCAGAATATTGTTCAGTCCGTCTCGTTGCTAGGTCTCACACTCACTCCTTCACATTCACACTCACACATTCAACACACACTCAACACGCACGCACTTAGTCTCACTCACAAACTCACAAATCTCACTTCTACACCCGATCAATCTCACTCACACAGACACCCAGTCTGAATAACACTCACTTAGTCTCACTCACAGATTCTTACCCACACACATATACACATGCATACAGTCGTGCTCACTTATTCATACACACTTATATTCTCAAACACACACACACACACAAACATGACGTGGACTGGTAACACGCCAGAGTCTGGCAGCAACAACACATGACATTTACACGGCGCCTTTTGCATCAGGCGGACGTCCCAAGGCGCTGGACAGTCAGGGATTTGGACCCGAGCTGGGGGTTGGGATCAGGGAGGTTAGGGGTAGGAGGGTGACTAATGGAATGGTCGAAGATGAGAGTCTTGAGATGAGGGTCTTGCTCATTGTTATTAGATAAGTGGGGGGGTCAACCTTTATAAAGGTACATTTATAAATACAAAGTTTTTGTGGTTTGATGCTGAGCCGGAGAGTGGGGTGACCGAAGGCTCAGTTGGAAGAGGAAAGTATTCAAGTAGGATTTGAAGATGAGCAAATGGGGGAGCGGCAAGACTGAGGGATTGAGGCAGTTCCAGTGATTCTGCGCACTCTTGATTGGTAACGTTATCCCATCCTTTTCCAGAACTGCGATCTGTCTGGCTGTGACCTGCATGAGGCCAACTTGAGGGGCTCAAACGGGAAGGGAGCCATCTTCCAGCGCCTTGGGACGTCCTCCCAACGTGAAAGGGCAACATTACCCCATCAACAAGAGGAGGAGGAGACGGAAATACAAGACCTCCATAGCCAGTGGAGAACGCATTCATGCAATCCCATTCTGCACACACGCACCTTGCGCTCACCATTACAGGCACTGCTTCAAGCTGCTCTGGTTCATTTCCCACCATACGCTTGGGAGAGAGAATCAGCTGTCCTCCCATTCTGACTCTACTCCAGATAATTATTAGCCGGACAGATTGGAGACTTTTTACAATCGTCTGTGTGATTTTGAGTGTGTGTGTGTGCGAATGTGCGTGTATAAGTGTGAGTGAGTGCATGTAAGTGTGTGTACACGCACACAAAATGGCAATGGTTAATGTAGAATTTCAGGTGGGAACACTCCTCCCATAGAAATCTGTCAGGGAGTTTTCGCATGAAACAGTCCTCTTTATAAACAGTTGATGGGGTGGGATGAAGGCTGGAATGGAAGGAGGGAGGTGGGGTTGTGGAGGGATCGCTTTTCTGATTCAGCCCTCGAGTAGGGAGGGGAGAGGTCCTGGGTTTTGTGTTCACAGTGTCCAAAAGTTCTCACAACCTTCTTTTGAAGGTGGTCAGTGTTAGAGGGAGGAAGGGGCGAGTGAGACAACACAGGAACGAGTGACAAGGGGTTCAAAAGTGAAGTTATTAGGGTAAGGTTGGGGCAAGAGCAGCTTTGGTTGATGCCCTGTGTGGGTGACCTTGACCTTCGCTAGGCCAGGGGTCAGAGCAGCATTGGGGTGGATGGGAGGAAAGAGGGGGAATGCAGTGATTGTGAAAGGGGGCAACACATTTCTCGAGCACCAAATGAAGCCGTGTATTTACTGAGAGGAGGGAGAGGTTTCGGTGGGGCTCCTGTGCACTGCTTTTAGTCTAGTTCACAGGCTGCCAACTCGCTGTGTCTGAACGCCTCACCGAGGGCCACAGCAACCAACGACACTCGTATCGCGAGCGCCCTTCATATCGGAAAGCCGTCCCAGGGTGCTGGACAATCAGGGGTTTGGGACTCGAGCTGTAAAGCTTAAGTTTCAGCACTTTGCTGAGCTCCAGGGCAAGATTTAACCTCTCTATCTCACCAAGGAGATGCTCTCTTCGTTTATCTGCAGATGGAAACTATTTGGCCCACAAACTGTATACAGTGGATTTGTTTTACAGTGTATCCTGTGAAGCCCTTTGAGACATCTAGAAGACGTGATGAGGCGTTGTATCAAATGCAACGATTATTATTTACTCAACACAGGATTGGTTTGAATAATAATAATAATAATCCTTGCATTTGATATAGCGCTTTTCACGTCGGGAGGACGTCCCAAAGCGCTTCACAGAATATACTGTAAAGTGAATTGACTGTATATTTGTGGGCGAACGCGGCAGCCAATTGCGCACAGCAATGTCCCACAAACAGTCGTAGATTGAAAATGACCAATTTATTATTGTTTTGGTTTTGGAGGGAATATTATTAGGCTCTGTGTGGAGTAAGGAAACTTGCCCAAGGTTTGGCCCTCTGCCTGGAATTGAACTCAGGTCTCTCGCTTGCAAAGCGAGTGCTCTAACCACTGAGCTACAGGACTCCACAATAAACTATTCTCTCAGCATCGCTTGTGGATTTTGCCATCGCTTCCTTACAGAAGTTGCGCTCAGGCGAGAGCGCTACCTCACACACGTGTATATCCGTAAACCAGCACCACATCATTAAACCTGCCTCAGTCTGGCACAATACAGGCGGTGAAAGCCAAAGCTGGTCAGGATTCGCATAGAAAGGATTAATCAGTCGGTGGCCATTTGAGTGGGGGAAGCAATTATTGCATTAATGTAGAGTTCTGTAGCTCAGCGGTTAGAGCACTTACAAGCGAGGGGACCCAAGCTCGATTCCCCGTAGGCGAAATGTTGGGCAAGTTTCCTTACTCTACACCCCCCTGTTTATAGCATTAAGTAGGAACCTGTTGGATTGTTTTTCTGGGGGTAATAATGCTTTCAGATAAATAATACTTTGGTCACTCAATCCATGACTGTTTGTGGGACATTGTTGTGTGCAATTGGCTTCTACATTTCATCCACCAAATATACAGTCACTACACTTTACAGTATATCCTGTGAAGCGCTTTGAGACCCCTTGAAAACTTGATAAGGCGCTGTATCAAATGCAAGGATTATTATTATTATTCTCCTGCTTTTACCCTTTCTGCACCCTCTTCTGTTTCTCCCCAATATCTACCCAATTTCCCCTTCGAGCTAATCGGGATCTTCCTGAACCACAGCCCCAGGGAGGGTGATCCTCACACTAATATTTTTCCCAGTTGATATCTGGATTGATTTGATCATTCGTTTCTTCACTGTTTGTGGGGACGTAGCTGTACACAAACCGGTTCAAAATATACAATCGCTGCGTTCGACAACAATTCACTGTGAAGTGCTTTTTGCCGTGAGACCCTGCGTTAAGTGCAGAGATTATTATAACACAACTTATAGTGGTATCTTTTAGCCCCGGACGGGCTTAATCTATCCGGCAATTAATGGATCAGACTCTATTCTGAGGTGCCAGGGCGATTTGTTGAGTGTGTGCCTGCGGTGTATTCCCTGCCCTGTGGTGTTCTCGCTGATACCCTGCTGCGAGCCTAATGCATTATCGCACCGTATAAAAACCCCACCAGAATAAGCCGACAATCACAAACCCAGGAGCCACAGCAGAGACGAGAGCTGAACCTGCCTCGAAGCTCCGTGAGCAACAAGTGCCTGCAAGGTAAGGACAGTTACTCGGAGCTTTGCGCCCGTGTTGTAAATCGCTCGAGTGCTTTAACTGGAATCCTGTAGCTCAGTGGTTAGAGCACTCGGCTCGCAAAGCTGGGGTTCGATTCCCGGGCTGATCGGGGCGAAAAATTGGGGAAGATTCCTTACTCCACACGCACACCTCTGTTTACCTAGCGATAAGTATCAACTCAGTCAGTTGTCAGTCGATTGATGGATAGCTTTTCCGGGGTAATAACCCTTCAAAAAAAAAACTAATAAATTAATAATGTGGTCACAACAGTTTGTGGGGACGCTGCTGTGCGGAATTAACTGCCGCCTTTCACCCACAAAATACTGTCGCTACGCTTTACAGTGTATCCTGTAGAGCGCTTTGAGACGTCTTGAAGACGTGATAAGGCGCTGTATCAAATGTGAGGATTATTATTATTAAGGACAGGCCAGCGCTTGCTCTGGGTTTTGCGCCCATGTTGTAAATGCCCGGTTTAACTTTAATTGCGCAGAGAGTAACAGCCGTGTCTTCTTACAGAATGTCTGTCCTCGGCAAAAGGCTGTTATGGCTGGTTCTGATCCTGGCCGTCCTCACCGCCCTGACCTCAGCACAGCATTGGTCCATCGATAACCGTCCTGGAAGGAAGCGTGGCACAGAGCACATGATTGAATTCCTACAGGGGGTTTGTATCCCCAGCAGTTTCACACCCAACCCCACCCCCTCCGCCCCATTCTCTCCTCTTGAAACTGATCCCAATCGCCATCCTCTCAATGCTATTTACATTGTTATCATTATTTCCTTAATAAGACATAATGTCCACAAACCACACAGTCACTTCACTTTACAGTATATGCTGTGAAGCGCTTTGAGATGTCTTGAATAATAATATAATAATAATCCTTGCATTTGATACAGCGCCTTATCACATCTTCGAGACGTCTGAAAGCGCCTCACAGGAATATACTGTAAAGGGAATTGACTGTATATTCGTGGGCGAAACATGGCAGCCAATTGCGTACAGCAGCGTCCCACAGACCGTCGTGGATTAAGTGACCGGATTATAATTATTTTGTTTTCTTTCTTGAGGGATTATTATCAGACGTGCGCAGTAAGGAAAGTTGCCGGGAATCGAACCCAACTCTCGAAGACCCAACTAAAGGCGCTATATCAAATGCCAGGATTGTTATTATTATTATTATAAAAGACAGTCACTGAGTTGGCCAAAGAGATACTCAGCGAAATAGAATGGGGAGAGCGCCTTCCTGTGGCAACACCGGGTTTCACATGGTCTGGTCAAGTGTCTGCGTTGCGTGTTGAGGTGCCACAGAAGGCGCCTCTACACCCGTTCTATTGCACTGAGGATCTCTCCAGCCACAGAGACAAAATGTAATAGTCCTGGCATTTAATATTAGAGCCTTATCGCGTCTTTGAGACGTCTCAAAGCGCTTCACAGAATATACTATAAGGTGAATTGACTGTCTGCGAAACAGAGCTCACTCTCGCTCAAACCCAGAGAGGGAGAAACACATTCATAGAGATTTTAAGCTGCAGGTGAGGTTGGCGAGAATTTTTTTTAAATTGCAATCAAAACACTGTTCACCGCAGGTCACAGGCGAAGTTGAGGAGCTGCTGCAGAGCAGAGGAAGAGCTACCGTTGAGCTTCCAGAGTGTCCAGGAGACAAACCGGTAAGTGCGAAAGCAACAGCGAGCGCCCGAGATATATGCTACATGTGGCAGCAAATCCCTGTAGAGCGTGTCAAGACTAAACTCTCCATCACACCAGTTCTAGCCAGGGTCCACTGTTTCCCTATCGCCAAATGGATCGATATCAAGATCCTCACACTCGTTTTCAAATCCCTTCACACTCAGGCACCTCTCCCACCTGCTCAACCCAATCCCCAACCTGCTGACTCCGCTCAACTGGCTCCCTCCTCCTGCATGTCCCTCGTGGCATCTGTTCCACCATCGGTGGCCGCGCTTTCAGCCACTATGCCCTCAACCTGTATTTCCCCATCTCACCGCTTTTCCTTCCCTATCGTCAGGTCGCGCTTGAAGACCTTCCTCTTCGACCGCACCTACGGTCATCTCCTGTAGTTATTGTTGAGATGGTTGATATACAAGGCTCGATCATCTTTTGTCTTCCAGGAAAAATGGTGTTAAGAAAAAACATGTAGCAGTGGAAAAACAGTTGAGCCGATGAATGGAGTGACGGGCGCTCATCGATGGGATCGCTGATCCGCTTCAATCACTCACTCAATTATGCACTCGCGCACTCTCTGTAATCTGTTAATCTTTGCCGAAAGATTTGAAGCAAAGGAAAATAGGAAATAAACTCTTTCCACTCTTACACACGTGCCTTTGCAATTTAATAACAAAAATAAATGAGTATTATTGAATAATAAATGATTAGTTTACAGCTGAGAAAGTTGCTCTTCAATAAAAAAAGAAATTTGGATCAGGCGCTATATCAAATGCCAGGATTATTATTATTAAATCTAATGCCAGGATTATTATATTGTATGTTGCCTACAGCTGGAGAGATACTCACCCAAATAGAATGGGGACAGCGCTCTCCTGTCAATGCAACACTGAAAGGCAACACGTTTTTTCTGACACAAACTCCAAACAGACACAGAGCAGTTCCCTCGTACCAACACTAACAATAATAATAATCCTGGCTTTCACACAGCGCCTCATCACGTCTTCAAGACGTCTCAATGCGCTTCACAGGATACGCTGTAAAGTGTAGTGACCGTGGATTTTGCAGGCGGGGAAGGGAGGGGGCGAGGCGGCAGGATTGAGGGAGAGAGAGAGTGGCGATGGTGGAGGCAGCAGGTGAGGCAAAGATTTTCCCCACTTCCATCTCTTTAACCCACATTAGCACATTACAGCGCTCCCCCCTCCCTCCCCCCCCCCCACCCTCACCTCCCCCTCCCTCCCCCTCCCACACACACAGAGACACGAGCACAGATTTGTTTAAAGTTTTATTCCCATTGCCATCCACAAGGTCAATGCACACACTCAGGAACACGTGCACACACACGTGCAATCGTAGCTCCGCTCGAGAATCCCATTCATTGACATGTTCCGACCTGATATAATTTAACACAACTTTACAGTGGAGGGTGTGAGGGGGGGAGGGAGCTAAATAAACCCAAATTTATGTTATTTTCTTTCTAAAATATATATACAACCTATTATTGATGGAGCCAAAGTGAGTCTGTCTGTCTGTGTGTGTGGGGGGGAGGGGGTGACAGACGGCGTGGGGATGGGGAGAAGGGGAGAGAGGGGTCAGGATAGATAACGGGCTCTCTCTCTCTCTGTTACCTTTTTACTAGTGAATAAAATTTCCCCACTGTGTCGGAGCGATGGACAAACTCCTGCTGACACAGGTTAACAAAACATGTAAGACTCCCACTCGCCCCCAAACATCCCCTCGCTCCCCCCCCTTGCCCCAATACACCCCACCCTCGACCCCTTTCTCCCGTCATTATTTTGTAGCAGCAAAAACAAACATTGAAACCTCCGACACAGTTTTAAATTAACATGTACAGACTCCGCACTCGCTCTCTCTCTCTCTCTCGCGCTCAACATTGTTCTTCCCTTTTTTTAATGTCAATCAAGCCTTTCCGATTTATTTTCCCCCGTTGGGAAAACTGGGAAGTAGATCTGGTTCGACTCCAAGTTTTTCCCAACAGGAGGGGGAAAGGAGGGGGAGGGGGGGAAAAAAGGAGGGGAATGGGGTAAAGGAGGGGGAGGGGATTGGGGGATTTTCTCCAGTCAGGAAGGGGTTCAAGTGCTCCGCCACAGGCTCCTGTTGGGTGAAGGTTGGGGGTTTCCCCCTTTGAGCAGCTCTGTTCTCCCTGCAGTGGTCGGGGGGGACGGGCGGAGGTACTATTCCGCTGCTATTCCGCTCCCCAGCCCGGCCCTGGGGGAGCCCCCACCTGCGATCGTCGGCTCTTGGGGGGCGGAGGAGGCGGGCGCGACCCCCGAGACTCTGTCTTGTCCGGCAGCGGTGGAGCATCCTGAGAAACAAGGCATTGTCACTGTCACACTTACTCACACACTCTCATGCACTCACACGCACTCACACACTCACACTCACACACTCACACAAGCTCACACACTCACTCACACACAACAGTGTTACTGTCACTCACTCACACGTCAGTCATAGAGTCCCTCGTACACTCAGTCGCTCACAGTCACACTCTGTCGCACACTCATAGACACACACTCAGTCGCTCACACTCGTTTGCTCACACAGAGTTAGTTTGGGTCACGGATGCTGCGAGTGAAAGGTGTGAACTCACGCCAGGTGTGTGGAGGGAGTGCCGCTGGCTGGCATGTTTTGGGGGGGTGGGGGGAGGGGGGCTGCTGTCTGTCAATCTGGTCTCAGCATCTGTCTGCAGGGTGGGGAAACCTGGGGGGGGGAGAGAGAGAGAGAGCAGAGGGGAGAGAGAGGAGAGAGAGCAGATTAGGCAGTAACAACCTTACATTTACACAGCGCCCGTCCCATGGGGTAGCGTCCTGGGGCGCTTGACAGTGGCGGAGTCTGACCCCGAGCCAGAGGGAGAGGGAGGGGGGAGGTGACCTTAAGCACAATCAAAAAGGAAGGTCTTTAGGCAGGGATTTGGGAAGTGGGGAGGGGTTTTATGGGGAGGGGGTTGGAGGGGGTGAGATTTACATCCAGAAACAGCTGAGAGGTTCTTAACGTCCACTTAAACATCTTAATATCTTAACATCTGCGTGTAGGGCAGTTGTCCCCCCCCACCCCCAACCCAGGACACAGCGCTGAACATACTCAGTGTCCTGGGGGTTGTCGGAGCCGGGCTGAGGGGAGACAAACCCTGCGAGAGCTGAGAGGAGAACTGGAAAGAGGACAGTCGTTTGTCTCCGAACTGCAGGCTCTTCGGTCTCTGGGGGCGGAGCGGGGATAACTGGGCAGAGGAGAGATCGGAGAGAGTCAGTGTGTGTTGTTAACCCCCCTCACCCCTCACCCCCTTATTCCTACCTTCCCCCACTCACCCCCTCTCACCAGAAGCCCCTTACCACCCCCGCTCACTCTCGTCCACCCCAAACCCCCTCACTCCCCTCCTCTCCCCTCCCTCACCCCGAAACCCACTCATTCCCCTTGTCACCCCCACTCACCCCCACCGTCCGAACCCCCAACCCACCGCCCAACCCCCCCCACCCCAAACACTCACCACCTCCGAGACGTAAACCTTATCAGACGAAGCCGAGAGCTCACTCCTCACGTCCCTCTCGAAGATGACCTGGGATTTGCTGATGTTCTTCTCCCTCCTCCTGGACCTGCTGATCCTGAAGTCCATCTCGTCCCTGTCCAGCCCGTCCTCCCCTCTGCTCAGGGCCACTCCCCTCTGCTCTACCAGAGGCTCCAGTACTGAGCTGTGGGCATGAGTTGATGTCAGTTATCACGTCATCAAACCATGGACACACACGCGGAAACCCGTCACCGTGACCAGCCGGGTGTCTGACACACTCAGAAACCCATCTCAAGACCCTCCTCTTCGACTGCACCTTTGGTCACCTTCCGATACCTTCCCTCCCTGCCATCCACCCTTCCCGATCCCAGCACCCCACCCCCCTCCCGGCTCGGTCCAAATCCCTGACTGTCCTATCCCAAACGCCTTGGGATGTCCTCCTACGTGAGGCGACATCTCAATGTAATGGATAGTTTGTTGGTGTTGTTGTCGCTCCGGGAGGGCCAGAGACTCACCCGTTGGAGTCGGGGCGGGAGGAGGTGCTGTCTGACGAGGCTGAGGAGCTGGAGGTCAGTGAGGAGGTGACCGAGACGGTGGAGAGGCGACGGAGGGTGGAGGACATTATATAGGGCAGCACCACTGAGCCTGAGCGGCTCCGCTTCCTGGCAGTGAAGGACGAGGCCTGAAACAGGACAGATACCGTCGCACACAAAACACACATGTCAATGCTCCATAGATCCAGCAATCCATCAGCCAACCAACAACAACCACAACAACTTGCCCCTCACGTAGGGCAACGTCTCAGAGCGCTCGGAAGTGGCAGAGCACGACGCCAAGCACAGGGGGAGATGGAGGAAGGGGGGGAGGTGAACATGAACATGGTCGGAGAGAAAGGTTTTCAGGTGCGACCTGTGGAAGATGGGGTGGGAGGGAGGGATGAAGTGGTTGGATTAAGGGAGAGTGTGACAGTTTCAGGCATAGCGACTGAAAGTGCGGCCACTGATGGTGGAAGCAAGAGATGAGGGACAAGCAGGAGGCCAGAGCCAGTCGAGCGGAGGCAGCGGGTAGTGGGTTGAGGGTGAGCAGGTTGGAGAGGGAGGGAGGTACCAGGGCATGAAGGGAGTTTAAAACGAGTGTGTGAGGATCCTGAAATTGATCCAAACCAATCAAGTCAGCCAGGGTCTGACCCACACGGAAACCCGTCACCGTGACCAGCCGGGTGTCTGACCCACACGGAAACCCGTCACCGTGACCAGCCGGGTGTCTGACCCACACGGAAACCCGTCACCGTGACCAGCCGGGTGTCTGACACACACGGAAACCCGTCACCGTGACCAGCCGGGTGTCTGACCCACACGGAAACCCGTCACCGTGACCGGCCGGGTGTCTGACCCACACGGAAACCCGTCACCGTGACCAGCCGGGTGTCTGACACACACGGAAACCTGTCACCATTGCTTAAGTCTCCAAACCCAAGTGAGAATTCCAGGCCTCCCACCTACACATGGAAATCCCAGAGACAGATTGTTGAAATGGAATGCGCTCTCTCTCTCTCTCTCTCTCTCTCTCTCTCTCTCTCTCTCTCTCCCTGGAGGGACACATCCTGTTTACCTAATTCTGGAGAGTATTAGGCGCAGGTTGGCAAGAGCCAAGGCTTGGAGGGAGCCCAGAGTGCATTGGGTTAACTGCTAAAACCACACATAGTTTGGCTATTGAGAGCGTTGTCTGACAAGCTTAACCGCTGCTTGTCCAACTAGGACAACAACAACAACTTGGATTTATATAGCGCCCTCCACACCGGACGAAGTCTCAGAGCTTCACAGTAACGGATCCCGGGGCCGAGCCCGGGGCGCAGGAGGAGCCGATGAGTGTTGTTCAAGAAAGCAACCATCCCTCCCTTAGCTTGTCGCTCACCAAAGTGATAATTCCGTAGAGCTTTTCCACTTTCTCCTTCAGTTCCTTGAAGCAGGAGGTTATCCTGTCGTGAAGAGGTTTCAGTTCTTCCGTGGATTTTTCCCCGTGGATCCTGATCCCCTCAGTCAGTAACGGGATCTGGGGAAGAAGGTAGAGATTTCCTCATGAATACCTCAATCCTTTTTTTTGGATTGTTTTATATTATATTATTATAATGAATGAACGAGGCTAAATATCACACGTTTTTCCAAAGAGATGCTTCCCTCCCTCCCTATTGCCCACCCACTCACCCCGCACACCGCTCCCCCCACTCTTCACGCTGTTGTCCCCCCCACCCACCTGTAAGGCGACCAAGTGTTTCAGTATATCGATTTTCTCCTGGTCTTTGGGGTGAGTTTGAATGTACTCAGGAGTGAAGAAGGCCTACAGAGGAAGATGACAATAATAATCCTTGCGTTAGATACAAAGCCTTATCACATCTTCGAGGCGTCTCAAAGCGTTTCACAGGACATACCGCAAAGTGTCGTGACTGTGTATTTTGTGGGCGAAACGCGGCAGCCAATTGCGCACAGTAGCGTCCCCACAAACAGTCGCGGGTTGAGTGCCTAATAAACCGGCAAACAACTTGTATTTAGAGAGCGAATTTACGCAGGGCAGAGTCTCGGAGATTGAGACTGAGACTCAGTCTCTCTGGAGGAGGGGGTGGACTGAGGGGTTGGGGAGGGGGTGGTCTTTGGAGGGGGATCAGCGTACCTTTTCGTAGTTGGCAAAACCGCCCATGACCGCAGGATCCACAATACCGTTGAGAAGCATAGAGAGCGGGTGGACAGGTAGTGAGCGATCCCAGGTGTGTTGCTGCACCAAGTTACTGATCTTCTCGTTGACCCGCTCCATGGCCTCAATGGCATTTTCCAAAGGGCTGATCTCCTCCTGGACGCAAAGTCACAGGAATAACAATGATATAAAAATCCGTGACATTGAATCCAGTGCCTTTCCTGTACAGGAAGAACTTCTCCAAACTCTTCACAGGAGTCAACATGTGCTTCTATCCCCCTCTCCTCAGTGCTAAAGTCTAACTTCTAACTTCACCCACAAAATGTACAGTCATTCCACTTTGTGAGACTTCACAAAGACATGATGAAGCGTTGTATCAAATGCAAGGATTTAGATTGCATGTAAGTGGGTTAGAGTGTCAGAGTGTTGAGATTAATAATAATAATCCATTGCCTTGATACAGCGCCTTATCACATCTTCAAGACGTCTCAAAGCGCTTCACGGGATACACTGTAAAGTGAATTGCCTGTGATTTGCGGGCGAAACGTGGCAGCCAATCGCACACAGCGACGTCCCCACAAACAGTTGTGGATTGAGCGACCAAGTGATTATTATTATTCAACAACAAAAACAAAAATTTACATTTGTATAGCGCCTTTCACGTTAGGAGGAGGTCCCAAGGCGCTGGATGGTCAAGAAATAAATAATACATATATATTTTTTTGAAGGGATTATTACCCCCAGGAAAGCGGCCCACCAATGGACTAATATAATAACGGGCAAAGCGTACAAAGCGAGAGAAACGCTACGTACAGACGTTGAGGACTTGACTTCAAACCACTGCAAAATCCCCGGAAACTTGTAAGCTGTTGTGTACGTCACCCGTTCAATCCACATGGTCTGTCGGGGCGAGAGTTAAAGCGTCGGAGATGTTAGTGTCTGTCCTGGCAAACTGTACCCCATTACCCTCCATCATCCCAGCACGGCACCTCTGACCCCAAAATGAGTGAGTGAGTGAGTGTGTGAGTGTGAGCGAGTGAGTGCGCGTGTGAGGGAGCGAGTAGGTGTGTGAGCGAGCGAGTATGAGTGAGCGAGCGAATGAGTATGTGAGTGAGCGAGCAAGGAGGGGAAGCGACGTGAGGTGGGGGTGTTGGGGGCAGTGCTGAAGCCCAGCCCCCCCTGTGCCTTGGGACGTCCTCCCGACGTGAAAGGTGCTATACAAATGTAATCTTGTTGTTGTTGTTGTTGTGAGGGACGGCCAGTGAGACGATCTTACAGCAAACTCGTTATGAGGATCTTTTTCTCCTTTCCTGAATGGCCGGGAATACTGGAACTGCTGCACCTCGTTCACACGGTAAAAGCTGCTCAAAGAAACCACACGTGTGAATACACACATAAACATAACAACCACAGCGCCCCCTCACGCAGGGTAGCGTGTCAGAGCGTGGCAGAGCATGATGCCGAGCCGGGGGGAAGGGAGGAGGTGACCGTAGGCACTGGTCGAAGAGGAAGTTCTTCAGGTGTGATCTGAAGATGGGGAAGGAAGGGGGTGAGGCGGAGGGATAGAGGGAGAGTTTTGGGGCAGTGGTGGAATGGAAAGGATAATGGACAAACAAGGCTGGGGGTGATCGACTGAACAGACATCAGAAAGACTTACTTGAGGATTTGCTCTGGGACAGGCTTGTCCTTGTATTTGGGAGGGAGGCTGAGCACTGGCTTCACAGTGAAACACTGGATATCTGAACAGAAGTTAAGCAATAGGACATTCAGCAACCGCTTGCGTTTATATCGCGGCTCTCACATGGGCCAGAGTCTCAGAGCGCTAATAGACAAGACAGGTCAGAGGCTAAGATTGCCAAGTTAAAGACAGATGCATTATAGAGAAATACTGGTTACAGAGACAATAATAATATTATTATAACTCTGTAATAATAATATCATAAAATATAAGAATATTATTATTATAAAAAATAGGAAACTTGCCTAAGGTTTCGCCCTGACCTGACCCGCCCGGGAATCGAACCCGGGTCCTCTTGCTTGCGAGCCGAGGGCTCTGAGCTACAGGACTCCGTGTGTTACAGTGAGAGGTTGCTCTGTGCGGTGGGGAGGGGAGGGTGGGGGAAGGTGGCACGAAGGATACACTGTTTGGGGGAGACTTTGAGGTCGTCCCCAGGAGGTGAGGTGCTGGTCATTTTCTCGGAGTTGGGAAACTGCGTGGCTAACTTCAACCGGAAATCCTCATAACGTTCATACTCCTTCCCGCGGTGGATAAACATTTTGTTCTGCGGAAGAAACAGATAATAACAATCCTTGCATTTGATATAGCGCCTTATCACATCTCAAAGTTCTTCACATAATATACTACTGTAAAGTGTAGTGACTGTATTTTATGGGCCAGATGATTGTGGGGTGAGGGGAGAGGAGGCGGCAGCAATAACAACAACAAAATTACATTTCTATATGACCCACAAACACTCAGGTTCACAGTCACGAACAGTGTAGAGGGAGCTTTACTGTGTCTCTAACCCTGACCTGGGAGTGTGGACACACAGTGTAGAGGAGCTTTACTGTGTCTGTAACCCTGACCTGGGAGTGTGGACACACAGTGTAGAGGAGCTTTACTGTGTCTCTAACCCTGACCTGGGAGTGTGGACGGACACACAGTGTAGAGGAGCTTTACTGTGTCTCTAACCCTGACCTGGGAGTGTGGACGGACACACAGTGTAGAGGGAGCTTTACTGTGTCTCTAATCCTGACCTGGGAGTGTGGACGGACACACAGTGTAGAGGAGCGTTACTGTGTCTCTAACCCTGACCTGGGAGTGTGGACGGACACACAGTGTAGAGGGAGCTTTACTGTGTCTCTAACCCTGACCTGGGAGTGTGGACGCACAGTGTAGAGGAGCATTACTGTGTCTCTAACCCTGACCTGGGAGTGTGGACGGACGCACAGTGTAGAGGGAGCTTTACTGTGTCTCTAACCCTGACCTGGGAGTGGTGGTGGAGACAGGGATGGACTTACCCTGAGGAATGAAGGGAAGCCTTGGCCATAACAGCCCACAGCAAAGTATTCGGGTTGTGGTCTCATGGCTTTCATGATGTTTTCATAAAACTTGGCTTGCTGTCTCTGTACAATACAACATTACATTTACACATTTAGGAGAGTGGCCGAAGGCCTGGTTGAAGCGGAGGGTTTTGAGACATGCCTTGAAGTAGGTAAGGAGGGATTGAGGCGAAGGAAATGTGGGGAATGGAGTTCCAAAGGGTGGTGGCAGAGAGACTGAAGGCCAGCCCACCGATGGTGGAGCGGGCTGGGCGGGGACGTGGAGTAGGCCAGAGCCTGCTGAGTGGATGGAGCAGGCAGGTTGATACCGGGTTTGCAGGTCACAGAGATAGGGAGGAGCAAAGCCGTGGAGGGCCTTGAAGGCGGGGATTTTGAATTCTATCCGGGCGGGAGGATGTGGCAGAGAGCTTCACAGGTGGGAGCGCAAGGTTGCGGTCAGTCTTACCAACAGAGAACTGAGCATCTCATACTCAAACATCTCATTCTCGTACACCCCGGCCAGTTCCTTGCTCAGCTGGATGGCATTTTCCCACATCTTGGAGCGAAGGGGAGAAAGCAAGAGAGAGAGAAGGGTTTCAGTGCATCGGTCAATCACTTCCTAAGACCTTTCCTTTGGGACCAAGATCGATTTGGATAAAGAAGGTAATAATAATAATGATAAGCGTTGCATTTGATACAGCGCCTTATCACGTCTTTGAGATGTCTCAAAGTGCTTTACAGGCCACACTGAATTGACTGTGTGTTTTGTGGGCGAAATGCAGCAGACAATTGCGCACAAACAGTCGGGAATTGAAGTGACCAATTTATTATTATTATTATTTATTGAAGGAATTACCACTGGAAAAGCGATCGCCAATCTGTCAAAGGTACTTTTAGCCCATCCTGACCTCATCCCACATCCTGCCTTACAATCTTCGCTCACACTGCCTTCCAAATCCCTTTCATGTCCTGGCACCTCCCTACCTCTCAGACCTGCTTAACCCCACAACCCACCACCTGCTGCCTCTGCTGGACTGGCTCCGGCCTTCTGCATGTCCCCCGTGCCCTCTGTTCCACCATTGGTGGCCGCGCTTTCAGCCACTATGCCCCTAAACTCTCCCTCTATCTCTCCTCCGCCTTGCCCGCTTCCTTCTTCAGGTCGCACCTCTTCGACCGTGCCTACGCTAGCCTGCGTGAGGGACGCTGGGTGCCTTTGCAAGTTGTTGTTGTTGTTCACACCTAGTCACCTACCTTGCCGTTGTCAAAGTAATGTAGGATTTCCTGATAAAGCTTCTCTTTCAGCTCTCTGTGTGACAGAGCCTGGGAATCCTCCCTACGGACTAGGTAACCCTCACAGGGATCATCCAACCACTGCACAGACAAAATAGCTTCAATATCATCACAGTTTATTATCCCACCCCCAACCCTTTTACATACAGTACAATTCATGGAGACTCTCATGTCGGGAGGACTTCCCAAGGCGCTGCACAGTCAGGGATTTGGCCCTGAGCTGGGGGTTGGGATCAGAATGATGGGAGGGCAGGGAGGGTGCGGGTAGGAGGGTGACCGAAGGTGCGGTCGAAGAGGAGGGTCTTGAGATGGGCCTTGAAGGAGGCAAGGGAGGGGTTGAGGCAGAGGAACTGTGGGATGGAGTTCCAAAGGGTGGAAGGCAGAGAGGCTGAAGGCCCCACCGGCGATGGTGGGGTGGGCTGGGTGGGGGACGTGTAGGAGGCTGACATGGGGGTCACCAGAGGTAGGCCATGGAGGATATAGAACAATCCTTGTATTTGACAACTATGCCTTTCAAGTCAGGAAGGCATCTCAAAGCGCTTCACAGGATTTCACTGCAAAGTGTAGTAACTGTGTGCTCTGTAGGGAGATCTTAAATGTCAGGGCACAGATGGAGAGCTTGGTTTAAAGTCAAATTTGAAGGATGGGGCCATGGCCAATGTAGCTCCCCCTGCCCGAGACCACTCCCTCCCCCAGCGCACCCCTTTCCCCAGTACACACCCTCTCCCTACCAGCGCACCCCCTCCCTCCCCCCCACCCTTCAAACAGGTGTCTCAAATGCAAGGGTTACCTGCAGAAGTTCAGCGTGTAACAGAAGCGTGTAAGCGGCCTCAGTATAGTTTTCACAATCCTTGTGCAGGTCGTGCAGTTTGTACAAGTACCTGTGTGAGTGTGAGAACGAGAGAAAGAGAGAGAGAGAAAGAGAAAGGGGCTCACGTATGGCACTTTATCCAAACCCTTGTGCAAGTCTAGGTGACAGTGATGGACAGTGTACAAAGCCTCTCACTTCAGAGCGCTGGACTATGCTCCACAACTCAGAGAGTGTTCATACACCTGTCTTGTTTGCCCCCCTCTCCATCCTTACCCACCCACTCCCCGCACCCCACAAATACACAGCTCTAAAACGACCGCCACAAATCTGGCTCTATCCTTTTTGTTTGCGTATGGGTTGGGTTGAAGAAAGCCCATTCAATCTCATCTCTTCCAAACACCCGCCCCCATCTCTCCCTCTCTCTCCCCCAACGGGGACCATACGCACAATCAAAATGGAAGGTCTTTAGGTGGGGATTTGAGGAGTGGGGAGGAAGGGGGCCAGGCGGAGGGCTTGAGGGAGACAGTGACAGCGTTTCAGGGCACTGTGACTCAAAGCACGGCCACCAATAGTGGAGCGGAGGGAACAAAGAACGAACAGGAGGCCGGAGCCAGCCGAGCGGAGGCAACGGGTGGCGCAAAGATTCCTCTCCCTCCATCTCTTTAACTCAGCAAAAAGTGGGCGTTGGAAGTACTTATGGCCTCTGCCCACTCACCTTATGTAGATATCCTCTCTTTTCTTTTCCTTATAGAATGTCTAGGCAAAGGAAAGGAAGCCTTAATTATTCATTGAAACATAGAAACAGGAGGAGGCCATTCAGCCCCTCGAGCCTGTTCCACCATTCCATGTGATCATGGCTGATCTATACCTCGAGTACAATTACCCGCCCTTGCCTCGTATCCCTTAACACCCTGATCTGACAAGTGGGGGTGTTTGGGAACAAGGAGGGTAGAGGGCGGGGAGGGTGGAGTAGGAGAGCACAGTCGAAGAGGAGGGTCTTGAGAGGGGCTTTGAAGGAGGTAAGGGAGGGAACGAGGCAAAGAGTGTGTGGGATGGAGTTTCAAAGGATGGGGGCAGCGAGGCTGAAAGCCCAACCGGTGGGGCGGGGCTGGTGCGGGAGGTGGAGCAGGCCAGAGTGGAGGGAGTGAACAGGTTGATATGGGTTCAGCAGGTCACAGGGGTAGGGCAGAGGAAGGTAGTGTGTGGAGGAGGGGGGTGGGGGGAAGTCGAGGATTTTGAATTCGCAGGACCCACTAGGATGTTTCCGGAACCTTCTCTGCCCACCCCACCCCTCGTGTGGGACCCACCAGGACGTTGACGGTGCAGCTCATGCGGTTTTCGCGGCTCTCGTCGTGCATGATGGTCCTGTAGTCTAGAAGGTTCTCCAGGAGGCTGCTCACCAGCAACACAAAGGCCTCTCCGGACACGGCCAGATATTTGTGCTTCCTGCAGTGTTCCAGCAAACTGTGGGGGGAGAGGCACGTCACCCCCTCCTCCTCATCCCCACTTTCCCTTCCTCCCCTCGCCTTCTTTCACCCTCTCCCCACCTTTCCGTTACCCCACTTTGACTCCCATGCCCTTTCATTCCCTCCCCTCTCCCCTCCTTTTTGCCACCCCCTATTCCTCACCCTCTACCCCCCACCCCCCCCACCCCTTCCCCCCTCTTTGTTGGATTGGCTACAGGTTTGGCTACTTGCATTTTCTCCAGCAGAGCTTTGTACTGCTCATCCCCACGGCCGCCCTCCACCTCTTGATCCACTTTTGTTATCAGCTCATATTCAAACTGAAAGGCAAGTAAGGAGAGAGATCAAAAAATCATATCACCAACAACACCAACACCAACACCACCAACACCAACACAATCAACACCACCAACACCACCAACAACATCAACACCAATACCACCAACACCACCAACAACACCAACACCACCAACAACATCAACACCAACACCACCAACACCAACACCACCAACACAACCAACACCACCAACAACATCAACACCAATACCACCAACACCAACACCACCAACACCACCAACACCAACATCACCACCAACACCACCAACAACATCAACACGAACACCACCAACACCACCAACACCAACACAACCACCACCAACAACACCAACACCACCAACAACACCAACACAACCAACACCACCACCACCAACACCAACATCAACACAACCACCACCAACAACACCACCACCACCAACATCACCACCACCAACAACACCAACATCACCAGTACCCACAACACCAACATCACCAACATCACCACCACCAACATCACCACCACCAACACCACCAACACCAACACCAACACCACCAACATCAACACAAACACCACCAACACCACCACCACCACCACCAACAACAACACCACCACCAACACCATCACCAACACCACCACCATCAACACCATCAACACCATCAACACCACCAACACCAACAACAACACCACCACCAACTCCAACACTGCCACCACCAACAACAATACCACCACTAACAACACCACCACCAACAACACACCAACAACAACACCAACAACAACACCACCAACATCAACACCACCAACACCACCACCAACACCACCACCACCACCACCACCAACACCACCACCAACACCACCAACACCACCAACGCCACCACCAACAACACCACCACTACCACCAACACCACCAACAACAACACCACCACCACCAATACCAACACCGCCACCACCAACAACAATACCACCACTAACAACACCACCACCAACAACAACACCAACACCACTAACAGCACCACCAACAACAACACCACCACCAACACCACCACCACCAACAACACCACCAACACCACTATCAACACCACCAACACCACCATCAACACCATCAGCACCACCACCACCAACACCACCACCACCAATAATACCACCACTAACAACACCACCAACAACAACACCACCAACAACAACATCAACACAACCACCACCAACATCAACACCACCAACATCAACACCACCAACACCACCACCACCAACACCACCACCACCACCAACAACAGCACCACCAACACAACCACCACCAACACCAACATCAACACCACCAACACCACCACTAACACAACCACCACCAACACCAACAACAGCACCACCAACAACAACAACACCAACACCACCAACATCACCACCACCAACACCACCACTAACAACACCACCACCAACACCACCACCACCAACAACATCAACACCACCACTACCAACACCACCACCACCAACACCACCACCAACACCACCAACACCACCACCAACACCATCACCACCAACACCACTACCAACATCAACACAACCAACACCACCAGCACCACCACCACCAACACCACCACCACCAACAACAACACCACCACCAACACCACCACCAACACCACCACCTCCACCAACGCCAACAACACCACCACCAACAACAACACCAACACCACCAACAACACCAACACAACCACCGCCACCACAAACAACACCAACACAACACAATCACCACCACCAACAACAACACCACCATCAACAACAACACCAACACAACCACCACCAACACCAACAACAACAAAACAACCACCACCAACACTAACACCACCAACACCAACACCACCACCAACAACACCACCAACAACAATGCTCTGTCTCCCCTTGTTCCAGGATGAACAGGAAGTTCTGTAGCTCAGGGGTTAGAGCCCTCGCCTTGCAAGCGAGAGGACCTGGGTTCAATTCCTGGGTGGGTCAGGTCAGGGCGAAACATTGGGCAAGTTTCCTTACTACACACACACACTGTTTACCAGCAGTCAGTAGGAACCCAGTTGTTAGTTGATTAGTGGATCACTTTTTCGGGAGTAATAATCCCTTCAAAATAATGTGTTTCGCCCTGACCTGACCCGCCTGGGAATCAAACCCGGGTCCTCTCACTTGCGAGACGAGAGCTCTAACCCCTGAGCTACAGGACTTCAAGTTCTGTAGCTTACTGTAGTTGTTACTATTATTCTAGTTGCTGTTGATGTTATTGTTGACAATTTTCTTGTTAATGTTGTTATTGTTGTGGTTATTGGTGTTGTGATTGTTGTTGTGATTATTGTTGTGATTATTGTTGTGATTGTTGTTGTGATTGTTGTTGTTGTGATTGTTGTTGTTGTGATTGTTGTTGTTGTGATTGTTGTTGTTGTGATTGTTGTTGTTGTGATGTTGTTGTTGTGATTGTTGTTGTTATGATTGTTGTTGTTATGATTGTTGTTGTTGCTGTTGTTATTGTTGTTGTTGTTATTGTTGTTGTGATTGTTGTTGTTGCTGTTGTTATTGTTGTTGTGATTGTTGTTGTTGTGATTGTTGTGATTATTGTTGTTGTTATTGTTGTTGTGGTTGTTGTTGTTATTATTGTTTGATTGTTGTTGTTATTGTTGTGATTGTTGTTGTTATTGTGTTTGTTGTTGTAATTATTGTTGTGTTTGTGATTGTTGTTGTGTTTGTGATTGTTGTTGTGTTTGTGATTGTTATTGTGTTTGTGATTGTTGTTGTGTTTGTGATTGTTGTTGTGTTTGTGATTGTTGTTGTGTTTGTGATTGTTGTTGTGTTTGTGATTGTTGTTGTGTTTGTGATTGTTGTTGTGTTTGTTGTTGTGATTATTGTTGTGTTTGTGATTGTTGTTGTGTTTGTTGTTGTTGTGTTTGTGATTGTTGTTATGTTTGTGATTGTTGTGTTTGTGATTATTGTTGTGTTTGTTGTTGTGATTATTGTTGTGTTTGTGATTGCTGTTGTTGTGGGGTGTCTTACCGCGTGGAAGCCTCTGTGAACGCTGTATTCACACTGCATCATGTCGAAGAAGATGGGGATGGTGGCCCTACGGAGCTCGGGCTCAGGGACGAGGGTTATCTCCAGGATAGGACCCACCATGGCTGGGATGAACTTGATTTTGTGGGGGCCTGGAACACAATGAGACAGACCCTCTGTGAACACAGCCAGCCAGGCCCGACCCTGAGCCAGGACCTATTCAGTTAACATCTCCCCCCATTCAAACCTCGCTCTCCTCCCACCCCCACCAACCCCATCCCCACCCCCAACCCAGGAGTGACACCATTAGCTGTTCCCCTGGCTCCTGTCTCTCCATCAGTTCATGTCTTGGTTGACATGAGAGCAAGCAATGGTATTAACTATCTTTATCTCATCCCCATATCAACCTGTTTGCTCCCTCTGCTCAGCAGCCTCCAGCCTGCGTCACGTTCCTCCCTACCCAGTCTGTCCCACCATCGGCAGTTGGGCCTTCAGCCTCTCCGCCCCCAGTGCGTCCCACAGTGCCTTCGTCTCGCTCCCCTCCCTCGCCTCCTTCAAGGCATGCCTCAAGACCCTCCTCTTCGACCGTGCCTTCAGCCAACCTCCTACCCCCCCACCCTCCCCACCAAACACCCCTCCAGATCCCAACCGCCAGCTCAGGTGCAGATCCCTGACTGTCCAGCGCCTTGGGATGTGAAAGGTTAAATACAAACGTAATTAGTTGTTGTTGTTGTTGTGCTGGTGAACAATATGGAGCAGGGTCTTGTTTCTCTACTCACCTAGATTGTACCACATATCTCTGACCTGGAAGCCAATCTTTTTTCTCATGTCTCCGTACCTAACAAAAGAAAACACAAGAGTTTCTGGCCCACCTCCCATTGCAAATAGATCCCATCTCTCCTACTCCTCCTCCTCCTCCTCCTCTTTTTTCTACCCCTGGCGGTGAGGGAGGGGTTTGCTGGACACAGGACAGTATTGGGGACCAAGACGATAATAATAATAATAGTAATAATAATAATAATCCTTGCATTTGATACAGCGCCTTATCACGTCTTCAAGACATCTCAAAGCGCTTCACAGGATATACTGCAGTAAAGTGTAGTGACTGTGTACTTTGTGGGCGAAACGCGGCAGCCAATTGCGCCCAATGACATCCCTATCGTGGATTGAAGCGACCAAATTTTTTTTATATGGAATTATCACCCCTGGAAATCGATCCACAAATCGACTATAACCGGATTGCTACTGACTGTTGGTAAGCAGAGGCGTGTGTGTGTGGAGTAAGGAAACTTTCCCAACGTTTCACCCTGACCTGACCCGCCTGGGAATCAAACCCGGGTCCTGTTGCTTGCGAAGCGAGGGCTCTAACCGCTGAGCTACAGGACTCCACATCGGGGTGGGGAGAGGGAAATTGTTGGCCAGGTCACTAACTGGGAGAAACTCCTTTCTCGGTTCAAATAGCACCACTGAGAGATCTTTAATGTCTGCCTGACCAGGGCACGGATGGGTGGGGGTGTGGGAGAGGTTTAAGGTCCACAAGTCGGAGCCTCCCCCCCTCCCCCCCACATCAGCTCAAAGCCCCACAAACTTCTCTGTAGGTGGAGAGAGGGGAAGAGCTTTGAGAGGTCTCCATAAGGCTCTCTTACCAAATGCAAGGATTATTATTATATTATGTTAGTGACAGAATGTGAAGCAGATGTTTACTTGTTGAGAATCTTGTTTCGTTTCTCTCTGGAGAACTCCTCGAGCTGAAGGGATTCCTGAACCAGAAAGGCCACGGCCAAGTGGAAATAATTGTTCCAGAGCTGCAATGAAATACAGAGAAAATCTCTCATCCTCTGTCCCAGCCCATCCCATCCAACAACAACAAGGACATGTTTCACACTGATAGGAACGTCTCAAAGCGCTTTACCGATAGGGAGGGAGGGAGGGAGGAGGTGAAGTGGAGGAATTGAACGGGATGCAATAAAAACAGAAGTCGCTGGGAACACTCAGACGGTCAGGCAGCATCTATGGAGAGTAGGGTGAGAGAGACAGCGAGCAAGGGAGGGAGGGAGAGAAGGAAGGGGCAAAGTGGAAGAAGGGAGAGAGAGGTTAAGTGGAGGAATTCCACGGATAGACTCAGCAGGTCAGGCAGCATCTATGGAGTTAGCTATGGGAAGTGAGTTAACGTTTCAGGCTGATGACCTTTCATCAGAATATCACAACAAGGGAATGGAGTTGCAGAAAGCAGGAGCTATGTACGTAGCGTCTCTCTCTTTCCCGCACTCTCTCCCGAAACTTTTGTCTTCAGAAGGTGGGTGGCCAGGGTTTGGGGGAAGAAGTTCCATCAATCTCATAGCCCCAGAGCAGTATTGAGCTATGATGTTCTTTTGTATCCGATGTTTCTGTCTCAGTCTCAGCTCTGGATCTCTGAGAGTGTGAGTGAGCGCATGGTGGGGGGCTGAGGGGGTCACTGGAAGCCAGGCTGGGGGTCTGTTACATTCTCGCTCCTCTCTTTCTCTTTCTCTCTCTGTCTCACCTGCAATTGAAAGTTGGCTTGGTCCAGGAATAGCTTAGTGAGGATTCCCGCAAACTGGCTGATCGCTCGAAGGAAGACCCTTTGGGAGGAATAATAATAATTATGATAATACTTGCATTTGTATTATCCTAACCTATCACGTCTTCAAGGTGTCTCAAAGCACTTCACAGGATCCACTGTAAAGTGTAGTGACTGTGTATTTTGTGGATGAAACGCGGCAGCCAATTGCGCACAGCAGCGTCCCCACAAACAGTCGTGCTTTAACCATTGAGCTACAGGACTCCACACAGCTTTATGTCACTTCGACCTGGGCAAAACAACAACAACAACATCTTTATAGTATCTTGGGAGATCTTCAAACCCACCTGTTCTGCATCATGTTGAGGACCATCCAATCCGCTGGGTAGACATTTTTCCCAATCAGGTCTTTGAACATAATGAAGGTTTCCATGAGGAAATCCTGGTAAAGAAAAGGCAGGAATGAAACCAGGATTCCTCGCCTCAGACCCACGAGAATAATATCAACAGTAATAATAATCCTTAGATTTGATACAGTGCCTTATCAGGTCTTTGAGACGTCCCAAAGCGCTTCCCAGGATATACTGTAAAGTGCAGTGACTGTGTATTTTGTGGGCGAAACACGGCAGCCGATTGTGCACAGCAGCGTCCCACAAACAGAAGCACTTTGAGACGTATTGAAGACATGATGAGGCGCAATCCAAATGCAAGGATTATTATCATTATTATAATTGGCATTGGTTCAATCGGTCGGGAACGAGATCACTGGATTGTGGTGGGGGCGGGAGGGCGACAGAACACGTCTCAGTCAGGCCCTCTCGTGGCTGAGATTGCAACGTCTCACTCACAATGATGTCCTGCCTAGTCTTGAAGGTGTTGATGTAATGAGTGTAGTGATAATCTTCCATCTGCTTCAGAATCGCTATCATACAGGCCACAAAGTTGCCCTGTGGAGAGAGGCGATGCACTTTGAGAGGTCTCTGTAAGGCTTTATACAAGAACAACAACAAGACGTAACATTGGCACAGCCCCTTTCACATCGGGAGGACGTCCCAATGCACTGGTCAAGGTTTTGGATGCGAGCTGGAGGTGGGCGGGGAGGAGAGGGGATCAGGGAGGGTGGAGGGCAGGGAGAGTAGGGGTAGGAGGGTGACCGATATAGGAACTGCTTAGCAACTATAGGAACTGCTTAGCGACCACATGATGATTAATGCACTGACTGTGGTGGAAGTCCATCCAACTTTGTTCCCAAATGCCATCATTCCCCCTTCTATCTTCCCTCCCTCCCACCCCCTCCCCCCACCTTCTGAGAGACCATCTTACAATCAGGTTGGATTGTCGGTTCATCCCAATCACCGTCCGGTTTATCCTCCGCAGGAGACGTCCCATGATCATTTGGACGTGCATCTGTGTCGGTCCCTGTAATGAGGGGCAACAGTGAGTCAACCCAGTGTCCGTCCGTCCCCCCACCCATCCCGCGCCCCCCACACACATTTTCTACACCCGTCTCATCACATGCAGTTCCGTAGCTCAAACGTTAGATCACTCGCCTCGCAAGCGAGAGGACATAAGAACATAAGAATTAGGAGCAGGAGTCGGCCATTCGGCCCCTCGAGCCTGTGCTCCGCCATTTGATTAGATCATGGCTGATCTTCAGACCTAACTCTGATTACCCATCCTGTCCCCATATCCCCTAATCCCTCTGTATTTTAAAAAATCTATCAGCCTCAGCCTTGAAGATGTTCAAGGACTGACATCTACAGCCCTTCTGGGGGAGTGAACTCCATAAAGTCACTGCCCTCTGAGTGAAGAAATGTTTCCTCAACTCTGTTCTAAAGGGCTGACCCTTAATTTTCAGACTGTGACCCCTGGTTATAGATTCTCCCACCGGGGAAACAGACCCTCAGTGTCTACTTTATCAGCCCTTTAAGAAATCGTATATGTTTCAATAAGATCTCCCCTAATTCTTCTGTACTCTATAGAGAATACAGCCCGAGTTTATTCAGCCTCTCCTCATAGGTCAGTCCCCTCATCCCAGGAACTAACCGAGTGAATCTACGCTGCACCCCCTCTCGGACAATATGTCCTTTTTTAAATAAGGAGACCAACACTGCACACAATACTCTCGGTGCGGTCTCACCAAAGCCCTATATAGCTGCAGCGAGACTTCCCTACTCTTGTACTCTAAACCTTTTGCAATGAACGCTAACTGCCGTTCGCCTTAGTTGCTGCTGCACCTGCAAACTAACTTTTTGAGACTGGTGTACAAGGACACCCAAATCCCTCTGAACACTAACACTATCTAATCTCTCCCTCTCTAGAAAATAATCTGTTTTTCTATTTTTTCTGCCCGGGTGAATAACTTCACACTTCCCCACATTAAATTCCATCTGTCACCTACTCGCCCACTCCCCGAGCCTATCTATATCCCGGTGCAATCTTTTTGCATCATCCTCAGAGTTTACTCTCCCACCGAGTTTAGTGTCATCCGTAAATTTAGATACGTTACATTCGATGTCCTCATCTGAATCATTGATGTAATTTGTAAATAGCTGAGGCCCAAACACTGATCCTTGTGGCGCTCCCCTAGTCACATCCTCCAATTCGAGAATGACCCGTTTATCCCTACTCTCTGTTTTCTACCCGTTGGACACTCTTCAATCCGTGATAATATATTCCCATTAATCCCGTGGGCCTTAACCTTGTGCAATAGCCTTTTGTGTGGCACTTTGTCAAATGCCTTTTTAAAATCTAAATATACTACATCTACTGGTTCCTCCCTCTCTATCCTGCAGATACATCTTCAAAACTCTGAAAGATTAGTTAAGCGTGACTTCCAGGACCTGAGTTCAATTCCCGGGCGGCAATTTTCCTTACTCCCCGGCCCACCCCACCACCACCACACACGCACACACACGCCTCAGTAGGAACCGCTTGTTAGTCGATTGGCGAATCACTTTTCCGGGTGTGATAATCCCTCCAAAAAAAAATACTAATTTGATCACTCAATCCATGACCGTTTTCAGGGACACTGCTGTGCGCAATTGGCTGCCGCGTTTCGCCCAAAAAATACACAGTCACTACACAATACAGCATGTTCTGTGAAGCGCTTTGAGACGTCTCGAAGACGTGATAAGGCACTGTATGAAATGCAAGGATTATTATTATTATTGATGGTCCTGTCTTCCTAAAGCATGGAGAGGAGATGGAGGAGGCGGTGGCTGGCTGGTAGGTAGTGAGGGAGGCGAGGGCTGTACTTACAATGTCCCTCCTGTCCAGCACCTCGAGCATACTGCTTAGCAGCTGACCACATGCTTCGTGGTCTGGCTTGTTAGTGTTATCGTCCAGTTGACCACTCAACTGATCGATCAGGAGGGTTAACAGTACATCCCTGCAATCTGTGAAGAAACCACAGACACTCATTAGCACCTTCAACAAGATTCCATTTGTAGAGCGCCTTTCACGTCAGGAGGACGTCCCAAGGCGCTGGACCAACGAGGTTTCAATGTTATAGACCTCAGAAAACCTCTGTCTTTCTTCCTTCCTTCCTATCACTCTCTTCTTTTCTACCCTCACCCCCCCACCCCACTCCCACCCTCTCTCTCGCTCTTCCTGTTTTCTCTTTCTACCTCTCTCTTTTCCTCATCTTTTCTTCTCTATCTCTTTCTTTCTGTGTTTTTTTCTTTAACTTTCTTTCTCTCATTTTCTCTCTCTCTTTCTCTCTCTCTCCATCTTTCTTTTCCTCCCTTGCTTTCCTTTTCTTTTCCTAATTCATTCCACAGCCGCTGCCGTAGAAATATAGGAAAATAGGAACAGAAGGAGGCCATTCAGCCCCTTGAGCCTGTTCTGCCATTCTATTAGATTATGGCTGATCTGTATCTCAATTCCAATTCCCCGCCTTTGCCCATATCCATTGATCCCCCGACCTCACAAACATCCATCCACCTCAGTCTGGACAATGTGAATGGATCCAGACATAATCCACAGCCTTTTGGGGGAGAGAGAGTAACAGATTCCCACTAACCCGTTGGGTGAAAAACTGCCCCTGATTTCCCAGAGACAGAGCCTGACTCACCAGGGTGTTTGAAGAGATCGCTCTCCACTATCTTACACATGCAGTTCAGCTTCTGTCTCACCAGCTGGTTGTCGGGAATGCTCTGGATAAATGTGGTAAACAGCACACTGGAGACAGCGAGAGAGAGATACAGACACACACACACACACAGAAAGAGAGACAGAGGTCAAATGTTAGCTGATAGGCAGCACATGTATCAACAACAACTTGCACTTATATCACATGCTTCACGTCGGGAGCGTTTACCAGTGATTTTTAACTCTTTTACCTGAGTTCTGTGGGGTCAAACACCAGCATCACATCATTGATAATGCCTGGCAGGTACTTCAGTGCAGCTCCCTGAACAACAACAACAACAACATGTTACATTTGTGTTGCGCCTTTTAGCGTCAGGAGGATGTCCCAAGGCGTTGGAACACAGAGAGAGAGAGAGGGAGAGGGCGAGAGGGAGGGAAAGACATGGTCGCTGTGCCTCAGTGTGATGGTAAGTCTTGCTATTCTCACAACAGCAGCGATCACAACACAATTGCTTATACAATATCTTTTGAGGTGGGGATGGAAGGAAGGGGAGAGGGAGGGAGGGGAGCGAGGGAGTGGGGGAGTGACTGAAAGGGAGAGAGGGAGCGGTGAGGGAGAGAGAGAGGGTGAGGGAGACAATTCACCCACCGATCAGACACCGTCCATCAATTACCACCAACAACAATTTGCATTAACACAGCGCCCTTTATGTGGGGTAACGTCCCATAGCACTTGACAGTGTGTGGTGTCTGACCCCCGGGACCAGGGGGGAGAGGGAGGGGAGGGTTCACCAACCTTAATCTTGATGGCTTCCTCCAGGGGTCTGTCCATCAGGGAGTTGAAGGAGAGGAAGAGTTGCCGAATGGAATCGTTGAAGGCGTTGTTGTCCGTTTCGCTGCCATAGATCCTGAAAGAACCAAGGATGCAGTTCCCGATAGCCTCTCCCTCAGCCAGAGTGGGGGTGGGGGGGTGAGGGAGGGAGGGAGGGAGGGAGGGAGGAGGGAGGGAGGAGGGAGGGAGCGAGGGAGGGAGGGAGGGAGGGAGGGAGGGAGGGAGGGAGGGAGGGAGGGGGACCCCAGCTGCAGTCAGAAGATCACAAGATCTTTTTTGGATGAAGACCTTTCAGCCCAAATTATTATTTTTATTTATTTACTTCTTTTTTTTTCTCCTCCTCGTCGCCCGAGTCCTCCGCTCCACCATCGGCGGCTGTGTCTTCAGCCACTGTGCCCCGAGGCTCTGGAACTCCCTTCCCCACTCCCTTCCCCTCGTTCCCTCTCTTCCTATTTTCAGGTCTCGGCTGAAGACCTTTCTTTTCGACCGCACCTTTGGTCATCTTTCTCCCCCTCCCCCCTGCGCTCCCCCTCCCCCCAGCCCCTCCCCCAGCTCCTCCCCTCCCTCCAGCCCCTCCCCCTCCCCCGGTCCTCCCCCCCCCCCAAGCCCCCCCCCAGCTCCTCCCCCTCCCCCCAGCCCCTCCCCCCAGCTCCTCCCCCTCCCTCCAGCCCCTCCCCCTCCCTCAGATCTTCCCCCTCCCCCAGCTCCTCCCCCTCCCCCAGCTCCTCCCCCTCCCCCGGCTCCTCCCCCTCCCCCCCGCTCCTCCCCCTCCCCCCAGCTCCTCCCCCCAGCTCCTCCCCCGCCCTCCCCCTCCCCTCAGCTCCTCCCCCCCCCAGCTCCTCCCCCTCCCCTCAGCTCCTCCCCCTCCCCTCAGCTCCTCCCCCTCCCCGGCTCCTCCCCTCCCCTCAGCTCCTCCCCCTCCCCACAGCTCCTCCCCCTCCCCGGCTCCTCCCCCTCCCTCGGATCCTCCCCTCCCCTGGATCCTCCCCCTCCCCCCAGCTCCTCCCCCCAGCTCCTCCCCCCAGCTCCTCCCCCTCCCCCGGCTCCTCCCCTCCCCCTGGCTCATCCCCTCCCCTGGCTTCTCCCCCTCCCCCAGATCCTCCCCTCCCCCGGCTCCTCCCCCTGGCCCTCCCCCTCCCCTGGCTCCTCCCCCTCCCCTAGCTCCTCCCCTCCCCTGTCTCTGCCCCACCCCTGCTGGCTCCTCCCACTCCCTGGCTCCTCCCCTTCCCCCTGGCATCTCCCCCTCCCCTAGCTCCACCCCTTCCCCCTGGCTCCTCCCCCCATGGCTCGACCCCAGGACCCGTTACTGTGAAGCTCCGGTGTGGAGGGCGCTATATAAATCCAGGTTGTTGTTGTTTACTTGTTTCGAAGGAATTATTACACTGGAAAAAGCGATTTGTCAGTCGACCAGCGACCAGGTCCCTACTGGGGGAACAGGCGCGTGTGTGGAGTAAGGAAACTTGCCCAACATTTCGCCCTGACCCGTCTGAGAATCGAACTCAGGTCCTCTCTCGCTTGCAACATGAGGGCTCCAACCACCGAGCTACAGGTCTCCACTGTCGCAGTGCATCATTCCAGGTCCCGTTTAGAATAATATCGATTCTACAACCGTCTCAAGGTTTCTTAACTCCCTCACCCCAAAAAGTGGGTGCCAAGTGCTGGGCCCGGGTGGAGGTAGGTGGGGGGCGTGGAGGGGAAGAAGTAGAGGGAAAGTCCTTACCTCAGGTACAGTTTCCTGGACTGGATGATGAAGCGAAAGACGTATTTCAATGCTTTCAGGGCAGCGAAGAGAAGGTCAGTTTTATCCCCGTTCTCTGCTTTCCCGACATAATAATTCAGGACTTTGGCGAGTTTCCTAAATGTGAGAAAAGTAAGAAAATCGGTAATCATTCCTCCCATGCAGCTCAGTTCAGGTCGGGCCCTTTGGAACTCCATCCCACAGTCCCTCCGCCTCTCCCCTCCCTCGTCTCTTTCAAGGCCCATCTCAAGACCCTCCTCTTTGATCGAGCCTTCGGTCACCCTCCTCCCCCCATCGTCCCGCCCTCCACCCCCTCCTGATCCCAACCTCCGGCTCGGGTCCAAATCCCTGACTGTCCAGCGCCTGGTGAGGATCTCCTGACGTGAAAGGCGTCGTGTAAATGTAATGTGTTGTTGTTGTCGTCGTTGGGATGATCACTCTGTTTTGGACGCTCTTAAGCCCAGTGAGTCAGCCACCAACAGCGACAACAGCTTGCATTTGACGGCTAAATGGAACAGGCGCAATGGGCTGAATGGCCCCTTCCTGTTCCTAAATCTACCCACTGACATGGTGGTCCTGGTCTGCTCACCACCCTCTCCTCAGAGCCCCCACCGAGTGCCAGGCTCGCTCGCCAAAGCCCTGAAATTCCACTTGTTCTCAGCCCGCGGGTCGCAGGCTGAGACGAGGTGGAATTCTGGTTTCCTAACCCGGAGTATCCCAGAATTCCGACGCCCACATCCCATCCCTCATGGACTCACACGTAAGCGAGTGTGGCACTGAAGTGGTTGGTGATGTAAGTTTCTAAGACAGGGTTAAAGTGCTGAAACTTGATGTCTCCGATCAGAGAGATGATAAACACCTGGAAAAGAGGGATCAGAAGCTGACTCCGTCCATAATAATAATAATAATAATCCTTACATTTGATAGAGCACCTAATCAAGTCTTCGAGACATCTCAAAGCACTACTACACACTGTAAAGTGTAGTGACTGTATATTTTGTGGGCGGAATACGTCAGCCAATTGCGCACAGCAGAGTCCTCACAAACAGTCGTGGATTGAGTGATCAATTTATCATTAATTTTTTTTTGAAGGGATTATCACCACCAGAAATCGACTAACAAACGGGTTTCTACTTACTGCTGATAAACAGAGGTGTGTGTGTCTGTGTGTGGAGTAAGGAAATTTGCCCCACGTTTCACTGCTGGGAATCGAACCCAGGTCCTCTTGCATGCGAGGCAAGTGCTCTAACCACTGAGCTACAGGACCCTATTTATCTGTCCTTCCATCCTCCTGTTTTTCTGTCCATCTGACGTGTCGTTCACACATCCGTCTTGCCCACCAATCTATCTGCCTGTCCATCCAGATTACTTTAGATCTCTCTATCTCTCCCTTGCTCTCTGGTTCTCTCTATCCCTCGCTCTTCCCCTCATTCTATCCCTCTGGTTTTCTCCCTCACCTCCTCACTCGCTCTCTCTCTCCGTGCGTGTGTAAAGACAGAGACTCACTCACCAGAGCATCGAAGACCAGAAAATCATACACGTCGCTCTCGCATGTCTCCATCATTATGTTAAACAGAGCGTCCAGGGTGTCCTGTAAAAACTGAGGGACAGAGAGAGAGAGCGAGGAGAGAGAGAGAGAGAGAGAGAGAGGAAGAAAAGAGGAAAGGAGGAGAGGAGGGAGAGGAGAGAGAGTGAGGGAGAACAGAGAGGAGAGTGGAGGAAGAGATTAGAGAAAGAAAAGAGAGAGAAGGGGAGAGACAGAAAAGGAGAAGAGAGGAGAGGAGGAGGAGGGAAGAGATGAAAGGGAGTGGAGGAGAGGAGGGGAAGAAGAGATGTCAGTTCACAAGAGAGAAACAGGATGCAAAAACCTTCATTGAAACAAGTCGTGTGAAGTGACTGATAATGAACCTGTGCCAACTGGCGTGAACACAGCATCCTTCACACGGGGCAGGGAGTTCGAGCGCCCGATCGAAGAGGAAAGTCTTCAGGTGTGATCTGCAGATGGGCAAAGAGGGGTGAGGAGGGTGCGAGGCAGAGGGATTGAGACAAAACCGGGGTGGGGTTGGTGGTGGGGGAGGGGGGCCTGGGAAAAAGGGGACTTGCTTAGTTATCCTCGAATCTCACCTTCACAATTTCACTCCCTTCCACCTCCATCAGCTTCCTGAGGTTGTGTTCAATGCTCTGATGGCTTGATCTCCAGTTGAGGAGACCGAGCAGGTCAACTGAGGACAGAATCCATACAACACTCTCAGTCCGCAAACTGGCTACAAAACCCAGCCACTGCACTTGACAGTAAAATCCTGCGGAGGGCTTTGAGAGCTGAGGCCTCCCAACCTCAGTCTCCTGCCTTTGGCCAACCCTCCCAATCCCACCATCGGACAGGCGGTCTTTCATTCAGCCTCTCTGCTCCCATCCTCTGGAACTCCATTCCCCACAGTCCCTCCGCCTCGCTCCCTCCCTTGCCTCCTTCAAGGCCACGTCTCAAGACCTTCTCTTCGACTGGCTTCAGACACCCTCCGACCCCACCACCCACTCCCCCCACCCTCCACCCATCTTGGTCAGTGCTCAGATGCTCAGTGGGAGAAATACCCACCATTTTGGGTCAACTTTGTTGAGCAGATGAGGGTGGAGATCTGAAAGCTGTCCTTGGTCAGGGGCAGCATGCCCGAGTGGTGAGTGAGCTTCCCAGCCTGCCCATTGCTCGTCTCCACATCCTCCTTTGTGCCAGGCTGTGCTAAGTAACACCTGGCATCCTCTGCCTTCTTCATGTCCCCCTGTTAACACACCGAACACTCAAACAGTTCACCGTTGAACAGCGACAACAGAGCTAGAAGAACATCAGTAGACACGTTGAAGTCCTGGTTAGAGCACTCGCCTCGCAAGCGAGAGGACCTTGGGATGAAAAGTTGGGCAAGTTTCCTTCCTCTACATACACACAGAGGCCTCTGTAACATTACCCAGTAGTAAGTCGGACCCCGGTTGTTAGTCGATTGGCAGATCGCTTTTCCGGGCGTAATAATCCCTTCACAAAATGATATTGATAATAATAAATTGGTCACTCAATCCATGACTGTTTGTGGGATGTCACTGTGTGCAATTGGCAGCCGCGTTTCGCCCACAAATCATACAGTCAATTTGCTTTACGTTCCCATGTATCCCGTGAAGCGCTTTGAGATGTCTCGAAGATGTGATAAAGCGCTGTATCAAATGCAAGGGTTATTATTATTATATTATAATAGAGACACAGTGGGTGACACAGGGCACTGGGCAGGAGTGGGAGAATGAGGCCCAGAGTGAGAGGGAACTGGTGGAAAGTGAGTAGAGACACACTGAGTGATGTGGAGAGCAGGGCCGAGAGGAGGGTCTGAAACTGGGAGGCGAGAGAGTGAGCTGCTTTTCCCTGCACTCTACCTTGTAGACGAGCAAGTCATGGCGCCCGTCACGAAGAGTGGTGCCGTTCGCCTTCATCAGCTTCACAAACGCCATCCCGAAAAACTTCTCTGACTTGTCTTTAGCTGAGGGCAGAGCGAGCACACAGCTGTGTTCACGAGTGAGACAGAGAGAGAGCGCCCACACACAACGCTGGAGAAATAATGAGAGCCAGACCCCCCTCCCCCCTCCCCGATTCACACATATGTCTCAGAAACATAGACATATAGAAAAATAATAATAATAATTTTGTCGCTTCAATCCACGACTGTTTGTGAGGACACTGCTGTACCCAATTGACTGCCCACAAAATATACAGGTACTACACTTTACAGCATGTTCCGTGAAGCGCTTTGTGAGGTCTCAAAGACTTCTTAAGGCGCTGTATCAGATGCGAGGATTATTATTATTATCAGACACAAGATAAAAACGAAGCAGAATTGGCGACTTACACTCCTGGGATGACCGGTGTCGGAACGTGAACCGCAAATGACAGCGATGGACATCATCGATTGGGATTTCTACCTGCAGGGAGAGGAAAGGGGTCCCAGTGTTGGCTCGGGGCAGTAAGGGGTGCGATTGAAAGGAAGTAAATTCAGAACCAATCCGTGGAAACATTATTTCAGTGAGCGAGTAGTAAATGTGTGCGAACAGACTCCCCAGAGACGGTGGAAGCAGAAAATGTCATTTGTTTCAAGAACAAACTAGATCGGTTTCTGCTAGAAAATAATATCTGGGGAGAGGATGGGAGGGGAGACAGTGTATGGTTTGGGGACACCACATGTCAAGCGACTGCCAGGATAGTGGAAGATGAACTGGATGGACCTTGGTCTTTTTCCGCCAAGAAAATTCTTATTCTTATGTTCTTATATTGAGCTTCGCCAGCTTAACCAACAACTGTAAAACCCTTAGAAATTTACAGCACAGAAGAGCAATCCTTTCAGACCCATCGTGCCCTTTTATAGAAACAGGAGGAGGCCATTCAGCCCCTACAGTCTGTTCCGCCATTCTATAAGATCATGGCTGATCTGTACCTCAAGTCCAATTACCTGTCCTTGCCCCGTATTCCCCTAAATACCCTGATTTAACAAATATCTATCCACTGCAGTCATGAAGATGTGAATGGATTCAACCATAATCCACAGCCTTTTTCAGGGAGGGAGATTTCACTCCTAAGTGAGGTTGGGTTTAATCTCATTCAGAAGACAGTATCTCCGACAATCAGCACCCACTCCCCACCCTCCCCTGGAGCCTCAGCCTAGACGGTGAGCTCCCCCCTCACACACATGGGGGCTTGAACCCACAACCTTCTGACTCAAAAGTGACTGAGCCTTTGTGACATTTGACAACCACTGTCTAAAAGGGACCTCTTCTCCTCCCCACGCTCATTTGAAGGATAAGTAATGAACCTTAAACAAAAACCCACCTTGACTGTTTCGTACCAAAATGGCTGTTTCACCTGGTAGTAAATGACAGACTTGTATTCTGATATCCCCTCGTAACCTGCTCCAGGGAAGATAGCTTTCTGTGGGAAAGAAGACATGAGCAATATAATAATAGACCCTGTCTAGCCAGCTTCCCTCTGCTTGTCCAGCTAGGACCACCCACCAATTAGGGCTTTGGCTTGCAACAACAACACTAGCAACTCATTACTTTTACACAGCGCCTTTCATGTCAGGAGGATGTCCCAAGGTGCTGGACAGTCAGGGATTTGGAATCGAGCTGGGAGTCAAAGAGGAGGGTCTTGAGACGGGCCTTGAAGAAGGCAAGGGAGGGGAGCGAGGCAACGGGACTGTGGGGAATGGAGTTCCAAAGGGTGGGGGTAGAGAGGCTGAAGGTGTGGCAGGCCGGGCGGGGGATGTGGAGTAGGCCAGAGCCGGGCGAGGGGGTTGAGAGGAAGCAGTGCGAGTGAGCTGGGGAGGTGAGAGAGGAGAGGTGTGGGATGTTATTTACCTCCAGTTGGTTGCCTTCCTCATCGTACACAGCCATCACTACCTCCACATTCTTCGGTGTCTTCTTCTTACCTTTGTCAAACTCCCCTTGGACCAGGGTCACGTAGATGTCGTTCCGAATGTCTCCTGTGGCAAGACAAGATACAGAAGGCTTGAGTTTCAGGCCAGGGGCGAGAGTTCACAGACATGTCATCCAACTCCCTGCTCATTCAGAGAATATAGTTCAAGATCCTGATCCTCACCTTCAAAGTCCTCCAGGGCGTTGCTCCTCCCCATCTCTGTGACCTCCTACCCTCCTACCAACCTGTCCACGCCCTCCGCCCAGCAGGTTCCAGCCTGGACAATCCCTGCCTTGCCCAGCTCACACCCCCATTGGCCTTCAGCCTCTCGGCCCTCACCCACTGGGACTCCATCCAACAGTCCCTCTGCCTCGCCCCCTCCCTCGCCTCCTTCAAGACCCATCTCAATACCCTCCTCTTCCACTGAGCCTTCGGTCACCCTCCTATCCCTACCCTCCCCGCCCTCCATCCCCTGCTGATCACAACCATCAGCTCGGGTGCGAATCCCAGACTATCCAGTGCCTTGCGATGTCGTCCTGATGTGAAAGGTGCCGTATAAATATCATTTGTTGTTGATGTTGTTGTTGCTCCCCACCAACCCCACCCCTGACACTGGCCGACTAACACTGACCTGGAAGGACAATCTCTGGGAAGCCCATTTTCCGAGCGATGGCTGTTGACCGGTCAACTAAGTGAGGAAAATCCTTGTGGACCTGCTGAATATCTCCTGGGAGCAGCTTTGTCGAGACCCAGAGACCTGCAACCACACAGTGGGAGAACAACAACAACAACAACAAATAACATTTACGCGGCGACTTTCATGTCAGAAGGACGTTCCAAGGCGCTGGACAGTCAGAAATCTGCACCCGAGCTGGGGGTTGGGATTAGGAGGAGTGGAGAGCAGGGAGGGTAGGGGTAGGAGAGTAGCCGAAGGAGAGAAGGGTCTTGAAAAGGGGTTTGAAGGAAGCAAGGGAGGGGTCTTCGAACCAGGACGTCCATCAATGCGGGCTTGTCGGGATATGGCATCTATGTGATGCCAGAGTGAGTGGATGTGAGTGAACGAGCGAGTGAGAGAGAGAGTGAGTGAATATGAAAGTGAATGAGTGTGTGAAATTGATTGATTAATTGATTGATTTGTTGATTGGTTGATTGATTGATTGATTTGTTGATTGATTGATTGATTGATCGATCGATCGATTATAATAATTATAATAATAATAATAATCCTTGCATTTGATATAGCGCTTTTCACGTCAGGAGGACGTCCCAAAGTGCTTCACAAAACACACTGTAAAGTGAATTAACTGTATATTTGTGGGCGAACGCGGCAGCCAATTGCGCACAGCAATGTCCCACAAACAGTCGTAGATTGAAAATGACCAATTTATTATTGTTTTGGGTTTTGGAGGGATTATTATTAGGCGTTTGATTGATTGATTAGGTGGGTAGGTGGGTAGGTGGGTGAGTGAGTGTTGTGACTGTGTATCGTAGGTTACCTTGCCCTTTATGGTTGACCTCTTTGGCCGCGATGACCTTGTTGAAGACGGAGGTCAAAGGCTCGTTCTCCCCGATCACTCTGGACATCATGAGGGGAGACATGATGAGCTGGCGCTGTCGGATATACGTCTCCATGGCTATCCTGGGGACACAGAACATTACCCCGAGGTAATGTGGGCAGCGAGGCCCAGGGCTATCCCAGCCCAGGCTGTGCTGACACGAGAGGCTCTAGGGAGAGCGCGGGCACGCGTGTGTTAGTGAAGTCCTATAGCTCAGGGGTTAGAGCCCTCGCCTCACAAGTGAGAGGACCCGGGTTTGATTCCCGGGCGGGTCAGGTCAGGGCGAAACACTGGGCAAATTTCCTTACTCCCCCCCACACACACACACGCCTCTGATTACCAGCAGTCAGTTGGAACCCAGTTATTAGTCAATTGGGGGATCACCTTTCCGGGGGTAATAATCCATCCAAATAAATAAATAAATAAAAAGATAAATAATAATAAATTGGTCATTACAATTCACGACTGTTTGTGTGGGACATCGCTGTGTGCAATCGGCTGCCGTGCTTCACCCACAAAGTACACAGTCACTGCACTTTACGTATATCCCGTGAAGCGCTCTGAGACGTCTCGAAGACGTGATAAGGCCCTGTATCAAATGCAAGGATTATTATTATTATTATTATTATTATTGTAGCACTTACTGTTGGAAGGGGATAAAGTGCTGTTTCTCTTCATCGTCTACCTTGCCGTTGATGATGTCTGTGATGTCCATCACTGGGATAAAAAGCAACCCAATACAATACAGTGTTACATTTACACACAGCGCCTTTCATGTTGGGAGGACGTCCCAAGACACTGGACAGTCAGGGATTTGGACCCGAGCTGAACACGGGTTGGATCAGCAGGGGGTGGAGGGTAGGAGGATGCCCGAAGGTGTGGTGGAAGACGGGGGTCTTGAGACGAGGGAGGAAGCGAGGTGGAGTGACTGTGGATGGAGTTCCAGAGAGTGGGGGCAAAGAGGCTGAAGGCCTCACCACCGATGGTGGGGTGGGCCGGGCGCGGGAAGTGGAGCCGGCCGGAGCGCCTTGTGGAGGAAGTGGACATGAGGTCAGCAGGTCACAGAGCTAAGGAGGGGACAAGGCGGTGGAGGGCCTTGAAGGCGAGGACAAGGACTTTGAACTCTATCTCTGGGGGATGGGGAGCCAGTGGAGCCGGGCTGGCGAGGGTGGGGGTGATGGCGTCACAGAGCCTGGTGCGGGATAGAACTCCAGAGTTCTGGATGATCTGCAGCTTGCGGAGGGAAGAGTTGGGGGGCCGACAAGCAGGGAGTTGGCATAGTCGAGCCTGGATGTGACGAATGTGTAAATGAGGGTTTTGGCGGCCTGTGGGGGAGTGAGGGGGATAAGTGAGGCAGCCAATCACCATTACCTGCCACTCCGAAGGGTCTGCGCAATCCACATGTGTGCTTCCTGCCCTCCTTAAGCTCCATGTGGCCCACTCGGACAATCTGACACACCAGGCTGGTCTTCACCCTCAGCAGCTCACTGCCACTCAGGTCCTGGGAGAAAGCACACACTGAAAAAAAGAATCTCTCAAGTCATCGGACTATCTATCTGCTCTGTCTCCCGCTGGACGTCTCACAGGGTAAAATAACAATAATAATTTGGTCGCTCAATCCACGGCTGTTTTGTGGGGACGTCGCTGTGTGAAATTGGCTGCCTCATTCGCCCACAAAATACACAGTCACTCCACTTCACAGTGAAGCGCTTTGAGACTTCTCGAAGACAACAACAACAAGATTACATTTGTATAGTGCCTTTCACGTTGGGAGGACGTGATAAACTGCTGCATCAAATGGAAGGATTATTATTATTATTGTTATTATTATTATATTATTATCATTATTCCATCCCTTGTGATTCCAAACCTCAAAACTTGGGTGCAAACCCTTAACTGTCCAGAACTTTGAGTACCTTCTGATGTGAAAGGCGCTGTGCGATTGTAATTTTGCTGTTGTTGTTGTAGATTTTAAAGTGGGATTGAAAGATGGATTAGGAGGGTGGGGAGAGGGGGAAGGATTCAGACAGACACTTACGGTGAAGACAACTTGCAGGTTGTTTAGTCTCTCTATCTCCTTCGGCATTCCAGTCTTGCTCCATCGCACCAAATAGTTTTCACTGAAGACAAAATAAGAGTCAGTATCTGCCTACACAGCGTTCCGTTCGAGCGTCCATCCACTCCCAGGTCAGGGAGAGACACAGTAAAGCTCCCTCTACACCGTGCGTCCACACACTGGCCGTAGCCTGCTGAGCAGAGGGAGCAGACAGGTTGATATGGGGGTTAGCAGATCAGAGGTAGGAAGGAGTAAGGTGGTGGAGGTTACCTGATGAACTCAGACTGAATCGGGTCATAGAGAGACATCAGCAGTTCTGCGTCCTCACCAATATTACAGACAAAATTCTTCAAGTTGATGTAAAGGCTGTAGGTGTGGCTGTTGCTGAACACAGACTGACGCCTAAGCTCCATACTCTGAATCCTAGACTGAACCAGAGATAGAGAGAGACAGTAATCAATCTGTATTTTTAATAATAAACCTTGCATGTGACATAGCGCCTTATCACGTTTTCGAGACGTTTCAAAGAGCTTCATATACTGTAAAGTGAATTGACTGTATATTTTTGTGGGTGAAATGCAGCAGCCAATTGTGCAGAGCAGCGGCCCACAAACAGTCGTGGATTGAAATAGCCAATTTATTACTATTGTTATTTTTTTGAAGGGATTTTTACCCCTGGAAAAGCGATCCACCAATCAACTAACCACTGGGTTCCTACTGACTGCTAAACAGGTGTGTGTGTGCGCGTGTGTGTGTGTGTGTGTGGAGTAAGGAAACTTACCCAACGTTTCGCCCTGACCTGCCCGGGAATCGAGCCCAGGTCCTCTCGCTTGCGAGACGAGGGCTCTAATCACTGAGCTACAGGACTCCAGTTTGAGACCCAGAGGATGTGTGAATGGTTATACAAGAGAAGATGGGAGTTGTATTTAAGGTCTGAAGTGGTTAAAATCAATGTTGAGGCCAGTGGGTTGTAAGATGTCTCTGGCAATAATCTCTCACTATTGCCTTCTTTTGTCTTGCACCATCCAACACCAGTCACCTCGTCATCTTCTGCCCTCCACCTAAATTTTTCCTTTGTCTTCCTTTCCTCACCCCCTTTTCTGATGGTCCTTATAATCTGCTCCCTTCCGACATCCCCAGTTCTGACGAAAGGTCATCGACCTAAACTTTAACTCATTTCCCTCTCTCCATAGATGCTGCCTGACCTGACCTGACCTGCTGCCTGTTCCCAGCGACTTGTGTTTTTACCTTCTTCTCCTCCTGGATCCGTTCGTCAATCCCTCGTGAGATGGTCTCGTGAGCTTTGAAGAGGGTGATGGTGCTTGTTTGATCAGGGTCCAGTATGTTACCATTCTCGTTCCGTACCACCAGGTCTAGCCCCAGAATCCTGCGTGGAATAGTGACTAGGCATTGGTTACACATGTATGTAGCCCCTGACTTTGACTCAACATCCATAGCCTTGCTCCTGCCTACCTCTGTGACCTGCTAATCCCATATCAAGCTGTCCGCTCCCTTCGCTCAGCAGGTCTGCTTAATATACCCCACTTGGCCTGTCCCACCATCGGCAGTCGGGCCTTCAGCCTCTCTGCCCCACCCTCTGGAACTCCATCCCACATTCCCTTCCCCTCACTCCCTCCCTTTCCTCCTTCAAGCTCCGTCTCAAGACCCTCCTCTTCGACTGTGCCTTCGGTCACTCTCCTTCCTACCCCCTACCCTCCCTGCCCTCCACTCACCGATTCCCGTAATCAATCTTGTCAATGACTTTCCTCTTCAGTTCCAACAGCTCGTCCTTCGGCAAAGTTCCAGACAGGATTTGGGAACGCCACTCGATCAGGCTGCACGTCATGTTCCGCACATGTCTGAACATTTTCTGGTTACCGCTCTGCGTAGAGAGGGGGCGCGTGTTTGAGAGAGTGTGGTTGGGGGGGTGGGGGGATGTTGGTTGAGAGAGAGAGAGTGATAGAGAGTGAGGGAAAGAGAGTGAAAGAGTGAGAGCAAGTGAATGCGAGAGAGAGAGGATTTAAAGGGTGGGGTGGGGTGGGGGAAGGAGGGAGGTCTCACCAGGTAAAGCTTGTGCCAGATGAGCGCCCATTCTCGCAGTGTCATGGTCAGCTCCTGTACCAGAGGCAACTCTGTGGGAATTACCGTCTCCTCCTGTCTGTGAGAGAGAATCACAGCAGTAACGTCACAGGGTGTCTGACACACATGGAAACCCGTCACCGTGACCAGCCGGGTCTGTCACAACCTTCTCTGCTCTAACAGGAACAATCCCAGCTTCTCTAGTCTCGTCTTCCCACATAACTAAAGCCCCTCATCTCTGGTAAACCCTTAATCGGCTAAATCGGCACAGCTTGCCCATCGAGAGCGCTGTCTGTCCAGCTTCCCACTGCTGGGCCAGCTCAAACCTCCCGAACCTTCAGGGCTTTGGTTTGGAGGGGGAAGTGGCCATCTTGGGCTTTCAGATACCAACATGGACGGACACTCACCCTCGGCCTTCCACAGTCGCTTCCTTCACATGGATGTAGGTCACGGGAAAGATGCCCTGAACAACAACAACAACACGTTACATTTACATGGTGTCTTTCATGTCAGGAGGACGTCCCAAGACTCTGGGCAGTCAGGGATCAGCACACGAGCTGGGCGAACTGGAGGTTCCTAGTTAATCCCAGAGGTTGGTGAGAGCCAAGGCTTGTGAGAGCACGTGTGTGTGTTGTGTGTGTGCGTGTGTGTGTGTGTGTGTGTATATATGTGTTGGGGCAAGGGCAGAGTGTGCATAGAGTTGGGCATAGAGTACGGGGGCAGCTAAAACCACATAGCTTGCCCACATGGCTTGAAAGCGCAAGTTTCCCGCTGTATGTCCGGCTGGCAAAGGCTGGTAGAGGTGAAGGGCTGTATGAAAGTGAGCAGTTATCAATGAGAGAGTTGTTGTTGTTGTTGTCGAAGGCTGCTCTGTGTAAGAATGAGCTTGACCCAGATTTATTGGTGAGGAACAAACAAATAAAGCCCTACCTTTTTCCATTTATTCCGCAGTGTGCAGCCTCTGTACCAACCTGGTGATAAACATGGATTAATGTAATTAATAATCCTTCCATTTGATGCAGCGCCTTATCATGTCTTCGAGACATCTCAAAGCGCTTCACAAGGTATACTGTCAAGTGGAGTGACTGTGTTTTATATGGGCGAAACGCGGCAGCCAATTAATAATAATAATAATCCTTGCATTTGGTATAGCGCTTTTCACGTCGGGAGGACGTCCCAAAGCACTTCACAGAATATACTGTAAAGTGAATTGACTGTATATTTGTGGGCGAACGCGGCAGCCAATTGCGCACAGCAATGTCCCACAAACAGTCGTAGATTGAAAATGACCAATTTATTATTGTTTTTGTTTTGGAGGATTATTATTAGGCTCTGTGTGGAGTAAGGAAACTTGCCCAAGGTCTCGCCCTGACTGGAATTGAACTCAGGTCTCTCACTTGCAAAGCGAGTGCTTTAACCACTGAGCTACAGGACTCCACAGTAGCGCACAGCAGGGTCCAAATTAAGTGAACGACCTATTATTATTATGTTTTTATTATTATTATTACCCCCGGAAAAGCGATTCGCTAATCGACCAACAATCAGGTTCCTACTGACTGTTGGTAAACAGGGGCGCGTGTGTTTGCATGTGTGCGTGTGTGTGCGTGTGTGTGTGTGGAGTAAGGAAACTTGCCAAACATTTCGCCCTGACCCGCCCGGGAATCGAACCCAGCTCCTCTCGCTTGCGAGGCGAGGGGTCTAACCCCTGAGTTGCAGGAGTCTAGGTTGTAGTCTGGTGTTGCTCAGTACTCTGCCCACGGGGCAAGACATTCCACAGAGCAGGTTTCCCTATGGTGATACTTCCCACAGGACTGACAGCCAGATGTTTATAAGCCCTTCAAATCTCTGAGGACTTGGCAGCGGACTTGGTATCAAACAGATCACAGCTCATAAACGTACAGGAGAAAGGGGAAAGGCACAGGAAAGGCTCACGTGTCTGTTGAGATTCAACTGATCTGGAGTTGGCAAAGGGTAATGTGAATGACTCACTGAAAAGTCAGCAAGTCCTTACAGGAAGAGGCAGGCTGTCAATATCAGCCTTTGTGCAGTCCTGTAGCTCAGTGGTTAGAGCCCTCGCCTCGTAAGCGAGAGGACAGGGGTTTCGATTCCCAGCCAAGACAGGACAGGGCGAAATGTTGGGGCAAGTTTCCTGACTCCACACACACACACGCCGCTGTTTACCCAGCAGTAAGGAGGTACCCGGTTGTTAAGTCGATTGGCGGATTGCTTTTCCGGAGGTAATAATCCCTCCAATAAAATAAAATAAATAATAATAATTTGGTCGCTCAATCCACGATTGTTTGTGGGGACGCTGTTGTGCGCAATTGCATACTGTAAAGTGTAGTACAGTCACTACACTTTATAGTATATTCTGTGAAGCGCTTTGAGATGTAATAAGGTGCTATATCAAATGCAAGCATTATTATTATTATTATCAGCGAAGTTGTTCCAATCACCCGCCACCACCAAGTGGGATAAGTGCAAAGAGAGCAAGTAAGCGATGATATATATACACACCCGCGCGCACGCGCACACACACGCGCGCACACACGCGCACACAGACTCACACACACACACATGCACACACACGGACTCACACACACACCCACGCATGCACACACACACGCGCGCGCACACGGACTCACACACACAAACTCACTCACTCACACACACGCACACATACACATATATGCACATACACACACATACGCAAAGAATAGAAACAAACCTTCGTGTGTCTCCAGGATGTGGATGGAATCTCCCACCTGCAGCGATAACTCCACCTCTTCTTTCGCATTGTAATTGTAGATCGCTGGGAGTGGAGACGGGAACTTAAGTCAGTCTCAGGGTCACAATTGGGCTCCATACAAACAAGCAGTGTGTTACCCCCACTTCACTTTCAGTCATCTTCCCCCCACCCCGATCTCCCCCCTCCTACACTCTCCAGGCTCGGGCACTCTCAGCTTCAGTGAGAAGTGCTTTGAGAATTCCTCCTGATGTGAATGACGCTTTGTAAATAAATGTAGCATTGGACTGTGTAGTTAGGGTGGGCAAGGAAAGTGCCAAACTGGCTTCCATCTTGTCAAGTCCCATCCCTGGAGTCCTGTAGCTCAGGGGTTAGAGCCCTCGCCTGGCAAGCGAGAGGATCTGGGCTTGATTCCCGGCGGGTTAGGTCAGGGCGAAACGTTGGGCAAGTTTCCTTACTCCACACACACACACACACACCTCTGTTTACCAGCAGTCAGTAGTAACCTGGTTGTTAGTTGACTGGCGGATCGCTTTTCTGGGGGTAATAAGCTCATGGAATAAAAAATAATAATAATAATTTGGTCACTCAATCCACAACTGTTTGTGGGGACTCTGCTGTGTGCAATTGGCTGCCGCATTTCATCCACAAAATACACAGTCACTACACTTTATGGTGTATTCTGTGAAGCACTTTGAGACGTCTCAAAGATGTGATGAGGCACTGAATCAAATGCAAGGATTATTATTATTATTATTATTATTATTATTATTCCTACCACAAATCACATAGTTTACAGTATAGAAACAGTCCAGCGCTTTGGGACTTCCTCCCGAAGTAAAAGGCGCTAAAATGCAATCTTGTTGTTGTTGTAGAAACAGACTGGATGCTCCCTAACCAGGTCCGTCCCAGTGATTACACTCCACGCGCCTCCGTGCATCTTAATGAGTTTGAGTAGAAGAAGGACAAGGGGAGGACAAGTTTGCAGGACTATGGGGAGCAAGTGGGGGAATGGGATCCATTTGGACAGCTCTTTCCAAGAACCAGCACAGACACATGGGCCGAATGACCTCCTTCTGAGCTGTATCATTCCAGAATTCTAGGATTCTAAGGAGTGGTGTGACTGTGCGGACAGGGATTGGAAGGAATGAGTTTGTTCTGAGACGCCAGCGATGTCCTGATCTCCTGCCAGCTCTTCTGACAAATGCTTGTATAAGCAAGGCAGGGAGTGCTGAGCAGAGAAGCTTCACTTCTTGGGTGAATAAAGACTTAATTATCCTAAAACCACGAGCGCAGAGTTGGCACAAGCAAGTTAACTCTTTCACTGGCACAAACCTCTGCTTAGGTCTGGACAGGTTACCTGTGGAGCAAATGTTTGGTGAAGCACCCTCTCTGGATCAAGGGGCTGTGGATTTCAGACATCTCAAAGTGCTTCACAGGATACGCTGTAAAGTGTAGTGACTGTATATTTTGTGGGCGATTGCGGCAGCCAATTGCGCACAGCAGCGTCCCACAAACGGTCGTGGATGGAAGTGACCAATTTATTATTATTGTTTTTTTTGAAGGGATTATTACCCCCGGAAAAGCGATCCGCTAATCGACGAACAACCGGGTTCCTAATGACTGCCGGTAAACAGAGGCGCGTGTGTGTGCGTGGAGTAAGGAAACTTGCCCAATGTTTCGTCCTGGTTGGGAATCGAACCCAGTCCTCTCGCTTACAAGGCGAGGGCTCTAACCACTGAGCTACAGGACTCCACAAAAACTTTACAGTATGTTTTGTGAAGCGCTTTGAGACGTTTCAAAGACATGATAAGGCGCTGTATCAAATGCAAGGTTGAGGGGAGATTTAATAGAGGTGTTCAAATTGATGAGGGGTTTTGATAGAGTAATTAGGGAGAAATTGTTTCCTCTGGTGGGTGGGTTGGTAACCAGAGGACACAGATTTAGATAATTGGCAAAAGAACCAAGGGGATATATTTCTACACAGAGAGTTCTTACGTTCTGGAACGCACAGCCTGAAAGGCCGGTGGAAACCGATTCAATAACTTCTTTCAAAAGGGAACTGGATAGGGACTTGAATAGGAAAAATTTGCAAGGAAAAGGGATTTGGGGAAAGAGCGGGAGAGGGAATAGGACTAGAGCTAGCACATGCACGATGGGCCGAATGGCCTCCTTCTGTGCTGTAATATTCTATGATTCGCCCATTGAAATTCATGCTTGTGAGTGTGTTGAGTAAGGCTTTCTCCTCCCGCTGCCTCTGCCCTACATTGTGCAATTTAGAGAAGCCGTCATTTACAAAGAAAAAAACAAGTGGGAGTTATCCACGTGCTCAGACACTGAGCGTCTGTTCGCATCCCAAGCCATTTGTTTTCCTTCATGCAAATGTCTGCACCAATTCTGCTCCTTTCCATTCCCTCTCTCAGCTCGAGAGTCCACATACATTCCCATTCTTTCCCATTGTGACCCCATCAACTCCACCGCCACCTCCCACACCCTCACCAGGCTCCACTGGCTCCCCATTCCCCCGGAGGATAGGGTCCAAAGTCCTCACTGTTGATCTCCGAGGCCCTCCACAGCTTTGCTCCTCCCTACCCCTGTGACCTGTCCCTGTCCAATATCAACCTGTCTGCTTCCTCCGCTCAACAGGCTCCGGCCTACTCCATGCCCCCTGCCCGGCCTGGCCCGCCCTGCCATCAGCGGTCGGGCCTTCAGCCTCTCTGACCCCATCCTTTGGAACTCCCTCCGCCTCGCCCCCTCCCTCGCCTCCTTCAAGACCCATCTCAAAACTACGCTTTACAGTGTATCCTGTGAAGCGCTTTGAGATGTCTCGAAGACGTGATGAGGCGCTGTATCAAAGGCAAAATAACTCATCATTATTATTATTATCAGCGAGTCTGAGTGAGTCTGACTCAGGGTCAAATGACTACTGACTGACTGTGGTTTAAGATCTCCAGATCGGCTGCTTTTTATCTGCAGTTTCTAGAACTCCTGACGGGTGCACATTTCCGGACAGTTTGTGTGCTTTATCGCTGGGATAACAAAGCCATTCACTGGGGCTGGCAGACTTCCACAGGGGCGTGGGCAAGCCACACAGACACAAAACACCATCGGGCCGGCAAAGGGGTGCGTTGTTCATCTAACATCACAGGGAGAGGAGGAGACAATCCAGACATTTCTTAATCCCTGCCTTTTCCCCACATATGTCGCCCATCAAGCAGTCACTACACTTGGCCGTGAATCCTGTGAAGGGTTTTGAGACATGATTATTATAATGTGTTGTTATTATTGAAACTAATAATAATTTTTTTTAAAAAGGACTATTACCCCCGGAAAGCGATCCGTCAATCGACTAATAAGCCGGGTTCCTACTCACGGCGCGGTAAACAGAGGCGTGCGCGCGCGGAGTAAGGAACGCCCAATGTTTCGCCCTGACCTGACCCGCCCGGGAATTGAACCCAGGTCCTCTCTTGCGAGGCGAGGGCTCCAACCCCTGAGCTACAATAAGCCTCGCACTAGACTTAGCGCCTTCTCACATCAATGAAGCATCACAAAGCACTTCGCAGAGTCTCGCCACACACAGAATACAAATAGAGTCCGGGTGTTTTGGAGCAAGTGCAACAGCCGGTTACAGCAAAGCAACGTCCCACAAACAGATGATTTTCTTTGGGGGACAAGAGAAGCTCTTGAGTCTGTTTCTAATGTGAGACATTTCCTTCTTGTTTGGCTGATGTTTGGCAAGGGAGAGAGAGATGGAGGGGGAGAGATAAGGGGGAGAGAGGTAGAGGGAGAGAGATGGGGGAGAGATGGAGGGGGAGAGATAAGGGGAGAGAGATGGGAGGGGGCGAAATAGATGGGGGGGAAGGGGAGGGAGAAGAGGGAAGAGAGGTGAAGGAGAAAGAGAGAGAGGAATAGAGTGACCTCCACAAAATACACAGTCACTACACTTTGCAGTGTATCCTGTGAAGCGCTTTGAGATGCCTCGAAGACATGATAAGGCACTGGGACAAACGCAAGGATTATTATTATTATAAACAGCAATGATCTGTTGCTGAATAGCCATAGTGTGTAGCGATAACAGCCATAGTGGGTAGCGATGTTTCGGAGCTGGGAGTGGGACACGGGGAGGAGTGGAGGCACGCAGACTGGAATTCCAATGGGAATGTAGGTCAGGACAAGAGAGAAAGCAGGAAGGAGGTCAAAGGCAGCGTTGCTGATCTGTGTCCTTGAGAAACCCTCTCCTCCTCCAGGCTGTTCCCTGATTAATATAATAATAATCCTCACATTTGGTACAATGCCTTATCACATCTTCAAGACGTCTCAAAGCATGGTAAGGTCTAGTGACTGTGTGTTTTGTGGGCGACACGCAGCAGCCAATTGCACACAGCAGCGTCCCCACACACAGTCGTGGATTGAAGTGAACAACTTTATTATTATTAGCTTCTTTCATGTCGTCTGTTCCTCCCGGCTCAATGGAAAGGAGGAAGTTTCTCCCAGTTGGTGTCTGTTCTGGCCAACAATCCACCCCTCCCACCCCCGCCCCAGATAAATCATTCACTCGCTTTGTTGCTGTGCACGCATGTAAGTGTGTGTGTGTGTGTGTGTGTGGGCGAGTGTTTGTGTACTTGTGTGTGTGTGTGCTGTGTGCATGTGTCCGTGATTGTGGGTGTGGTGTGCACGCGTGTGTGTGTGCATGTGTGGGTGATTGTGGGTGTGTATGTGCGCGTGTGTGTGTGCACGTGTGGGTGATTGTGGGTGTGTGTGTGTGTGCGCGTGTGTGTGTGCACGTGTGGGTGATTGTGGGTGTGTGTGTGGCCTAAGTGTGCGATTTGACATCCACATTTGACTTCTCAAATGGAATTATTATTAACATCATTATTATTATTATTATTAATACTGGAGGATCAGTTTTCATTGGAAAACCTTTAAAAAAAACTGTTCACTCAATCCACAACTGTTTGTGGGGACGCTGCTGTGCGCGTTTCACCCACAAAATACACAGTCACTACACTATACAGTATGTTCTGTGAAGCGTTTCTGTGAAGACGGCTCAAAGACTTGAGAAGGCACTGTATCAACTGCGAGGATTATTATCGTTGAACTGCCTCTGAAGGCAGATTAGACCTCAGTGTTCGCTTGTACTTCAGAGCTGATTACGGGGCAAAGGCAGAGTGCAATCTCACACCTTACCAACTCGTCAAAGTCCAAAGGACGCTGCTCGAGGACGGAAATAAGTTGTTGAAGGTAATAATGAGTTTTGGAATAAAATCAGAAGTTGTTGGGAACTGCCACTGCTATTTGGCTGCCGCATTTCACCCACAAAATACACAGTCACTACACTTTTCGGTGTGTCCTGTGAAGCCCTTTGAGACGTCTCGAAGATGTGATAAGGCGCTGTATCGAATGCAAGGATTAAAACGCAAGGATTATCAGACACACACACAGAAATACACACACGCAGACACACCCAGTACCACACACACACATGCACATCACACACACACACATACATGCAGACACACACCCTTTGACCAGCAAGGAGAACAAACAAGGAGTCACACAGATAACGTGCTGTGTTTAGTCTGAGTATTTTCCCTTTTGTCTGATCTGATCTGACCAAATTAGCTACCAAATTCGCCTACAAGTTCACAGTGAAATCCTGTAGAGGGCTTTGAGACATTATTATTATTATACCAACATAATAAGTCTCAGTGCCCCCGCCATCTGCTTCTAATGGAGTCGCCTTTACGGAGAGAAATCGGAGACTGAGTGTGTTGGGCCAGAAGATCCCATGTCCGTAGTCGCCAGACTACGGCACTACCTCACCCCTCACGCGGCTGAAACCCTGGTTCACGCCTTTGTCACCTCAAGGCCGGACTACGGGAACTCTCTCCTCGCGGCCTTCCCGGCCCTCCCTCCACACTGCAGGTCATTCAGAACTCTGCAGCTCGTGTACTGTCCCGCACCAGGCTTCGGGACCACATCACTCCCACCCTTGCCCTCGCCCTCACCCTCACCCTCGCTCGCCTCCACTGGCTCCCCATCCCCCAGAGGATTGATTTCAAGATCCTCATCCTCACCTACAAGGCCATTCACGGTCTTGCTCCCTCCTACCTCTCCAACCTACTATTCCCCTACCTACCTGCCCGTACCCTCCGTTCCTCTGGCTCCGGTCTGCTCCACACCCCCCGCCCCAACCGCCCGACCATCGGTGGTCGGGCCTTCAGCCTCTCAGCCCCCAGGCTCTGGAACTCCATCCCCCAGTGCCTTCGCCGCTTCCTCCCTTTCCTCCTTCAAGGCCGGTCTCAAAACCTTTCTCTTTGACCGTGCCTTCAGCTCCCCTCTCGACTCTCTACCCCCTCCTCGCTCCCTCCCTTCCCTCCCCTCACCCTGACCATTTCCCCCCTCCTCGCTCCCTCCCTTCCCTCCCCTCACCCTGACCATTTCCCCCCTGCTCGGGTCATGACCCAACTGTGCAGCGCCTTGGGACGTCCTCCTGACGTGAAAGGCGCTTTATAAATGGAATCTTGTTGTTGTTGTTGTTGTTGTCCCCCTGCCCAGCCCCACCATCGACAGTCAGGCCTTCAGCCTCTCCGCCCCCACCCTCTGGAACTCCAATCCACAGTCCCTCCGCCTCGCCCCCTCATTTGCCTCCTTCAGCACCTGTCTCAAGACCCAACTCTTCGACCGCGTCTTCAGTAACCCTCCTACCCTCACCCTCCCCACCTCCTGCTGACCCCCAAATCCCTGACTGTC